GAGACGAAGTGGAAAAGGAAGAAAGGGACGAATTGTCATGCCAGTGGAGCGTGGCGTGGCTCCCCAGCTGTGTCTCATTCGCGCAGCCTCGATCGCGTGTCCAAATTTGCAGTGGGCTCATTTCATCATGCACACTGTGAAAATGTCTTGCCGCCCCCTCGCATACTGGTAATAACTCTGCCTCTATCGGACCATCGTGCGGCCCCAGGGGCAGACCAATTTTCCTTGTCTCCTGTCAATGATTGCATTCGAGACATTTTTGCCCTCTTTAGACATCATCTCACGTTTCTTCTTGAGATTCTTGTGTGGTGGCCTCTAAATTTATCCGAACAGCACCAAAATAGACAGTTGGAAGGAGACACATTGTCGTTACCAAAATCAAACTACCAGTACTTTGTACAGATGCCCATATCCGTACAATCAATCACCTGAATCAATCATGTTGATGCGATTTCTATCCATCAAAGAGCACAACAAACACCCTCTGCCCCAAAGTCATTGGCTTCCCGCCAAGGCTGGGGGCCAGCTGTCATTGCAGATTCACCTACCACATTGCGCACCCATCGGGCGCTGTGCTATTGCGTTCTGTTAATGTCCATCATCCATTTGCACTCGCACCGATTCGGTAGGTGTTAGAAGGGGGTCGTCAACTTCAAAGCACAGCACTTGGGTAACTAGTTGGAGAAGGTTGGCAATGGCGCAACCCAGCGGGGATACTTCTGGCCCCTTCCGGTGGTGGTGGGTGCACTGCACTGGCAACTGGCAACTGGGTGGGCGGCCCAAAGCAAGCCACCGGCTGGTCGGAGGGGGCATAATAAACCTCGTGAGCTTTGACCTTCTGTTTTTCGCCTGGTCTGCTTTTTTCTCACTCTCTCGGCTCTGCTGACCGACCGACCAGGCAGTGACCGCACTGGTACAGAACGGGCCGGTTACACCAGACTTGGGGTTGGATTGCTGCCACTCACAATGAGGCTCGAGAGCCACCCCCGACATGATGCGCGCGTGTCAGTGGGGATTCTTGCATTGGCTCTCGAGGTTAATCAATGCTATGATGGATCATCCCTGTTTGACGCTCCCGCTGGCCCCTGGCTGAGTAACTAGAACCTGGTACAGATGAATTCCCACGAATCAGCACAAACGTACGTAGTTGCTACGCTACAACCGTACAACGTCCATGATGAATATGAAGAGCGTACCCCCTTCTTGCCTGCCTATTTACCCTTGAACAGACGGTGACTTTGTGGTGCATCATCAAAGGGCCTCGCCGTTTTGGCATTGCCGTTAGCTGCTGAGTGCTGTCATTGGGGTTGACAGATTGACGACTGTCGGCAATCCATCCCTCCTCACCAGACTCTTTCATCTATACAGTCCACGTACGAGAGACCTTGACCGTTTTGACCAAATTGCCAGAGGGAGTAGGGTATGTTGTTCCAATGATTCAAAGTCGCTGGTGTGTGCGGTGCCAACTTGTTTCATCATCATCATATCATTGACCATTGATCTGCCAACCATTTCGTGATGCCAAAAATAAAACAGCGAGAAACAAGACATCAAAAACCCGACCCGACAACAGCAGCGACCAACAAAACCAGATTCCAGCGGCGACACATGGCAAGCCGCCCTCGATGCTGAATTAGAATTGAGATTGATTCATCATCAGCAAAAACACGCGCATTCCCCACACGAATCTGGCGGCGGCCACCCTAGCAACTGGTTTTGCGACCACTAGCAATGAATAGCGAACCACTAGAGGCAGAAAAGTTGTGAAGTGGCGCGCCAGGCAGTTCGCGAAGCGATCAGCAAAACGTCAGCCAATTGCGCATTCCAGACAGCTGGCCGTGCAGAACCGAGCTCATGGAGACTACCGCATATGCCTCAATTGCCAGCTAGCTTGACCAGAATTTGACTCTGGCTGGTGGCGAGAAGGGCGGGCGCTTTCGGTAGTTCTGATTTTAACTAGTTCGTCGAGTGATGATATGTGTCGTCGAGTTATGGACAGGGTAAAGTAGCACCCTTGCCGATTGTGTTATAGACCAGGCGGGCAATAGAACCGCCTTGGGTAAACGATGAATGACCGACCATTCACCATCCTGCATAAGCCATGCAAAGCACAAATGCGAAACGCGCATCAGATGCCATGCAGAAAGTCAGAGATAAAGTCTGTCACGTATCCGTACATGTGCCCACAATGTGCCCACAATGTGCCCGTCACTGATCATGCTGTGCGCTGGTCATCTACCTCTTACAACATCGCATCAGGGCAAGAACTTGCGCAGCATGACAGAGTAACACAGTAACCCTTGAACCAGCTTTGTATTCATAGTGCCCTTGATCGGCCCGCGTCCCGCGCCGCGTACCGCATGGCAGTATTGCATCACCAGCGTAACAGTGCGAGTGTACGTAGGTAGTTACGAATATGTCAGTCAACAGCTGTCAGCAGCACAGAAAAACTGGAAGTTTGGGCCTGTCAGCCACTTGGGGAATGAGTCCACCCACCCATCTGCTGCCACGGCCCACTTGTTCAATTCTCACAGTTACACCAGTTCAATCAACCCTTTCACCTCTGGCATGTTCTCTCAGCCATTGCAATTCGCATCAGGACTAGTTGTCGCGCTGCTTTTCTAGCCTCGGACCAAATTGCCTCGCCCTCTCTCTCTCTATTTTTTCTTTTCTTTTCCTCTCTCTTATTCTTCCTTTTTTTTCATCACGAACGAGGGGGGGGGCTTTTTCATCTGGCTGGTGTTGCCCAACTCCATATTTATTTAGCGAACCTTCTCCCTTCCCCAGTGCGCCGGGTGCCCGGACAATGCTGGGCATCGTCATTTAGACGGGAGCAGGCAGAGTGGCTGTTGGCCTATCGGGAGTTGAGACGAAGAGAGAGGCGGGGCGCTGGGAGGGATTGACGCGTGGAGGAGGCGTTTATGACCGTTTCATCCAGAAATGATGGTTGATTCGTCACCTCTACATTGTTTCTGTCATTTGATGCGAGGGTCGTGTGGCAGGGCTCTTTGATCACATACTGATAGAGCATTCATATCCTGGCATCAGGACCCTGGCGAGAGCGGAGAGCTTCATCGAGACGCACAGCAAAAAGAAAGAAAAAGAAAAAAACAGTAACACACGGGAATGATGAATCCGTACTCCGTATGGAGTAGAAAGGGTAATCAATCAGTCAATCAGTCCATTGCCTGGGGCCGCGGTTGCGCGGCTTGCCCAAAGAGGTCCAAGAGTCGTGGTCATCGGCAAGACAGACCAGGGAGCTCGAGGGCTCCCCTCAAAAAAAGGTGAGACTGTGGAAATTGGCAGCAGTGCTGGTGAAAGGAGACGACGTGTGATGTTGACTCAGGCTGATGAGAGTGTCTTGCTTTTTTTCCTTTTTTTTTGCATGTCGCGTCGCGGGCGGGACGAGGGTAAAAGCGGCGGCGAGGCTTGGCGTGGGCTGGTGATCGCTCCCTGGAACGCGGCTTGGTGGATAGGTACTAGACAGGCGGTAATCCGTAGTGCACAGAGTAAAAGGTAGCGAGCAAGCAAGGCAGGTACAGTACCTACGGTTGGCGTAGGTAATGCCGAATACTTTATGTGGGTGGGTGGGATGCGGGGAAGCGAAAGTACCTGCCCGTCCATTTTGCATGCTAATAAGGTGTTACTTGAGAGTACCTACCAGCTTGCACCTGGCTCTTGTCACAAGTGCGGGTGCAAGCGACGGGAGGCCGAGGGAGACATTCCTGATGATTGCTTGCTGAGACCTTTGCCCCCCGCAGCGCGAACTTTTTTTTTTTTTTTCCTTCCAGTAGATGTGAATGTCCTTGTGCCCACGCACTCGCAGTGTCCTCATTGCGACGTTGCTTCAGCACATGGCAGCCAAAGACTCCCCGTGGCCCCTCCAAGTGCCTGCCTGTAATACCTCAACGCACTGACAATAGCGTAACTCGGTGCTGAAAGTGCGCCGAATATCATCAGAACCCAAGGTACCTCACCAGTGCGTAGGTATAGCGGCGTTGTCTCTGTACCGCGGCTGGGTCGCTCACTGGAGTCACTGGAGTCACTGGGCCGCTGGCTCTCGTCCCCTAGACAAGACACAAGTCTCATTCTCTGCTCCAGAGACCGAGAGATACTGGCTCATACCTACCAGGCCCATCCCACACCAACGCCGCTCCCTCTTTGCCTCTGCCGTCCCATACCATCCTTATCCCATCCCATCCACCATTCTTTTCCCTTACTCGCCAACCTTGTTTCTCTCTCACACGACCACTCTTTTCCGACTCTCGACAAATTGACATTCGCTTTTTCTTCCTTGCGAATCTTGGCATTTTTTTTTTCCGAGGGTCTTGCCGGACTGTCGACTATAGTAGAACCTGCCGACTGTCTACAGCCACCAGACGCCATTGCATCTCTTGTTTGTTGCTCCCCGCGCGCTGTACCGACCATGATCTCTCGTGCAACCCGCTTTGCGATTTGAACAACCCCCATATGGATCCTGCGCATCCGACTGTGCAACTCCGACCACCGTTCACCTCTTGACCGAACCAAGTCGCATCCCATCCTGGTGAGCCCGCGCTCAAGTCTGCTCGCTAAGAGCAAGTTTTCTGCATCGTGTCGCTTGACACTTGGCGACGCTATGCGGTCGAGTCGAATGGCCGCCGCCGCATCTGTCGCTGCCACGGCTGTCTTCGTCAATGCCTACGATCCCGCCGCGGTTTCCATTCCCTACGGCGACTGGTACGTCAACCCTGTCGTCATTTCGTGGACTGTGCTATTCTCTCAAGGGCTTGAATCCTGACCTCTTATTACATAGGCTTGGCATTGATGGCAACTGGTCAACCGTTCGCTTTCTCTTAGGTACCGAATCAGACCTCGTAAATATCATACCCAGTACTTCTCTGTCAGAGCTATGGGCAGTCGGCCCGGGTGGTTGCCAAAGTAGTACGTTGCTGCCTCCGCAAACGCCCTCTACAGGCTCCCAGCGCCGTTGGAAAACAAGCGGCGTACGCCAGACCGTTGACTAACAATTTCAACAGAAGAGCAACATTGCATGACTGCGCGGGGTGGTATTTACACGCCTGGCGACTCAAAGCGATGGACTTCATGGGGACAGTACTTTCTCGGCCTCGAGTACTTGGGCTACGGAGGCAACGGCGCCTATGGCATCGACAACATCAACACCTGGAGTCCCTTCACCAATATTGCTTTCGGCATGAGCAGCGTTCTTGTTGCCGCATACAACACAACCGATTATTTCAACGGTCTATTTGGTCTCGGGATATCTCAGGGTCGCTTCAAGGGGAATATTGGCGAGTCGGCTCTCACCCAAGCTGTGAAGACGTTTGGCTGGATTCCCAGCTACAGCTATGGCTATACTGCTGGAGCGAGCTACAAGAATATGCCCGGTTCCTTGACGCTCGGTGGTTTCGATTCCGCACGCCTTGTTGACCACGACACTCTCTTCACCATCACACAATCAGACAATTCGCCTCGCGTCAACGTTCGCAGTATCAACGTGTTCAATGATCGCAAGCCCCATGGATGGGACTCATCCATCAACAAATTGTCTAGTTACAACGATACCTTCATGGCCCTCGTCGATAGCACTACACCTTATCTGTGGTTGCCCGAAAGCATCTGCGAGTCGTTCGCATCCGCCCTCAACCTCACCTACAACGACACATACAAATTATACACGTTAACCAACACCCAGTATCAAGACTATTCCACCTCCAACGCTTACTCGTTTACTTTCAGTCTTGCCAGCATTGACAACAATGACAACTTCGGTCTTCCTCTTAGTGCTCCCGGAGTTGTCAACATTACCGTTCCCATCAAGGCTTTCGTCGGTTCCCTCCAATACCCTTTTGCCAAGGAGGCCATCAAGTATGGACAGCCCGCTGTGCCTTACTTTATGCTCCGTAAAGCTACGAATAGCAGCAGTATCATCATTGGCCGCTCTTTTCTACAAGAAGCTTACATTCGCACAAAATTCGACTCTGGCGTCTTCAGCCTGCACCAGGCAGCCTTTCCACGTGATCCCGATACTGATATCAAATTGAATCTCATCAAGCAACCGAGCAACAGCCCGTACCCACGACCTCCACCTACCAAGGATCATCACGGTCTGACAACACCTCAGATGATTGGAATCGCCGTTGGTGTCGTTGCCTTTTGCACCCTGCTCCTGGCCGCACTTTGTTTCTGGAATCGTCGCCGCAAGCAGAAGAAGCACGGCGAGACCGCCGCCAAGGAAGCCGAGTCACAAGACAGTTCGTCAACTATTTCTCCTGAATCTCCCATGACTCCAGTCTCTCGCATTCTGTCGAAAATTGTTCGCAGGAAGCGTTCAAGACGCACAACCACCACAACTAGAACGAGTGCTCCTACGGAGGCACCCGCTTCGGAGATATACGAGCTGCCGGCACCGTTACCTCCAGCTGAGCTTGCCGCTCACAACGAGGATGATGACTCTGTTTTGGGTGGCACAGTGGCAGGAACCGACGACTCGCAGAACCTTAGCGCTTACGAGCTCGCCAGACGCAAGCTTGCTCGACAGCTAGCAGGACCTGTCCCGGCCTATGCGCCTCCAGAGAATGGTATTGTGCCAGCTGAAAAAGACATGCACATTGATACAAACGTAGTTCGGACTACAACCATTCCCCACCCGCAACCTACATACCACTTCCATAACGTATCTCCAGTGCGGTCACACGAGGGTCTAGGGACCAACTCTCTGCCAGGCACTCTACCTTCGCCGGTTTCTCCTCGCACCGACTGGAACACCAACGACCTGCCATCGCCCATCACTGCATCGCTGCACCCGAACTCAGCTTCTTCGCAGTCTGGCTCTACAGGTAGACGTCGCGCAGGCTCCAACACGATGAATGGCACATCAAGCGAATATGGCAGTGCAAGGCGGTCCGACTCCAACTCCTCATCAAACTCAAACGGCCAAGAGCAGAGCCGCGAGAGAAAAGTTTCCTTTCCGCTCCCACAAGCATCTTTCCAAAGAACACCCATCGAACCCTCGAAAGTCGTGTGCCTTGGTCCTCTTCCAGAAAATGTCTCCTTGTTCAAGCAGCAGATGTTACCCAGTGCATCTGCAACACGTGAACAATCGTGGACTGGACCAGCTCACCATTCACATCACCGACCCTCAACAGGCAGCCTCGGCAGCAATTACACGGACGAGGAGGACGCCATGGTGGAAGAATTGACGCGTCAATCCACGTCTGTCTCGCGTTCGCTGGGCTCACAAAATGTCAATCGACCGCCAGCCCTTGTTGATCCCCTCATCCGTACCGTTTTGCCCGAGCGAACGGAAGAAGAAAACGTTTCGCCTACAAGCGACAAGAGTGGCGCTGGTTCACATAGCAGCGGCGGGCGCATCGGCGGTGGCGATCTCATTCACGTTCCACAGATGGCGGAGAAGCGCTACAGCTGGGAAGAAGAATGATGAAAGCAATTCACTGAAAAGAAGCAGGGCTTGTATGACTTGGAATAATAACTTAATGTGGCAAAGAAGATATGTTTTTTTGCCATTTTGGATAGGGGTGTGGTAAGAAGCACCCCCACAACGATCATTACATTTGCGAGCAGAATTTTGGTTTGGTTTCCTTTTTTCATATTGGAGTTTGGGCATTTGGAGTTGGCGGTAGCGTGTTTGGGCACCAGCGCGGTTTTTTTTTCCCCAAAGAGAATAGGCGGTTCAAGGTTTCCCCATTCCTGTTTTGTTCTTCTTTTTTGTCTTTCTCATCCGATTTTCTCTCTCTCCCTCTCAAGACCTCTCTCATCGATATCCACCCACCTTTCTTTTACTGGCACGCTTTAATCAAGCACGCCATCATGTACGTTTTGTTGTTGTATGACGCGAACCCGTCTTTCTCTACGGGGCTCGCGCATAACTGCTCTTGTTTTCTCTTATTTTTTTATCGTCGTTTCCGCGCAGTAAGAGAAGGAAATGAAATCTCCTCATCGATACTGGAAATATGTGGGACGTGGGCGGGTTGGTCAACCTGATACCAGATGAAGCTATTCAGTTGGAGCGATGCTCTTGACAAGGAATTACTATTAAATCCAAACAATTTCTTCATATCTTGGCTCTCCATCTCTACACTTTAATAACGGTGCTGTTGGCATGTCACTGTGAAATATGCCAGTCGGAAAAGGCAAAGGACTTTGAACCAACTTTTCGATTTCGTTGCATCATATACATCATGTACTATATATTTATCCCTCAACCTTGCTACATAGCCAACCACGACGAGCAGTAACTCTTATCCCCAGTCGTCTATCATCCACATTGCCGGCCTACCAAATCTCCTGCCACCACGTTACCGCGTCGAGCATCCTCTTGCGCTCCTCCCGGGCCGCATCGTCATCGTCGTCGTCGCCCGCCAAGAACGGCTCCCACACAGCCGCCTTGCACGCCTCGGCCATGCGCGACGACCCGCCACACACGGCAAAGATGGGTCTCTGCGGGATGAGCCTCGCCAGCGCGGCCGCCTCGCGCCTCACGAGGTCCTGCACGTAGACCTTTTGGCGCTGGTCGCGCGAGAAGGCGGGAAAGATGGTGAGCAACCGTCGTCGTCGTCGGCCGTCATCATCGTCGTCGTCGTCGTCGTCGTCGTCGTTATTGCCTTTGTCCTCCGCCGCCGCCGCCGCCGCCGCTTCGCTGCCTAGGACCGCCCACTCCGTCTCGAAAAAGTAGTCGGCGGCGCGGTTGCGGTTTCCGAAAAAGAGGAGCATGGGCCCGATGGCGTCGTGCGTCAGACGCTCGTGGATGAGGCTGCGGACGGGCGCGACGCCAGTGCCGGTGGCCATGGCGATGAGCGGCCGGCGGGCGTGGGCGGCGCCGTGGATGGGCGACTGCACGTCCTTTTTGGTGACGGTGAGGGTGGCGCCGACGGGCAGGTCCGCGAGGTAGCGCGAGCAGAGGCCCTGACGGGGCTTGCGCAGGACGGTCTGGTAGCGGACGAGGGCGACGAGCAGGTCGACGCGCGTAGTGGCGGCGGCGGCGGCGGCGGCAACGGCAGTTCCATTCTGCGACGTGGGTGCTGCCGCGGGATGGCGCAGCTGCTCTCCTCCGTTGGCAATGCTAAAGTCGCGACCGCGAATCAGCGGGAAGATGTCGAGGAGCCGCGCGGCGGGCAGCCGCACCGACGTAAACTCCTCGAGTACCTCGATGATGGTGCGGCGCGCGCGCGTGGCATAGTCAAAGTACTCGTCCACGTACTCGGGCGCGGTGAACTCGAGCAGGCGCTCTCTGTGGTAGGCGTCGTCGGAGAAGAAGGACATGCTCTTGAGGAACGAGCGGCGCGGGATGGCTGTCACGTCGACATTGTGCAGGAGCAGACTGCGCAGGGTCGTCTGCGGCGGGGCAAAGAGGCCGCGGGGAAGCGCGGCGCATCGGGACAGGTCGAGGGGCGCGTCGGCGATGGCGTCCCAGCCCATGAGGGTGATGAGCCGCTGAGCGTCTTCGGGAAAATTTTTGGGGTAGATGGTGAGGCAGTCGCCGGGCTGGCACCGGAGGGGTTCGGACGTGGTAGCTTGGCCGCCGAAGGAAGATGGAGTGGTGCTAGGTCGAGGCGGGATGTCGAAGGAGACGAGGCGGACGTCTTGCCAATGAGACTCGGGGGTGGTCCGCGTGTTGGCGGCGAGGGTGGCTGTCCAGCCGTCAGGAACGGGGAGGAGGTCTATTGGAGGCGTAGCGGGCAAGGACCGTTGGGCGGGGGAGTCGCCGTTCACTTGGGGCTCAGAGGTGGCGGCCACAATCTCCCGAAGAGCTGGTTCCAATGACCAGCGAGGTGGAAGGATGGCATCTTCGGGGATGGGCTTTAGTCCATCGGGGTGTGGATGCTTCTCCAACAAGTGCTTGGAGAGCCCGCTTGACCAGCGAGAGAACGACCCTTCGATGCTGCATGTGTAAGTAGATGGCATCGGAATGAAAAGGAGGCGGCGACTTACCCATCAGGAAACTGCTCGTCAGCCTCGAATGTGTCGTAAAATGCCGAGGCGCCCAGCTGGCCCAAACGCCGGATCAATTTGCGCGCAGCCCAGTTGAATCTGTTTTGCGGGTTAACTAGACGACTTTGAGACAAAACAAGCCATGAATGTCAAGCAAGACAGTGCTTGAACACTCACTTGAGATATGTACTATCACCGAGCCCAAAACACGTGTATTGAACCGGCGCCAGGCAGTCTGCCGGTAGTTTTCTCTGAAGGAGCCTCTTCCAGAATAGAGTTGAGTTGTGCGGCATATCACCTTGCCCCGTGGTAGAAATGACAAAGATGACAAGTTCATTTTGCAGCAGCGCTCGCTACCGTCCCGTCATCCGCAGGTCAGTTGATTGTCGGGTGCGACATGTAAGAAGGACGAACCAGTGTCACGGCACTCATCTCTTCGACGGTGCTTTGAAAATGCAGGCGCTGGCATGTCCTTCCCAGCTCCTCGGCCAATTCCTGCGCGTTGCCCGTCTCGGAGCCGTACAGGACCAGCACGGTCCTTGGCTGCGCGGCAGTCATCTTATCCAGCAATACGTTTTGCGCCGCGCCGCGCAGCAGGCCTCCTTATCGCTCCAGGGTGCGTAGATATTCAGCGTGAGTTTCCATGCAATGTCCTTTGTGCGGTACGGGCCAGCAAAGGGTTGGCGGGATAAATGGCAGGTTACCGTCGTGTTGCTGCAGCTTCGGCGAATTCCTGCGCTTGTGGAAGCGGCAAGACGTTGACAGAAAACCGGGTCTAGAGCCGATGGCGGCGTAAATTATGGGAGAGCCACCAAGTCGTAGCCGAGAGCCGCGATTGAGTAGGTCGCTGCGCGATCATGATAAAAGCACGCTAGACAAATTGATAGTGGTTCGAGCAAGAAGTTTGCAAGATATGTAAGCGCAGCATTGTGCTTATGTTGGGCCAACTTGATGGTGGGGTGTCCTGCGCGAGGTACTTGAACGTAAAAGGGCAATGACCAAGTACTATTTCCGCATTTTCTCAACTAATTTGAAAGAATAATAATAACCGATGAAAATGACAAGCGGAAAATGGGGAGATGCCAGAAAGAACAAGGATCTTCGTTCACTGCGTCGCCAATTTGTGCTATATGCGTTCGTGAAACCAAGTAATTTATTAGGTGTCACCCATATGAACTGTCGCGAAGAGTTTTCTGGAAAATTCTTTTCTTGTAATGGGCCATGTTGCACTGCTTTCAAAGGACAGACAGGCTACTGTACAGGTATATAAGCAGGCGAAAGTTTGCACTTGCGAGTAGCAATCCACCTGGAAGATCTGGTCAACGCCATACTGAGGATCAATACCGACACCGACCGGGTTTGTCTCTCAACATGCCTCCATAACATTGCGATGTTGGAGCATGCACCAACCCGTTGTGCGACAAGAGGGAGGTTGCTTGCTCTTCAACCCTCATCTCTGCGCGCATAAGACGACGAATTGTTCGCTCTTCTCGGCAAGATCAATATCGATGCTTGGGAAGCACACGCCTCGTTCTTGCGACAAGGGATCGACTGCTCCATTGCACCATTGCACCATTCCAGGATGAAACGGCAAAGCGCACATCTCGAATGGGTGGCATGAACTGTCATGTCGAGATTCTCTTGGCAGACGGCGTGGTCTGGCTTGCTCATATACGCCGATTAAAGACCTCGCCGCCTCCGCTCGCCGTACGGAACTACATTCTTTAGAGCAAAGTGGCTACTTTCAGGTTTCTGGAGACGACAGCCCTGGCGACGCCCAAGATGCATGACTATGCTCTGGACCACGGCAGAGGTCCTGTACGGGCCGGGTATCTTCCCTTGAAAAGCTTCCAGGCAAAAGCTCAGGCTAGCGGCGCAAGGCCCTGGAACAGCTTGCACTGATTGAGTTTCACAGGTATTCTCAGCCGGATTTTGATTCTCTGAATACGCCTGGAAGTGCCCAGCTCACGTATCGTTGCTGGGCATGATGTTTCGCCAGCTGAGAGTCTGCAGCCCCTTTCACTTTGCCACGCAGTACCTCAGATGCCATCTGCGGCCATACTAGATAGGACTTTAGGTAAGGAAAAGTATGCGCAACGGCCGGTCGACGTGTAATTGTTGCGTTGCTTCCTGCTCGACTTGGTGCCCGTCTCGACGCCCGCAGCTGCTTGCGATGGGAAGGTGTATCTCAAGCACGACGATGATAAAGGGCATCACGTCTTGGTGGACAACAGTCTCAATATCACGGGGTGTTATTGATTGGGTGTGGGCGCACACGGCGGCGGCGGCAGAGGCTTTTAAATCTCCGGTCATGCTGCTTCCCGTGGCGAATTTATATATGCTGGAAAAGGGGTCATTGGAGCAGAAGAGGCCATCTTTGCAAAGATTCCGAGGGGAAAGGGCCCAGGTCGCCTGGCGCGCAGCACTTGTTTGCGTTTTGTTACAGCTTCCTCTCAGTGACTGGGACGGGCTATCAAGTGCCTGCGGGAGGCGACGGATGTAAACGCGGTCATGACAAGGGAGGAATGGAAAGAAGCAGCATCGAATCGATATAAGTGCGATTCCGGGCTGCCGCAATTGCTCAATCGGCGTGGGAGTGCTGGTACGTGAAGGGGTGCCGAGCAACGTTATTAGTAGCGGTGAGCTGGAGGGCATAGCAAGTTGCGCAGACACCTGGCAAAAGCTTGTTGCGTCGCGTCCACGTGACTGGAGGGATTGAATGGTAACACAGCAGATTGTATTAAGAGGGCTGAATAGCGAAGGGGAAAAGATGACATTATCTGAAAACAAAAGTAACACAATCTCCTTTCATCTTGAATTTCCTTGACACGGTGCTCTAAGCATGAATGAACAAAATGAAGAATTACTTTGCTACTTGTAGCCTGCTGCATCTCTTGCTTGGGGTGGGGAAGAGGATAACAGGACGACCCACTGTATGAAAGCCGCGAGCCAATACCAAAGAGGTTGAGCAGGCCCGTCTCCCTTCAAAAGGCCCAGAAGATCCTGTTTAGGGGACGGCTACAGTCTGGAGCCCGCTATTCGCCCTCTACCTAGGCAAGGGGGGGACAAAAAAGCTGGCCCATCCTCATATTGCACCACACCAGCACCTAGAGAAGGAAAGTAAAATCAAAATTATAGAAAATAGATAAAATATTTATCTAAAGAAGAAAGTATTATTTAGCTTATAAGTTATACTATCTTAGTTATTTTATACTAGAATAACTCTTCTAGAATTAACAGAAAATAAATAAAAAGGTAGTCTTACTTTGAGGGTTCTCATTATGGGCCATTTACTTTGTCCCCCCGCTGCTAGGTACCTCCTCCTATTAAAGTCTTGATTGATTGCGAGGCACGCTGCACGCCACAGAAAATGTAGGTAGGCATAATTCGTGCCCTGACATGTCGTAGAGCCTCAGCCAAGAAAATTGCAGGGAGCTGGAGTAAATAGGTAGCTGTGGCGGCCCCTGAACGCTTCGCGAGGCGGCTGCTGTGCATTTGCCCTGAGGTACTCATGGGCAGCCACTGTTATTCGCAGGCAAGGTACCTGCAGGCTGCGGCGCAACCGGTCGCTCATGCACCTGCCCGTTGAATTTATTGATCATGTCGGTTCTCTCAGGTAAATCGGCAAGACGGTTGAAAAAAGTAGGAAACGTAGGTACTACCTGACAACCCCTACTTATTGCCTCTGGCTGGCTTTGCTGGGCTCGGCGGGCTGGGCTGGGCTGGGCTGGGCCACCACCGCGCCTGCACTCTGTGCCGCCGTGGCGAAAAATATTATTTAGTATTCCTTTCCAGACTTGGCCGCCTCCCCCCCTTTCCCTCTCCTCCATCACAAACAAAAAGTTAACTTGTGTCTCCGCGCAACGCACCGTCGTCTGTCGATACTTTTCAACCGATTCTAGGGCACCAAGCTACCCTGACCAACTCCCTCCCTCATTGCACCAGAGTTCAAGTCCCGTCCTCCGCCACCAGAGGATACCTGAACCCCCGTCGACCTCGCAATCGTTTTAAGCGTCATTCATACCCCCAAGCCACACTACGCGCCATCCATCTCCATACAAACACGCACATCTTCAAAAATGTCTGCTACCAACGTGGAGAAGGTTGCTGATGCCACCGTTAATGACCTTGCCAACACTCTGAGCAACACCTCTATCAATGACAAGGCCGCCGCCAACGAGGCCGCCTCTGCCTCCGCCGCAGAGGGCCGTCGTCTGTACATTGGCAACCTGGCCTACCCGACAACTGAGGGAGAGTTGAAGGACTTTTTCAAGAACTATCTTGTGTATGTTGATACTTCTCTTGCCATATGGCCAACGCGTCCAGGCTTGCCCACCCATCCTCGTTTGCCTGTGCAAATCGAGATGGTTACCTCTGACGCATCTACCATCACCATTTCACATGCTAACTCTGGTCCGCTTGCAGCGAGTCTGTCTCCATCCCCAAGAATCCCCGCACCGACCGTCCTGTCGGCTACGCTTTCGTCGACCTCTCGACCCCCACCGAGGCTGAGCGTGCCATTGAGGAGCTCTCCGGCAAGGAGATCCTTGAGCGCAAGGTCTCTGTCCAGCTCGCTCGCAAGCCCGAGCCCGCTGGCGAGAAGGTTGAAGCTTCCAACGGCGATGGTGCCGGTGCTGAGGGCGGTCGCCGTCGCACTGCTGGCCGTGGCCGTGGCCGTGGTGGTCGTGGCGCCCGTGGTGGTCGTGGTGCCCGCACTGGACGCGCTGCCGTAAGTTTCCCATACTCATCGCGCGCGAACCGTAAAATCATCTAACTTCATCATAGGAGGGTGAGGAGAAGAAGGAAGGCGAGACTGGAACTGCCGCACCTGCTGCAACCACTGAGGCTGCTGCTCCTGCCCCCGCTGCTGACGCAGAGACGGCCAACACTGAGGTTCAGCCACTTAAAGACATTACCAACAAGAAGGCAACTGACACGACAAACAAGGCTTCCAAGAAAGAGCCTCGCGCGCCCCGTGAGCGTCGTGAGCGTGGTCCCCCAGCCGATGGCGTAGCTTCCAAGACCAAGGTCATGGTCGCCAACCTGCCCTACGACTTGACCGAGGAAAAGGTATGAAAAGTTTACCCGTCAGATGCCAGCACGATGGCTAATCCCTTTGACCTATGCAGCTTATCGAGCTCTTCAAAGCTTTCGAGCCTTCCTCTGCCAAGATTGCCCTGCGCCCCATCCCCCGCTTCATGATCAAGAAGCTGCAGGCTCGTGGTGAGGCTCGCAAGGGCCGTGGTTTTGGCTTCGTTACCCTGGCAACGGAGGAACTGCAGCAGAAGGCTGTCAACGAAATGAACGGCAAGGAGATTGAAGGCCGTGAGATTGCCGTCAAGGTTGCTATCGACAGCCCTGACAAGACTGATGAGGAGGCCAACGCCCCCGAGGGTGAGGCCACTGGTAAGGACGCTGCTGCTACTGAGGCTCCTGCCGCCACCGCCACCGCTTAAAAGAATAAGCAATCGGCAGCACGACAGGCCAACGCTGGCATCTCAGCCTTGCCTTATGACCACCGTTGACGATATGGCACGCATGTTCGACGAAATATCATAATTATGCTACGCAATATTTCCTTCTCGCACCATCGTGATGTGAACGTCTCAATAGACGCTGTGATATTGGGTGGCTTATAATAATTATTTGCTGGCGATTTCGTATCTATATTAATGCATGAAGAGCATGGCATAGATGATGTGTTTGCCTGCAACGTTTTGATGTTTTCTGCTCCTGGAGATTCTTGCTTTAGATGTATTGGGACAGAAGACTAATGAAACTAATTGATCGATTGATATGGGCGACTGGACAATACTACGTACCTCATGTGTTCTACTGGGAAGTAATTTTACATGCATAAGTTGTAGAGCATTACAATCGTTATCACTCTTGGTTTCAGCAGGCGACTTGTGGCGGTTGCCCCGCCTATGATCCGACAACGTCCCATAATAATCTGGGGCTACAGTGCAGGCACAAACGTAGGCTTCCTCCCTGATATCGACAGCACTCCCAAGTTCGACCAGGGAGTGACGTTGTACATTTGGCCCGACAAAGGGACCCTGATTTCAGCACCTCTTACGCAGCATAGTCCTTCACAATGGCGTCCAAGGCGATGTGGGAAGTAGACCCGGAGACGCGATCCAAGGTAAGGACACTTGTCACATGCCAACTCATCTCCCCCTTCCCCTGCAGTAATGTGCGCCGAGTCGACTGACGCGTGTTTCTGCACAGCTGGCCGCGATCCAAAAAGAATCCAAGAACAATGTCTGCTGCGATTGCAACGCCCCGTCCCCGCAGTGGGCTTCGCCCAAGTTTGGCGTCTTCATCTGTCTGTCCTGCGCGGGCGTCCACCGCGGCCTGGGCGTGCACATTTCCTTTGTGCGGAGCATCTCGATGGATGCGTTCAAAGCAAGCGAGATCGAGCGCATGCGGCTGGGCGGCAACGACAACTGGCGCACCTTTTTCGACGAGCACGACGATACGCAGATGCGCGGCATCTCGTGGGACGACGCCACGATTGCGGAGCGCTACAGCGGCGAGGTCGGCGAGGAGTACAAGGAGCGACTGACTTGCAAGGTCGAGGGTAAGGACTACGTCCCGGGCGAGAAGAAGCCAGCGCCGGCGCCGGCGGTCGCCAAGGCACCCATATCAGGCTCGGCCACGTCGCGCGCGGGCACGCCGCTGAGCGGCACCGCCCACAGAAACGGCAGCCGCAGCCAGAGTCCGGCGCAGACCGGCAGCGGCAAGGTCAAAGTGGACGACAAGTACTTTGCCAAGCTTGGCGCGGATAATGCCTCGCGGCCCGACGACCTGCCCCCAAACCAGGGCGGCAAGTACGCTGGGTTTGGCAACATGCCGGCGTCGAGCAAGAGAGACGACTACAGTACATTGCCCAGATTAAACGATCTGCAGCAGGATCCGTGGGGTGCATTCTCAACTGGTCTTGGCTGGTTCGCGTCCACCGTGACCAAGACGGCCAAGACGGTCAACGACGGATACATTCAGCCCACTGCCACCAAGGTAGGCAAACAAACGAGCAACTGCTGCTATGCATATAGCGAGATGTTTTCTTCTTACTAACGGTACTTTGTCAAAAACCACAGTTTGCCGAAGGCGACTTTGCCAAGCAAGCACAGCTTACGGCGTCGCAGCTTGCCAAGCAGGCGCAGGCGGCTGGCAAGAACGCCCAGGAGGGATTCAACCGGTTCGTCGAGGGCGGCAACGAGTCTCATTCGGGAAGACGCCAAGTGCCACTTGACGAGAGCAAAGCGGACTTTTGGGACTCGTTTTCGAGCCTGGCCGACCAGAAGCAGCAGAAGCCGCAGAAGAACAGCTCCATTGGCACAAGCGCCATGGGTGTGGGCAAGAAGGGCAGCGCGGCGCCCGCGGCACAGAAGAAGAATGATGAATGGGACGACTGGTAAGCCAAAGGATTTGGGCAGCCTGGGCAGTTTTTTTATGGTAATTCTCTTTATTCATTTTCGCATGTGCTCGGATGATTTCCATTTTTACAAAACGTTTTGCATGGGAGTGTATGGCGTGTCATTGGTCGGGAGGGTAGTTGCATCAAGCAAATTGCTATAGAGCTCTTTTAATATAGAAAATTTATACATGTCAATATCCCCCAACTACCATCTGACGTCTCGATTGGCTTCATCCTTCAAGACATGGATTTACGGTCGGGTGCCGATGATCGGTCACCTGTCCGGACTCACGTGACACACATCATGTTTCGCCGTCCAAATGGGTGCAGCCGGCGCAAGCCGGCATGTGTCGGATTCATGTGGGCTAATAGCAAACAGCGACAAGTCCAAAGCCGGTGCAGCGAGCTAACCTGTCAAAGCCGCCGGCCTTCTTCCCTGTACAACCCACCTCATCTATAACCTTCTCTACGCATCTCGTCTTGGGGGCATTGAGACGTCAATCAACACGCAAAACATGACTTCGCTACGAATTCTCGTCCCCATCAAGCGGGTCATTGACTATGCCGTATGTTGCCATTTCCTTTCTGCCGACTCTTTTTTTTTTACCCCCGACTTTGTCGGAAACTCTTTTGCAAAATGGGCGCGAGAAAAGCTAATGACGTTTTGATGTCTCTTCTTCCCTTTCCCACAGGTCAAACCCCGCGTCAACAAGGCCCAGACGGGCGTCGAGACGGCCGGCGTCAAGCACTCCATGAACCCGTTTGACGAGCTCTCGGTCGAAGAATCGGTGCGCATCCGCGAAAAGAAGCGCAGCCCCGGCGGCGTCGAGGACATTTGCGTCGTGTCCGCCGGCCCGGCCAAGGCGCAAGACGTGCTGCGCACCGCCATGGCCATGGGCGCGGACCGCGGCGTGCACGTGGAGCTGGCCGAGGGCGAGGAGCTGGAGCCGCTGACGGTGGCCAAGATGCTGGCCGCGACGGTGGAGCGCCAGCGCAGCAACCTCGTCGTGCTCGGCAAGCAGAGCATCGACGACGACGCCGGCCAGACGGGCCAGATGCTCGCGGGCCTGCTGGGCTGGCCGCAGGCGACGCAGGCGAGCAAGGTCGAGTTTGGCGACGCCGACGCCGTCACCGTGACAAAGGAGGTGGACGGCGGCGTGGAGACGGTGAGGGCCAAGCTGCCCATGGTGATTACGACGGATCTGCGCCTGAATGAGCCCCGGTACGCGAGCCTGCCCAATATTATGAAGGCCAAGAAGAAGAAGCTGGAAAAGTTGAAGCTCGGGGATCTCGGCCTCGGCAACGAGACCCGCCTCAAGATTCTCAAGGTCACTGGTAAGTCCTTTTCTTTTCTTCTTTTCTCTTTTTGCCCCCTCTCCCATGGCAAGAGGCGGAAATTGCATACAACGGATGACCTTGCTAATGCCTGGATATCAGAACCTCCCGCGAGACAAGGCGGTGGCAAGGTCGAAGATGTCGACGGCCTTGTCAGCAAGCTCAAGGAGCTCGGCGCTCTGTGAAGCCAGCGGAGATGGCGGGACGGAAATACGATAGATAAAATACCTGTAGAACCACGACCAACACTGCGAGCCTAGATTTGAATTTCTGGCTCACAAATGCAATACAAATGCAATATATATGACACAATGATTCCACATCAAACCACAGAAAGTGCAGTGCTGTTCAGTCAGTCCTCCAACATGTCCGTCTCCACCAATTTACGCGGTGCACCACCATCATCCACTTCAGAACCAAAATACACCATACACATACACATATACATACACATACATACACATACACATAATGCACACGGCACGCAAAAAAACGTAATAAACGTAGTGAATTCATGATACATAAACGTACACAAAGTACACGTAAACGTAGAATCCAAATAAACGCAACAGACGCTTAAATGGAAAACATACGCACGCATACTTGCGCAGGCCCTATTTTAAAAGTCGGCCTCTACGTTCCCAAATCAAATCCCAAACGCCATGGAACACGGCCGGCTTGGCCGTGTCGGGTATCATGAAAAAGATTCCGCCTTCTAAATATGAGATAATGTAAAACCAAGCAAACAGCTCTAACTTTTTCCCATTTGTTGTATTTCAAACAAAGTGAGTAAAAACACATGTAATCCATGAATGAAAAGCAAAGAAAACATGCGTAAAGCACAATCCGATGCACGGAAAGCGCTTTAGAACGGAAGACATCTCTAAGCTACTACACAGCTTGTTCAAGAGCTTGCCAAGACCAAGGCCAACAGTGCCATCCGACAGTATAGGCCATATCTCATCTGCAATGGATGCGTTAGTATGCGAGTCTGCCAATCGGTAGTCACCGAGACTTACCTGTCTAAAGTACGCCGCGCGCTGATCAAAGTCGACCTCCTCGGCAACTTCCTCATTGCGTGGTAGCGGGTGCAGAACGACCATGGAGCTCTTGGCATTCTTCAAGGTAGCATTGTCCAAACGGTACGAGTTCTTGACCTGGTGGTATTTTTCCACGCTATCAAAGCGCTCACGCTGCACACGAGTGCAGTATAAGACGTCGGTGCGAGCCAAAATCTCCGGGGTGAGGGTCGCAGACTCGCAGAGTAGCTGGCCAGAGGCAACGAGCTGATCGCGGACCTGAGCAGGAAGCTCCAGGCCCTTAGGAGCAACGAGCTGCACCTGCACCTGATAGTGCTGGAGTAGGTAGACCAAGGAGTGCACGGGTCTGCCGTAAAGAAGATCACCTAGGAAAGTGATTGTCAGGCCCTGGACGGTACCCAGTTCTTCGCGAATAGTAAATAGGTCCAAGAAAGCCTGAGTAGGGTGCTCCTTGCTACCGTTGCCGCCATTGACAACAGGGACAGGGCAGTACTTGGCAGCAATGTTGACAGAGTTCTCATCCGGGTGGCGCATAACAATTGCGTCGCTATAGCAGCCCAGCGTGCGAAGAGTGTCCTGCAGCGACTCGCCCTTCTTGACGGAAGAATGGGCAGTGTCAACGTTGATGGTACGGCCTCCAAGACGCTGCATAGCAGCATCAAAGGAAGCAGATGTTCTAGTGGAGGGCTCGTAGAACAGGTTGCACATGACGCGACCGCTGAGAAGATTGAGAACACCTTCACGCTGCACACCAAGTCTCATTTCCTGAGCCACAGTGAACAGAATATGTAGATCCGCTCGCGTATACTGCTTGACCGAGAGAACATGTGCGTTCCTGAACGAGGAAGCCTGCGATAAGAGCTTCTGCAGAGAAGTGCTAACAGCAGGCTGAACCTGCAAAGGTAGACCGAGATCCTCGACTGCGCCACGAGGGCCCTGCGCAGGCAGGGCCTGTGGAGAAGTGATGCCGCGTAGTCGTCCCAGAGGTCGGAGGTTACCAAACGCAGCCTGCTGGCGAGACTTGGGGCTCTCCACGGAAATAGCAGCAGCAGTAGGCTTCATCGCGGGAGTTAGAGGAGGTATCGTGTGCGAAGACATATCCTTGCCGGTGGGAGGAACATCAAAGGCCTCACCGTCCAGGCACAGGGTAGCGTTCTGGAAAGTGACACGGCGAATCGAACCAAACAGGCGACGGCCTTCCAAAGGAGACCAGAAAGAACCCTTCTCGACCTCAAAGACGCGGTCGACTTCGACCTCAACAGAAGTGCCAGCCTGCTCGTGAAGCTCAAAGATCTCCTTTGGATTAGTGTATAGGCGGTCCTTGATGTCGTCGATGGTAAGCTTGCCCTCGGCGACAGCGGTGAGCAAAAGAGGAAGGGCTTCAGCAATGCCCATTGAAGGATCACCCTTGTGGCCCAGCGAGGTGGCCAGTTGATAAGGCAAGCTGCCAATAGAGAACACATCAATGGTCTCCAGATTCTCCCAGAGAGTAGCCTGGTCCTCGGCGGTAGGGAGGAAGTCGGCAGTTGGGAAATCCTTCTGGGAGAGGAACAGCGAGTAGATGGATACGTCGCAAGTGACCTGGAGGCCCTTGGCCTTGCTAAGAGCGATCAGGCGGATGTCGTCCTTCGTAGACACAGACGTGACGTGAATGTGTCTGTTGTGCAGACTGGCGAGCAGAAGAATCGAGGCAAGGTCGGTGAACTTGGCATCTGTGACCATAGGCTTGTTCGTGGGCCAGGCGTCGAAGTGAGCAGTCACAGCAGCGACCTTGCTAATGTTGCCAGATCCAGACAGGTGGTTAAAAGGGATGAAAACTGAGCCAACTTCTCCAATAACAGTGCTGATCTGCTCAGCATTGTTGCTGGTGGCAGAGATGGAGAAGTTATAGTCACAGTATCCGCCAGCAGCACTATTGTGCTGGGCGGCCTTGAGCGTAATGGCATCGGTGATAGAACCCTCGACGCCAAGAGGCATGAGGCGGATCATGCTGAAACCAGCAGCAATGAAAGCCTTACTCACGGTCTGGATGTCAGCGCTGTGAGGAGAAACAATGCCAGGAACAAAGGCGGCGATATTGATCAAGCCAGGGAAAACAACAGTCTGGTGGCTGGTTTGGAAATCACGCCCAGATACAGTGAGCTCGAAAGAGCGGGAGATGGCCTCAATCAGAATCTTAGCGTTCTTGACGTTCGTGACCAGAGGAACCTGGTAGTCAACAGCCATGCGGCGAGTTTGGTAACCCTTGCTGACGTAGTTGGCGGGACGGCGGTACTTGTTGCTGGAGGGCAGATTGATGTACAGATCAATCATGTTGTTCGCAAGATGTTGAGATAGAGAGAACTCAGAATTTCTATCCTCGTCGCTTCCAAGAACCTCGAGGTACTGGACGGGAACGCCATGCTCTTGAAGGAAATCGGCGGTACCAGCCGTAGCAAAGAGTTTGTAGCCAAGACGCTGGAGCTTCTGCACTGAGGGAAGCATCTCCTTTTTGTCTTTGTAGGAGCCAACAGACAGGAGAATGTTTCTCTTGGGAATCTTAAAACCGGTGGACAGCAGGGCCTTGAGGTAGGCCTCGTTCTTGTCAACACCGAAGCAAGCAACTTCACCAGTGGAAGCCATTTCGACACCCAGGACGGGATCAGCACCAGAGAGACGCGAGAAACTAAACTGGGGAACCTTGACACCAACGCAGTTGGGTGCGAGGTCAGTAGGAGGGTACTCCTGGAATGGCTGGCCAGTGATAGCCTTGGTAGCCATCTCAATCAGATCGACACCCATGACCTTGGAAACAAAGGGGAACGATCGAGAGGCACGAACGTTACACTCAATGACCTTGATGTCATTGTCTTTGGCAATAAATTGAATGTTGAAAGGACCAGTGACATTCAGTGCGACAGCAATCTTGCGGGTAGCATCCTCGATGCGGGCAATAGTGGTGGGTTCAAGATCCTGAGGTGGCAAAATGAGAGTAGCGTCACCCGAGTGGACACCAGCATTTTCGACATGCTCGGAGACGAAGTGGCCGACGACAGTGCCGTCTTTGGCAACTGCATCCATTTCAATCTCCTTGGCATTCTCAATGTACTTAGTGATGACAACGGGGTGCTCGCGAGAAACCTCGGCTGCTTGTGCGAGATACGACTCCAAGTCCTTCTCGGAGTAGACAGTGTTCATGGCAGCACCAGAAAGCACGTAGGAAGGACGCACAAGAACAGGGTAGGAAACTTTGTCGCAGAAAGTCTTGGCCTCCTTAAAGCTGGTCAGCTCCTTCCAAGTAGGCTGGTCGACACCAATGCGGTCCAACATGCGGGAGAACTTGTATCTGTTCTCGGCATTGTCAATCATTTCAGGTGATGTACCCAGAATCTTGACACCAGCGCGGAAGAGGGGCAGAGCGATGTTGTTGGGGGTCTGACCACCCATGGCGCCCAAAACACCGGAGGCATTCTCGAGGTCGTAAATATCGAGAACGGTTTCCTGGTTGATGTTCTCAAAGTAAAGCCTATCGGCCTCGTCGTAATCAGTAGATACGGTCTCGGGGTTGTAATTCACCATGACCGTCTTGAAGCCACTGGCGCGCAGAGTGCGAATAGCGCGAACGGAGCACCAGTCGAACTCTACGGAGGAACCGATTCGGTAGACACCAGAGCCGAGAACCATGATACCGTGATCTTCGAAGTCGATATCGTGCTCAGAGGCGTTGTACGTCAGGTACAGGTAGTTTGTAAAAGCAGGAAATTCGGCAGCGACAGTGTCAATCTGCTTGACGAAGGGGTGGATACCAGCATCGAGACGAAGTCTTCGAATGGCCATCTCATTGGAGCCGACAAACTTGGCAACCTGCGAGTCAGAGAAACCAAGTCTCTTGGCTTGGAGTATCAGAGAGGGAGACTTGGCGATATCAGCAGCAGTGAACTGGGACATATGCTTCCCAAAGTCGCTAAGGCCCTTGAGTTTGCGGAGGAACCACTTATCAATGTTGGTAAGCTCCCAGATCTTGTCGACAGTGTAGCCCTGGTGCATGGCGTTGGCGATAGCGAATAGGCGCTGATCAGAGGGGGTCTGCAGTTCGTCATCGATTGCCATGAGAGCCTTGGTGTCGTTGAATCCAAGATTGTGGAAGTCGATGGAACGAATAGCCTTCTGAATGGCTTCCTCAAAGGTGCGGCCGATACTCATGACCTCACCAACACTCTTCATAGACGAGCCAAGTTGGGTAGAGACGCGGGTGAATTTCTTCAAGTCCCAGCGAGGCATCTTGACGACGACATAGTCGAGAGAAGGCTCAAAGCAGGCGCAGGTCACCTTGGTGACGGAGTTCTTGATCTCCTTGAGAGGGATGCCGAGACCAAGCTTGGCAGCAATAAAGGCTAGAGGATAGCCGGTGGCCTTTGAAGCCAGAGCAGAAGAACGCGACAGACGAGCATTGACTTCGATGATGCAGTACTCCCTAGAAAAGGGGTTCAGAGCATACTGAATGTTACACTCACCAACAACGCCAAGGTGACGAATGACATTGACGGCAGTAGTGCGGAGCATGTTGTAGTCTTCATCAGAGAGAGTTTGCGAAGGTGCGACGACAATGGAATCACCGGTGTGAATACCGAGAGGATCAAAATTCTCCATGTTGCAAACAGTAATACAGTTGTCCTGAGCATCACGAACAACCTCGTACTCGATTTCTTTCCAGCCCTTCATACTGCGCTCGACGAGGACCTGAGGACTAGCGGCGAAGGCTTTGTTGCAGAGGTCAAGAAGCTCCTGTTCATTGTTGGCAAAACCACTGCCGAGACCACCAAGAGCGTAGGCAGCACGGACAATGACAGGGAAACCAATATCTTTGACGGCAGCAAGGGCCTCCTGAATGTTATTGGCCGAGGCAGACTTGGCACACTTTTCGCCAATGGATTCCATGCTGCGGGCGAAAAGCTCGCGGTCCTCGGTGGTAATGATTGTGTCGATGGGTGTACCGAGGACCTTGACTCCGAGGGCCTCAAACTCGTCCTTGAGCTGAATGCCGACTTGCAGAGCAGTCTGGCCACCGAATGTGCAGTAAATGGCATCGGGATGCTCGTAGTTGATGACCTTGCGGACAAACTCGGCGTTGACGGGCAGGAAGTACACCTTATCGGCGAGACCTTTAGAAGTCTGAATCGTGGCAATATTGGGGTTGATAAGAACAGTGTAGATGCCTTCTTCCTTAAGAGCCTTGATAGCCTGGCTACCAGAGTAATCGAATTCACCGGCCTGGCCAATGCTCAGACCACCGGAACCGAGTACAAGAACTTTCTTGACGGAGACACGTGGGTGAAGTCTCTCGTTTTCCTCGATGGCGCCGCCGGGAAAGCTGACAGGAGACTGTAGGAGAGACGGGTTCTCGGCACAGCCAGCCATTGTGTTGATGAAGACGTCAAAGAGAAATTCGGTGTCGCGAGGACCAGGAGTGCTCTCGGGATGGAACTGCACACTGAAGTAGGGCTTGTTTGTGTGCATAATACCCTCGTTGCTACCGTCGTTGGCGTTGACGAAGAGCTCTTTCCAGTTGGCGGGCAGAGTCTCGGCATCGACGGCGAAGCCGTGGTTCTGAGAAGTGATGTGACACTTGCCCGAGACAAGACTCGTGCAGGGAATATTGTGGCCTCTGTTACCAAACTTCATCTTCTTGGTAGCTGCACCGGAAGCACGAGCCAAGAGCTGGTGACCCAAGCAGATACCGAAGACGGGAATCGTGTTCTTTTGCATGACGGCAGAGATGTTCTTAACAGTAGTTTTAAGGACTGCGGGATCACCAGGGCCGTTGGAGATAAAGAGACCGTCGTACTCCTCGCCAGCGGCTGTGGTCAGGTCGTAGTCCCAAGGGCAGACAAGAACTTCGACACCACGCTTGAGGAAGCAGCGCAGCTGGTTGTACTTCATACCGACATCGACACAAAGAACACGGATGGCGCGGCCGGAAGGATGCTTGCGAACAGAAGATGCCGGGGGTTTGTAGAGCTTGGGAGCTTTGATGGAGACTGCAAACGCAATTAGCATATCATCAAGCACAGGCATAGAGGGAGGGGATTTACCTTGAGCAACCAGGTTGTCGGCGTTGGGATTGGACCACTCGAGCTGCTCAAAGGCGTCGAGGGTGGTGTGAGTGCGCTCGTCGCTGGCGGTGCCATTGATGAGGCCGGGAAGCTCGCGACGCATCTTGCCGAGCATGCTTCCCTTTTCACGGATCTTCTTGGTCAGGGCGCGAGTGTCGACACCGTACATGGCCGGAACACCCTGCTCCTGGAGCCATGAGCTGAGAGAAGACTGGGCGAGGAAGTGGGAGTAGTCCTCGCCGCAGTACGAGGCAACAACCAGACCAGCAACATGGATCTGGGAGGACTCAAAGTGGGCGGGCAGATCGCCGAGGAGCTCGTCGACGGTCTCGCGCGAGGGCACACCATAGTTACCGACCAGAGGAAAGGTAATGACGAGGATCTGACCGCGGTATGAAGGGTCTGTAACCGACTCAGGATAGCCAACCATACCGGTTTGGAAGACAAGCTCTCCGGCAATAGACTTGTTGGCGCCGAAGCTGTAGCCTTGGTAGGCAGAGCCATCTTCTATTTCGAGGCAGACGAGACCATCATCCTCGCAGCCGTGGAAGCGGGCGGTGGCAGGGGCCGTGACCTTGACTGGCATTTTTATGAATTGGTCGGCGATGCGAAGGCGTAGTGCCTGTTGATGTAAGGAGGAACGGGATTTGGTACGGAAAGCAGCAGTTGAGGGGTTGAGGCCCTGCTCAACAAGAATGGCAGGTTGGAGGGGGTTTCGGCGCCAGCTCGAAGAGCTGCAACAGGTAGTAGGAGCTAGCGACAGCAGGCAAGACGACTCGTTTCCAGAGGTCCTTCGAGCAAGTCAGTTCGCTACCTCGCTATCATCTGCCACGACAAGAGAAGAGGAGAGTCGTATCAAGGCAGACGATTTCTTTTACAGGACAAAAGAGAGAAAGGGAAAAAAAAGGTCGACGCGATAGCGGGCCAGTGAACTTTTTTTTTCTGGTCCACCAGTTGCGGTCTGCGGTTCAACTACCTAACTATTTTTGACTAGGTGGTTTTAGGCCAGGGTTTTGGACGTGGTGATTGGCCAAGAGTGGCAGCAGCCTATACCAAATACGTCAAAAGGTTCTAATTATCACGAGCGCTGCCTTGGCCTCTCCTACGCGTTTCGCCCTTTCTAGGCGGAATATTGTAGTTTTCCTTTGTAGGTTCAAAAGGGCTCTTCTATATTAAAGGTGGTGAAAAATTCAAAGGCTAAAGGCCATCTTCGAATTGAGCTCCCAGATTGTTGTCAATTGCAGAGTAAAACCGCGATGGTCCACTTGAGCCTCCACCAGCTTTGTTCTGCAAAGACGTGATTTTGCAGGGCAGCTTGTAAGTTACTTTGAGCATTTGGTGCTGATAGTGAGTACATGATCCGAAAAAAAAAAAAAATCAAAGCATCGAAGAAGGCGCGTACATACACGCAGGTGTTGGGGTAGTGTTTCAAATTGAGCGTCATTGTTCGAAACAGTGTGCGAAAGTCTCGCCGTGATGACTCGTGCATACGTACTTTCACAGCCAGTTCGAAATGAGCCGCTTCCGATGCGTGCCGTTATTTACATAACAACGCAGATCTTGTAGTAGCTAGGTAGCTGGCCAGCCAGCCAAGCAGACTACCTACACGGGAGGGTGTTTGCTGGCATACCCTCTGACATATTTCGCCATCTGATGTATTTTTTGAGGCAGGTGGCAAGGAGATTGCACTTTTTGATATTATTGAAAAAAAAAAATTTAACATCCTATCCGATAAGCCTAATCTAACTATGACAAGATGCCTCAAAAATCTTCTATCTTCAAAAATCTTCTATCTTCAAAAATCTGTCTGAAGGCATAGTTAGTTAAAAGACACCCCTCCCGCGTAGGCAATAAGCTAGCTCTGGGGAGAATCGCAGCAACCTGGCCACGACTCCGCCTGGGGCTGTAAGACATGTTGGGGCGAGATTACCATAGAAATTTTCGGATGAAGGTGCCTAAAGTTTGGCTGGCAATTGGGCGGCTGGGGGAGGCATGAGGCATCACCGGAGTCTGCAAAAAAACTCAGAAAATATACGTCACGTGCAGCAACGCCCAGCACTTTTACATATGAAGAGTCGAAAGTCTGCTGTGCCAGCTCAACTGGTCGAGGGTGACAGTTACACTGAGAAGCAAATAGATATTCAGGAATGCCTTGCTTGCATACGAAGCGTGGCAACCGCAATAGCCGTCTGCAGCCGCTCATGACATGGTACTTCCAAAAACAAGCCCAGCCGACCCCAACTCGTCCAATCACAAGCTCTACCCGCCGGGTTTTGAGGTCAAGCTGGCGGGACCAGATCACATCTGCAGCAACATTGGCAGGCACACGACACACCGACACAAAAGATCCAGTCGTGTTGCTGTAAATGCAAGCCACAACTCCCAGCCCCAATTACGTATATGAATTCGACTAATAAGATCAGATGGGCAGAAATTGGCATCAATTGAGACTCAGTCCAACAAGCCACGGCTTCAGCCTCTTCTCCGAAGGGAAAAAAAAAAAAAAAGATGTTACAAGTGGAGCGACATAGATAAGGCGTAGAAAAGAGGGACTTGGGGCTTTTCCGGCCAATCCAAGACGGCGCATTCTTTTTCTTAGTGCCAGCTGCGTATACAGGCAGGAAAAAAAGCGCCGATACCGTTCAGCTGCCCCAACACCTACCATCACTACTCAGTACTTTATATTATCAAGAGACATTCCTCTGCAAGTCTGAAATTGCCGCGGCTGAGTGCAGTGTGTACCTAGGCGTGCCCCGAGCAAGTCTGCCCTTCGAAAGCCTGCGCTACCTATCTGGATAGGCCCTAACGTTTGGCTTGGCCTACCTAGATAGCACGGTGCCTACCTACCTAGGCAACTACCTAGGTAAGGTAGGCACGGATTACTGAGTGATTGTCTTCCCCTGCTCCCGCTCCAATTGCAATTATTTCTCTTCTATCTCCGGCACACTTGTGTGCTCTGTCTGCGATGAGCTTCTTTTTTCCGTCTTTCGTCTTGCTTTATCAATCAATTCATTTATCAATCAATCCAATTTGATTTGCGTCCTGCTTGTCTTGTCATTATTACCCCATATCTATTTTTTGCACCAGTCGGGGAACATCCCATATCTTAGTACTGCGTAATAATAATAAGCCTTATAATGTTAGCTAAGGTAGGTAAGCTCACCCGCCGCCGGTCTCGGGCTGCTTGACAGTCATTGTCACGCACCACCAAAACTTCTGGCGCTGGTACCTCTGCCGCAAACCTCTGCCGCAAATCTCTCCTCTCCTTCATCCTCCACAACAACTTCATCATCCGCCTCTGCGACTCTACGGACGGCCGCAGCGATCTCTTTTTCCCATCCGTCTATATTCATTGCGATACTTGCAATATTCGCTGCTTCTTTCTCAACTACATCTCATCGACAGCGGCCGCTGCCTTTGGTACGTCGCTCCACCAGCAAAATACTTTACACCGCTCTCCATGCAGCATCACGCCGCCAGCACGTAACTAACATATGCTAATCATTGACCTGCCTGCCATATAGATTGCGCGGCCTCCATCACTATTCCCCCGACCCCTTTGCGTCGCCCTCAGATTATGAACAAGACCCCTCCTTCGAAACAGATCTGGAACCCGGCTTTCAAGCAAATCTAAATGTTTTCGCCCAAAATGTTTGCCCGCCTGACAAGCCATGTTGTCCAGCCGGCTGCCCGAATGGCAATGCCGGCTCGCAGCAAGTTCATGACGGGTCAAGTTCAATTTCTCTCTACTGGTAGCAAAGGCAGAGCCATGCCCAAGCGCGGCACCATCGGAACCACACCCGCTGCCTCTGTGCCTGCCACTTTTACCATCCGCGTACGTCCTGCTACCTACCGATATGTTCCAGTCGTGCCGCCCTGCTAATTCTGTAAACTCCAGGACGGTCCTATTTTCCGTGGGAAAGCCTTTGGCGCCAATGCTAACATCTCTGGCGAGGCTGTATTTACCACGTCCCTCGTTGGATACCCCGAGTCCATGACCGACCCCTCCTATCGCGGTCAGATCCTCGTCTTCACCCAGCCTCTGATTGGCAACTATGGAGTTCCCTCAAATGAGCGTGACCAGTACAATCTTCTCAAGTACTTCGAGTCCCCTCACATCCAGTGTGCGGGCGTTGTCGTCTCCGATGTTGCCCTCAACTACAGCCACTGGACTGCCGTTGAGAGTTTGGGACAGTGGTGCGCTCGCGAGGGTATTCCTGCCATCTCCGGAGTTGATACCCGAGAAATCGTCACTTTTCTCCGAGAGCAGGGCTCTTCCCTTGCCAGAATTTCCATCGGCGACGAATATGATGCCGACGAGGACGAAGGCTTCCTCGACCCTGGCCAGATCAACCTGGTCAAGCGCGTCAGCACCAAGGCCCCCTTTGTTGTTGAGTCGCCTGACGCTGACCTGCATGTTGCCCTTATCGACTGTGGTGTCAAGGAGAACATTATGCGAAGCCTTGTTAGCCGCGGCGCCTCGGTCACTGTTCTTCCCTACAACTACCCGATCCACAAGCACGCTCAGCACTTTGACGGCGTCTTCATTTCCAACGGCCCCGGCGATCCGACTCACTGCCAGGAAACTGTCTACAGTCTTGCCCGCCTCATGGAGACTTCCTCCATCCCCATCATGGGCATCTGCCTCGGCCACCAACTTCTGGCCCTCGCCGTGGGCGCCCGAACGATTAAGCTCAAGTACGGCAACCGTGCTCACAACATTCCCGCTCTCGACTTGACCACCGGCCAGTGCCACATTACCAGCCAGAATCACGGCTACGCAATTGATGCTAGCACGCTGCCTAGCGAGTTCAAGGAATATTTTGTCAACCTGAACGACGGCAGCAACGAGGGTAAGCACTGCAAGCCTGACGTGATAACGATGATGTAAACTAACTGAATGTCTAGGTATGATCCACAAGACTCGCCCCATCTTCTCGACCCAGTTCCATCCTGAGGCCAAGGGTGGCCCCATGGACAGCTCGTACCTCTTTGAGAAGTACCTCGAGAGCGTTCGCCAGGCCAAGAGCGCCCAGACCGTCTACAAGGACAATCGCCCAAGCCAGTACCTCCTCGACATCATAAGCCGCGAGCGTGTTGGTGTTAAGCCCGAGTCACTTGCCAGCGCCGCCTAAGCCTGGAAAAGAGCTCGATTTGAGAAACAGAGCTAACGACTCGGAAGAGGAACAGAAGCATTACAGGAAAGTGAAGGGAAAGGAAATGTAGTCTGAAATAGATAAGAAAATGGTATGAATTCCAAGCCAGAATCAAACAATTTAGTTCCGTGCACCACCAGATTCGAGCTATTGAAACCCAATCTCAAGCGGTAATGAAAGCGTAAACACTGGCGAGATCAAGTTTGTCTGCTTGGGGTACAGCCCCTGATTATTTCGAGTCTCTAGTCCTATTTCTCTGTCGATATTCGCCCAAAAAGTTGCCTTGTCGAATCCGACTGTATCAATCGACCGCCTCTGTCCGATGAAAGCAAAATTAGTCTCATTTTGTCACCAAGTCGTTTTATCCTTTCGCGACCTCGCAAAACGCCCACTGCCAAAACCTGTAAAACCTGATGTCAAAATTAAATGCAGACCCAAAGAATCAAGTACAGCCAAGAGATTTGAAAAAAAAAATCACAAAAAAAATCACGAAAAAAGAGAGATGGTCTCGCATATTTCAATAGCGACGATCGCCACTCCGGTCATTATCCCATCGTCGTCCACCACCGCCACCAAAAGATGACCCAGGAAGGTAGCGGTCACTTCGCGGCCTGTCACCGCCACCGTTGCGGCGTCCACGGCCACCACCACCACCACCACCGCCGCCGCCGCCTCGGCCGCCAAACTTGCCCCCTCCGCGACGACCACCGCCGCCGCCACCACGCTCCCTATGCGGCGGGCGAATCCCCTCAAATACTTCCTTGCCGCGATCGACAAAGCCGTCGCCTTCCTCGAACGAATAGCGGTTGATCTCGCGGCCGAGCACGCGGCGCGTGTCCTTTGTGTAAAAGGAGCGCATGTTGTCGATGCGTCGCTCGGCGAGCGTCGGCGCCACGAGCTGGAACTTGATGGACGGACGGGCGCGCGTCCGCTGCAGCTCGTAGTCGAGCTCGCTGGGCGGCGGGGGTATGGCGCGCTCCAGTCGGGGGTTGGGGCCATCGCGGCGGCTGCCGCGGGGCGACCCAAGATCGCCGCCGCCACGATCGCGGTCGCGGTCGCGGTCACGGTCGCCTCGAAAACCTGCAGTGTCGGTGGCGCTCGCTTGGTTAAATGATGGCAGCCGCGGGGGACCGCCGCGTGACGATGCCAGGCCGCCGCCGGCCTGTTGTAGACGGGCCTCGACGACGCCGTCTGGGCCTGTGGTGTAGATGACCTCCCAGCGCGCCGTCGAGCGTCCCGGTCTCCCTCCACCACCACCACCTTGTTCCATGGCGATCCAGTCGTCAATTTTTTCCGCGGGCACGAAATCGACGCAGAGCGCTTTGCGGTTGCTCTCATTCGGCCAGACGCGGTCGTGGAGCTTGGAGCGTACGCGCGCGGCGGCCTGTACAGACGAGAGCACGACAAAGGCGTGCGTGCGAATCTGATCAAGATGGAATTGGACAATGACGCCGCCGCTGCCGCCGCCGTCGGCGAGGGTGGCCTGGCTATTAGAAGAAGAGGAGCCGGCGGCGCCGGCGGCGAGCTCGCAGATGTGCGCCTGGACGTCAGCAGGGCGGAGTGGGCGCATGAGATTGCTAATGTACAGCGCCGCGGTGGCCGGGTGCACAGCCGGCGCGACGCTGGGGTCCTCGTCGAGGTCCATTTTGTCGTAGTTGTCGTTGTCGTTGTCGCTAACGGCAGGAGCGATTGTTTCGGGTAGCTGCGTGGTAGGAGGGGATGCAAGAGGTTGTTGATGTTCTGCTGCTTTGTTTGATGTCGGTGGCGGCGTTTGCTCAACGGCCATGGGGCTCGCTGGTTTGTCAGCTGGCGCCCCTGTTTCCTCGCTGCCTGGTGCGGAGACTGCGTCGGCTCGCTGTTGTTCTTCTCCTTGTTCTGAAAGGGCCCGCGCTCGTTTGAATGCGACTTCTTCCTCGTCGGGTGACGGCGTGGCCGATTTGCGTTTGCGCTTCTGCGATGCGTCGCTTGGTGCGTCGACCGCGGCCGGTAAGGGTTGCTGTTCGGCATTTCCCGGTTGCGTTTCCGCAGCCGCATCAGCAGGCTCCTCAGAGGCTTCTGCGGTGGCAGAAGCTTCTCTGTTTTCTGACTTTTCTACCGTATTCTGTGGCGCAGGGCCGGGGGCCGCCGCTGGCGTTTCTGTTTCGGGGACGGCCTCTTCAGCTGGCGGCGCTGGTTCCGCGTCGACCGCATCGATCGGTGGTGCTTCGTCGTCTGCAACGGGCGCCGTAGCCTCTTCGAGTCGCGCAACAAGCTCTGCCTTGAGGCCGTGCTGCGGAAGATCGCGTCGTTTCAGCTCCGCCTTGAGGTCCACGACCTTGAGTTTGGCCCAGTCGGTCATGATGGGCAAGGGCTGTGGTTTTGAAGGCAGCGTGGATGCAATAGGTGGATGCGAAATGGACGCGTAGGATCGGCTTTTTCGTAGAATGGAGCGATGCGACAACAGCTATCGCTTCAAGGACTAAGACGCTTGGCACAGGAGAGCTCTGTAGTCTGTTTCGGCGACTTTGCGCCCGCGCCGATAGATGTAATCAAGGCGATTCAATGCACCGTAGTAACGAACGATCGAAGCAAGCGGGTCGCAGCTCATGAACTTTTCCGGTCAATGTAGGCGATTGGCAACAAGAGATGAAGAGCGAAGCGCGTTTAACCACTTCAAGGGCAAAGGCGACGGCTGGCGCTTGTATTACCCAGGTAGTCAGGCTTTTAGCTACTCGCGACGCGATTGGACAAAGCTTGGGACGTTAGTTAATATGGGATGAATTACTCCGTAGAAGCTATCCCTTGGCTTAACTAAAAGTGGGCGATCGAGTCCAACAGCGAAGATGGCGCTGCGCGTTGAGAGCAAAGTGAGCAAAATGAGCAAAATGAGCAAAATCACTGTGAACAAGAAGCAATTTGGGAGTTACTGCTTCACTTCAAGGGCACGCAGTAGTCATGCAACGTGATTCACATGGACGGCCTGCGCCGTGAGTTGTACGCAGCAAAGTACATGATATTTAGCGACACACCTTGCAGCTTCATATGGTGGGGCCGTGGATGCATGCATCAGACAGCAGAGTGAAAGCAATGCCGGAAGATGGCGATTGTCCTTTCTATAGCTGAGATAGGCTATTTAGCCCGGGTTTGCGATGGCTTGCTCGAATCTCGTATTCGGTCGCGATCCGGCACAACAAGTGAGGCTGATATTGATGTGCAGAGCACCGTCTGTGGCTGCGCATCGCGGTGACGCGGCACACGACCAAATCGAAGTCAGTTTCCAAGCTACGGGTAGTCAATTAACAGTCAGGAAATCATCAATAGTTCATCAACAGTCAATTATCAACAGTCAATTGTCAACAGTCAATTATTAACAGTGAGTTAATCATTAACAGTCATTTACCAATAAGTCTACCATTCGTTTGCTTGCTAAGCGCATTCTGCTTCAATATCGCAGTCTGATGCATCACGCCAATACTCAAAACTAGAAGTCGCTGACGTCGTGGCCGATTGGTAGGCTGACCTCTTCCTCGGCCGGCCCCGTGCATCCCATACGGCGTCGTCGTAGTCCGTCACACGACGGTACTTGTCCTCATCCTCTGCCGTATCGTCCCGTACGCGTTTCTTCGGGCTCTGACTACGGCTCTTAGACCTGGACAGGCTCGGCGTAAACATGATACGGCATTCCGTGCCTGACACCTCGCGCGCCGTCGGCTGCCCGTCCTTGCCGCGCACTACTAGGCGGCGTGGCACGCCCGCTTCGAGGAAGCAGGTCTGCGCGAGCACCGTCCACGCAAAGCGTGCAAAGAGGTACTCGACCGCCAGGCCTGACAGTGGCTGTGGCTCGATATTGTGGTACACGGCGGCTAGCTCCTCGCTATGCGGGCCGGAGAGGACGTGAACTAGCCAGGCGCCCCATTTCGGGATTATAACGAACTGACGCTGGTCGTAGACGGAGTGCAGCTGGGCGCCCATCAGCATGGCGTTGCATGGGTTGTTGGTCTTGTTAGTGACGACAGCCTGAGGTTGCGACGAGTACTGTAACATTTGGTTCGCGGCGAACCAGGCGTCCTCAGTGCGAGGGATGAAGTGGGCAATCTCGGCGCCAATCGTAGATGCCGTCAGGCGGCAGGAGCCATCTCGGGTGAGAACCGTATTGTCAAAAGAAGACTTGCGTGGCGGGTTATTGCGGCTCGTGGGAAATGATAGCCTAGAAACCATCCATGTAGGCGGCAAGTTGTTATGCGGGAACTGGAAGTGAGCAAAGGATGGCACGATTGGATACGGCACGCCCTGTTCATCGTCATTGCTCGGTACATGGAAGTAATAGTTGCGTCCTGGCAAAATATGGTCTGGGTCATTCGTTACCGGCGGAGCGCCGTCCACCTTGCTCTCCGATAGGTATCCGTGCCAGCAGCAGTCGGCGATGATGGCGCACGCGACGCGCGCCGTGTCGTGGTGCAGACCAAATAGGAGAGGGTCGTCCTCGGTGAAGGGCCTATCCGGGCGGGGGATTGGATCAAGCGCCGACAGCACTAGCAAGATGTTGGAGGAGTCGGGGTATCGCGGATGACGAAGGATCACGGTGCGCTCCTCGTCGCGAGTCACGGAGCCGCTCGGCGCCAGACCTTGGTCGGGGTGTTTCGGTGGCAGTAGGCAGGCTCGCGCACCAGACGTCTCCATCTCTCGCCGTCCTCACAAATGTCGTATCGTCATGTGTGGTTACACCGTGATCTTAAAGTTTTTTGAGTACTGGTGACTTATTAGGCAGCCTGTTGCGTACGCTTCGTGTATCTCTCCCCAGCATCAGAGCCTCCAAGCCAAGCAGCCGCTTCAAAATGGCCGTAAAAGCCTCATAACGACCATTTCATAATACCTGCTGGAGGCTCAAGAGAGGTTGCGTTACAATAGGTACGTATCGTCAAGAATTGTGGTGTTGTGCTGATTTATTGAGGGTCTTCTGTGACTCGGGAAATGAGATATGCTGAGCGGGCCCCTCCAAGCACACTGAGTGAGTGGCTGCCAAGCTGCCAGCCTGACTGTGGCGAATCGAGCGACAGGCACAGAGAGAGAGAGAGAGACGGAGGGTCGTGATGATGGAGAATGAGAAAGAGAAGAAGCTGTCTAACTATGTAGAGGGGCGACGATGTGAATGGCAACTACGCTAACTTAGCGTGGCGGGCGTGCCTGCCAACACTGGCCAACATCGTGTCTACATGACTTTGACAGTTGCATCTGCAAACTGACAGATTTCCAGAAGGAGATAATGTCGAAATCGAAATCCTTTTAGGGGAAAACCTCATATTTTTTCTTTCTTTTTCTTTTTCTTTTTCTTTTTTTTTTCTGCACTTCTACCTACACACACTCCCCCTCAGTGCGTGTGGGAGGAAGAAGAGGAGGAAGTAAAGAAGCTTTTATTAGTGAAAGAACAAAATTAGGAGTAGATACAACAGCGGTTAAGCGAGCTAGGTAGTTGATATCTTCTCTAGGCTATATCTCCTGTCCGGAAGCCTATTATTTTATGTCAGGCTTCTTTCAGTTCTGTCAGATCTTATCTTCTTGAATCCTGTCAGGGCTTCTTAATAAGGCCTGCCAGCCACCCCTGCAACACCACAAGAATGTCCAGAGACCCTCCCTCCCGCATGGGTAGGGAGACAAAAGTTCCTAATAGTAGCTATGTCATCACATGTTCAACCCACCAATTCTGATTTATTGCTGTTTCTATGCCCGTGCTCTTTCTTGAGCTCTCTGTTATCAAGCACTTACCACCACATCGGCCCTGTCTTTCGGCCTGTTCTTCGGTAAATGGCATCGCTGACTGCAAGTAGAAAAATAAAGAAATCTTCGTCTCGGAAAGCCCGTTACAACACTACAGCTCTGCTCTAGAAATCTCCAACTTTGTCAACCTTCTAGGCATTGTATTCCTTACCAACGGCTAATCACTTGAAGTCGGAATAACAATGCAATACATAATTGGAGGAACCAAGCACGATGATGCAGTTGTCACCAAATGCATTTTCAAGGAACCCATTTTGTCTGTTGCGCTGGACAATGGAGAGGTACACGTTCTCAACGTCGAGAATGAGGAGACAATGGTACTTCACGGCCACGCATCGGCAGTATGGGCACTAGAGAGCGACGGAGGCCGAATTGCCAGCGGAGACAGTGGTGAGTCTCCAGAGATACGAATGTGGAATCTCATGCAAGGAGGGTAAGTATCGACTGATCTGCCTCAAATGCAGCTGGAAAAGTTACTGAAATTTGGCAGAGCTTGCACGCATGTGCTCAAAGGACACCGGGCTACCATTCGAGCCTTGCAGCTCCTGTCAGACGGGAACACTCTCGTGTCTGCGTCAAAAGACGGTATTATCAAGGTCTGGAGTCTGGAAAAGTCCGAGTGCATTCAAGAGCTTAGCGCACACGAAGGTGCTGTGAGATGTCTTGGCGTTGACCAAAGTCGACATCTGCTTGTCTCCGGCAGTTCAGACCGCACTGTTCGCGTTTGGGATTTAAAAAACGGGTTCAACTGTGAGAGGGTATTGCGAGGCCACGTGGGCACAATTTTCTGTCTAGGTGTTCAAAGTGAAAAAGGAATTGTTGCTTCCGGTGGCGAGAAGGGCATGCTCATGCTCTGGAATATCGAAGATGGGTAGGCACTACTACGAGAAGAGAGACAGTTGTTCAAGCTGACGAGATTAGATCATGCCTACTGGCCAGTCAAACACATCCAGGTAGCGTGATTTGCTCTCTGCAGTTCTTCAACTACGGTATTGCAGGACGACATTCCACTGGATATATTTCGACATGGTCACTGGAGCCGACGATTGGTCTTACTGCCTCTGTTGCTTCACACTTACCTGGCGCTACCTGCAGCGATGCTGCAGGAAACTACATTGTTTCAGGCGGCAAGGATCACCAAATCAAGATCTGGTGTCCGCAGGAAAGCTCAGAGCCTATAACGCTATCTCCAAAATATTTGGCAATTTGGGCAGTGGCCCTTGTGGGCTCTAATCGAGTTGCCGTTGCTGCAAGCCGTGACGGGTTTGCACTAGTTGAGATGTTATCATTTCAAGGACGTTAGCCATGACAACAGTGTTGAAAATGAACGTGAAGGACTTGCTCAATCCCTTCATGTAGCAAACCTACAACCGCTTGCCCTGAGCAACCGCATATTCAAACAGCCTTACCTAGGCTGCGTATTACCAGTAAATAAGGGAAAGAGCCTTGGATTTGTTGCCGATGCACGGAACCGGTCTGGCGCAGAAGGGGAATATTCTCTGTCAACTTTGGTCATATTCTGTCGTTGCCGTCTTGTTTCACGAATTTTGGTCGTAATAGTGCTCACTACCTATTACCTAATTGCTGAGGTAGAAAGGTCATGTAACGAAGTCGCACCCTTGCGCACTCAATGGCGGCGCCGTCAAACGGTTTGGCTCTCAATTGTGGTTGCAACTGGCAAAATGGTGACTACACTGCAAAAATGAACAGCGACAATGAAACAATGGCTCTTTTTTGAGGTCACTGAGACTGGGCGTGTTTGTACTCGTATTCGTCATTATGACTTGGGACCTGAGGCGTCGGCGCCGTCGCGCCTTCAGTCGGCGGGCTTGATCGATCACAGCCTTGTCCAACAACACCCACCGACTTCCCCGCCCTGTGATCGCAAAACATGGCGCAACACGTCAATGGTAGCCGCGAGCAGCCAGCGCGCACGGCTGATGAAACGACTGCTCTTCTATCGCCCCGGCGCACCGAATTGGAAGCTGAATTGGAAGCCGAAGTTGACGCTGACGCTGAACAAGGGCCTTGCTGCTCGACCGACGAGCACCCTACGTTGCCTCACCAATCACGACGACGAGCATGGCCCTGGATCCATGTCGTCGCCGTCCTAGTCTGTCTCGCCTTCATCGCCGACATGGGCGAAACCCTCTTCACAGCGCCCAGGGTTCGCTTCTTGGAGTCGGTCGCCTGCTCCAGGTATTACGCGCGTCATGACCCGTCTCGCCTGGACCGTGGCGGCTCCGTGCCCGAGCACCTCTGCAAGATTGACGCCGTTCAGACCGAAGTAGCCTCCGTTATGGGCTGGCAGCTCTTCTTCGACAGCATACCGGCCATCTTGCTTCCGATCCCGTATGGATACTTGGCCGACACTCGCGGAAGAAAGTGGATTTTGATCATTGGCCTCACAGGCTACACACTGTCCTTGGCGTCCATTCCATACTTGGTACGTTTTGTCTATGGTTATTTTTATAAGCCCTTTACTCTAACATTGTCTTGTTTAACCTCCAGATAGGGGTGCTTGACCTGCCGCTTAGATTCACCTGGTTCTCGTCCCTCTTCTTCCTTATCGGTGGAGGGCCGACGGTGGCCACAACCATGCTTACGACCATGGTTGCCGATATCGTGCCAGCCAACCTTAGGTATACAACGTTTGCCATATAGTTGCTCAGGTTGTGGACTGCCAAGTTACTAACCATGGTCCTCTTCTCAGGAGTACCGTCTTCTTTTATCGCTTCTGCTCGGATCAGCTCGCCGACCTCGTAGTTCCGCCCATTGCGCCCATATTGATGGCCAAGGGAACAATGCATCCCCTTATAGTCGCCGTCGGGCTGCAGTTGCTGGCTCTCGCACTGGCTCTCCCTCTACCCGAGACCCTCTCTTCCACCGATCCGAAAACTTCTGATGGCATTTGCTCTGCGAGCCCTGTTCTAGGTGTCCCTCAATCCTCTGCTGCATGCAGACTAAGGCAGAACCTCGCTTCTTGGCTTCCACGCATCAAAGAGTCATTTGCGTTTGTTCTACGCGACACCACCGTCGCTTGTTTAGTCTACACCTTTTTCATTTCGAAATTAGGACGCCAGGCAAATAGTGTTCTCTTTCAATATGCATCCACGAGATACGGATGGAGCATCGCCCAGGCAAGTTACAGCTGTAAAAGTAGCAATCACGGGCTCGACTAACGCGATCACAGGCAGGACTCTTGGTTTCACTGCGTGCTGGTGTAAATATTATCCTATTTACGGTCATCTTACCTGCTGTTACCAACTTGCTCCTCGCGAGTAAGCCAGCTATAACCAGAGATTTTCTCGTTGGAGCTGGCAGCATTTTCTTCCTAACGCTTGGCTACTTTGTTCTATTTGTATCTAGCACAGCAGCTATTATGATAATAGGTAAGTTGCTTCAGCCCTGCAATACTCCCAAACACCAAGATAACACTTTGCCTCTCAAGGCGTTGCGATAACTACTCTTGGCGCGGGATTCGCTCCGGTTATGCGAAGTCTAGTAACGTCCCTCGTCGAAGCTCAACAAGACAACCATGCAAGCGATATTGGTCGCCTCTATGCGCTCATTTCAGTCGTTGAAGGGGTAGGGAGCCTCGTGGCAGGACCGGGAATGGCGTGGGCTTTCGCCGTGGGCATTAACTTGGGTCGCGCATGGCTTGGAGTTCCCTTTGCTGTGGCTTGTGTACTATTTGCTCTTGTCTCAGTACTTGTCTTTAGCTTGAAGATTTAGGAATCCAGCGGCTACTTCAGTCGAGGTAAGGGTAGAGCGATATCGAGACAGGTCAACAATGGCAAAAGGTAAATTGGCATGGACAGAGTCGCTTTGGTGTCTTGATTACGTTTAAAGAGCGCATCTACGGCAGTGAGGACGTGTAACAACGTTATAAAAAGTGAAAGCAATCGTATGTCGCACTGCCGACGCTAAAGTCACCACAGCCAGAAGGAATCACGAGACATCTCGTAGAATACTCGCCATATAGGTACTCGCCATCCAAGTCGCGTTGGCGCATGTTGGGTAACAGCGGCACATGTGCGGGCTCGGGTGCCGCCTACGACTTTCAGGCTCACGGAAATCTCCGGAGGCAGCATCACTATAGACGGTGTTGATATTCGTGAAGTCGGTCTGCACCGTCTTCGATCATCCATGGCCATCATTCGACAGAATTCGACCCTCTTTCAACGCACCATTCGCTCAAACTTGGACTCTTTCAAAGAGCACGCTGGTGGCTATCGCTCATCGACTACGGACCGTCATTCGATATGACCGCATTTGCGTCATGGCGAGTGGTAAGATGGTGGAATTGGGCCCTCCATTGGCTTTGTGGGACATGAACGGTGTTTTTAGAGCCATGTGCGAAAGTAACGGGATAAAACGGGACATGTTTCAATAGCAGCTTTACCGAGATAAACATACAAATGCTGAGAAGCTCTCTTTCAAACTTACACACAGCCAGAAAAAAAAATCCACTCAACTTACTTTATTTTTTCTCGCTGGCATTGTTCTCTTTGGGCGTATCTTCCATCTGGGTGTCATCATCATCATCATCCTGGGGAGGAGGCACCGAATAAAAGCCCTTGATATCAGTAATGTTTTTCAAGTTGTCAGCGTCAGTGTAGCTTTGGTTTTCTGCTCAATAGGGGTTGCATTAGCCATAGACGCATATAAGAAAAGGGACTCTCGAGTTGGGGGAAACAAAGCTTACCCCATTTGGGAAACTTGGCCAGCTCATCCCATTCTTCTTTTATAACGTGAGCCATTGCTTAGTAGAAGTCGCGAGCGGGCATGTAAATCTCTCTTCGCTCGCCCTTGTCATCCGTAAACACCATCTTATTTGGGTGGTGCTCTACCTTGCATTCCTCGGACGCCATCATATACTTGATTCTCCCAACGGTGTTCCACTACCCCGCACAGCCGCTATCGCCGCCGAGATCTGTTAGGCAGCGGCGACTTCATTGACCTTGCTTGCAGCACGAGTCTTGCGAGTTGCTCTGGTAGCTAGGGGAATGAGAATGCGTGAGGAGACGTCGTCTAGCAGTTGTTGCAAAAGAGCCGGCCGCAAACTAGTATTGGCCCAGTGTTAGCGCGAAGATGCCACATGTGGTACGTCAAAGCCAACTTGCAAAGGCGTTTCTGCAGTATAGCAGCCTCGTTGTATGTAGGGTGGCACCGGATGTGCTGGAATGTGAGGTTGTAGGCCGTGCTGGTGATGCAGATGAGGTCGTTTGCAGCGACGGAAATGAGGAAAATGATTGAGGTTGCTATGTAAAAGCTAAGCTTGGACATAGTGGCGAATGGTGATCAATCCTTTAAAAAGAACGATTGCGTAATCATGCACCATCTCACTTCATTTATCTCTATTTGGATGGCAAAAGGGCTGGCTGAATAGCTGTGTTCTCGTTGCTGCCCCGCTGAGAGCCTTACAGGCCATCAGCACTGACAAGCCATCAGATCTCAAGCACAAGAAGGGTGTTTAGATGTATAGTCCTATTAGGCTATAATACAACGGACTAAACAAAATAAATTTAGACATCAAGACCGTCGACAACCACACCCTTGCTCCAGTTCCACTGCATAATCCGGGAGACTTCCGCCGCACACCCATCATCAACTAGAGCGCTGACGAGATACAAAGCCGCATCAATGCCAGCGCTGTTTCCCCCAGCCGTAATGACTCGAAGACCACCAAGGCGCATGGCAGCGCGGCGGGCAATCGACTCACGGCGGCCCATGTCCTTGAAAGACATGCTACCCTTGCTACAGAGCAGTGTTATTAGTATGGCAATATCGTTGTTGTGCAGTGTCGTATTTGCGAGGGGTGGGGCTTACCGAGCAGTCTGGGAGGGTCGGCGTCCAGCATCGGACTTGCGACGAATGTATGGGTTCTCGTCCTCATCGCCGAGGTCAAAACGAAGGTTGTTGACTACGTAACGGGCGTCCTCGAGAACGTCAGTGCGCTCCTGGAGGTTGCGGGTAGCAGCATCGCTGCACTCGTTCTCAAACTTGGTCATGTAGTCTGGGTGGCAGGTGGCGGAAAGGCCAGAGAGGATGCCCTCGCGGGCGAGGAAGAGAGATCCACCAGAGACGGACAGGACAGTTCGTTCTCTGCCAGGGTCGCGCTTCTGGAGCTCGGCAAAGTCGTTGATGAGGCCGAGAGGTTGAGCATCGGTCTTGAGGATCTCCTCCGAGTTGCCGCCGAGGATGACGAGAATGTCAAAATCCTCGAGGCGCTCGTGGGCCTCCTTGAAGGTGATTTGGGAGCCAATGATGGCGCCCTGCTCGGAGAGAACCTTGGGTTCGTCTCCAACAATGGTGACCTCAAAGGCTTTGCTGGCTGTAATGCGAGAGCGGGGTCAGCGAGAGGCTGCAAACGCCACTGCGGACGTGGCGGGGTAAAGCACTTACATTCGTCGTTGAAGTCGTGAGCGGCCGTGGTGAAGACCTTGAGGGGGCCAGTGAGGTCAAGAATGTCAAACTTGGGGTGCAGGGCGATGAGCACGTCAATGGGTTCATCCGCCACTGCAGAGGTCTTGTTCACACTCATTTTGCCGGTATTGTCTATTGGAATTGTGATGTCAGGGGGGGATGGTGTGGTGCGGTATGGTCACGCGAGTCAATTGAATGAAATAAATGGTGGTAGATTGAAAGAGGCAGAGGAAGAACAACGTGGTAGCTGATTGGCGAGGATGTAGATGAGAAATGTTGAAGAATTGGATAGCTTTGATGGACAGATGATGAAGAAGAAAGAGGAGAAGAAGAGTGAGGGGTCCAGGAGGAGGGGGATGATATAAAAGACACGCCAGACCAGAGAGTCGGGAGGTGACTTGGGGTGCCTCAGGGCTCAAGTACCAGGGCGGCACCGAGGCCAGCTGCGCATCTTGGAATGATTACCCCGCGTTTGGCCAGCTTGACAGAAGCTTCTCGGGTACGGAAGCTGCTGTGGATGGTGCAGCCAATGCCAGCAATACACGCTGCGCTGCATTCGTCTGAGGTACGAGTACAAAGCCAAATGGCACCCTTACCCAGCCAGCCAGCCATGCGGGACTAGCCTGGAAGGATCGATGGTGGAAAGACGGTAGCCAAAGTCTTGCTAGAAGTCTCTTTTAAGAACCTAGGTACCTTGATCCGTAATGCCTTTCTTGTTTCTTCTCAAGATTGAATCAATCAAGATAACATCTCACTATTCCTCAGCCAGCATCAACAATTTCTGTCAATAACTTGCTCAGTTGCTATATGTTGTGTTTACCTACCCAGAGCTTGTCCTTCCGCCGTGGGGTCGGTCATGCGCCCTGGATGCGGGGTTTAGGGGCTCCATTTCCATGCATAGTGGGCCGACACAAGTACTCAGTACAAAATATACCGTCAACGATTACACCTGCTCAACGGTATCTATTACCTCCACGAACTAGGTGCCCACTCCTGCGACCACTGCCAGCCTGCTACTTGCTCTCGCCAGCGATCGCGCCGCCATAACTATCAGTAACACCAGTCGGGTGCGGGCTCCATACTTCAGTGGAACTCTAACCTGACCTCGTTACCAAGATCGGACCACGCTTGCTTGCCTGTCACCACATTGCCTGTTCCAAACTCGTGCTACCTGTCGTGACATCACGGAACTTTTCCAGTCACGACCTTACTTTCCCCCAGACTATCAGGCAACACGAAATCTTCGAGCTCGGGCTCGTCTGAGCCCGCAGCAAACAATCAAATAAACGAATTAAATCTCTGCAGCTGACCAAATGGCCTCGTCAAGGTATGGCATCATCGCCTTCCCTTCCCCGCTTCCTTGCCCTCATCCCACCTCCTTTGATTGTCATTGTATTTCGCTTATCGGGCCCACTCGAACAGCTCCGTCAAGGACCTCTGCAAGGTCATCACAGCCTACATAGTAGAGCCTGCATTGCCGCTGCCGGACGACGTCAGGGCTGCTATCGACGCATACCTCGACAAGCACGAGATCTACGATGACACCGTTGCCGACCGACTTCAGGAAGAGCTTGTCGCCATCTTTGAAAAATATGTCCGAGGGAATACATCTGCTACAGGCCCATGGATGGCCGTCCTGCGCCGCATCCAAATGGCCTTGCAGAGCCCAGAAAAGGTGCTCTTCTGGTTCGATGCATGCCAGAATATCCTCGACAATACGCCTCTGGACAAGGCTGTAGTCAAGGAGACAATTGCTGCCATGATGAACACGGCCCTCTTGGCCGAGAAGCTGCAGGATTCCTTCGAGAAAGAATCGACATCCAATCCCATCATAGACCGTCTCCTTTCCATTTGGGTAGATAACTTCTACCCTGCTCACATCGAAGGCAACAAATCTTTGGAACACAACGAGCAGCTTCTGAGAGAAGCTTTGGGTCAATTTGGGAGGAGGAAACCAAAGGTTGGCCTGGGCACGTTGTCACGCAGTCCTCAATTTACTGACTCTGATCTAGGAGTTCTTCGCTTCGCTCAACAAGCTTTTTGTCAAGAAAACGCATCGAAAACCTCTTCTAAGATTCTTCTGCGCCTTCATCCAAGGACAGCCACCACATTTGTACCAGATTCTGGAGACGCGACTCTGGACAAGCCTGCTGCTGTGCTTGCAGCTCGACACATCCACGACAGTGGTGTCCGCAGCCTTGACTGCTCTGATCATGCTGCTGCCACACATGCCTAGCGACCTAGTGCCCCATCTGCCGACGCTATTTAATATATACGCGCGTTTATTATTCTGGGAGCAGGAACGATCGGGCTCCATAGAGATGCCGTCTCTAGACGCCGCTCACACAGCAACCTGGGAATCATGCGTCTATGAGCCAGAGTCTGAGGACTTGGAGATCGGCCACCTTGGGCAGTACTTTTCCGTCTTATATGGTCTCTACCCCATCAACTTAATGGATTACATTCGGAAACCGCAACGTCACCTCCGTCACGCCGAAACTTCAGACTCTAGCAGTATTGTGGTGCAGCCTACAGAGATTAGGCATCATTCTGAACAGTTCTGCAGCATACATGTTCTGCACCCCAACTTTTACACATTAACAATCGAATCCGAAAAGACGGATTTCTCGCGATGGATGAAGTGTGAAGCCGCTGAAGTCGTCGCAGGGTGTATGGGACTACGCACGACAACCGAAGCTGATCCTTTCACCGAGGGGGGCCTTCCGCCTGTGCAAGCAGTGGATGTCATCGCCTCAGCACATAGTTGCGACGAGCCTCAGCGTGTGACGTCTGATCCGGCATTGCTAAGCAGCAACAAGGTGGACAACTGGCGTAAAGCTCAGTTTTGTAGTGCAGAGTCCGTGTGCAGCGACCGAACGCCTTCGATGATGCTACGCAGAGGTTCACAATCCAGTCAACCGTCCAATAGAGAGTCGGGTGACACCAGGACTAGACACACGGATAGCCCTACGCAACTGGCACAGTCGCCATCCCACACGCAGTTGCAAGATATGATCAAGTCGAATAAAACAATCAAATCAGGCCTCCATCAGACTCTCGCGAACGATAGTGTTGCTTCACTGGCTTTGAGTCACCCTGATTCGAACGCTGACAGGTCGACGAAAGATTCGATGCCACCGCCTGCCCTGCCACCCACATCTGGCGCCATACCGCCGTCGAGTGATCTCAATGCTCTAGTGGTACAGCTTCGACGTCGCGTACTTCTTTTGGAGAATGACTTGAGCTTTGAGCGTTTCTTGAAGCAACAACACATGACGCACATTGGGGACCTCCGACGACGCCAGGTTGTGGAAGCTGCCACAGAAGCTGAAACGCAAAATTTGCTCATGACCAACCGCAACCTCAAGAACCGGTACGATGAAGCCAAGAAGGCGGAAATGCAAGTGCGGAAAGAATCGGAAAAAAGTCGTGCAATGGCAAAGAAGTGGGAGACGGACTTCTACAATAAGCTGAAGAATATGCGCGAAGACCTCAAGAAGTCGACTGCAGAGGTAGAAGAGCTAGAGAACGAGCTTGCCGCATCCAAAGAGGAGTGCGACAAGCTGCGAGTACTCCTGTGCGATGCAGAAGTAAAAGAGCTCAACTGGAAGCAGCACGCGCAGTCTGTTGAGATTCACAGGGTCGAGATGGAACGTCTTCGTGACGAGGTCAGTCGACTTACTGTATCCGAGCGAGATTTCCAGGCCAAGGATTTAGAGAGGCAGGAGGCTATGAACAGAGCAGCAGAGACACAGAATAGACTGGAAGAGCTGCAGATGAAGCTGACAGCGCAGGAAGCTGAAGTTCAGCGAACCAAGAGACTCTTCCAAGGTCAGTTGGCAGCTTTGCAGGAACAACTGTCAAGGACACAAGAGGAGCGATCACGACCAGGGGCCAATTCGGACCTGGCAATCGAATCGTCGCTGGCTGGCAGCCGAGCCAAGCAGGCAGAATTGCAGAAGCAGTTTGATCTGCTCCAGCGCAAGTATACAAAACTACAGTCGTCGCTCCTGGACATGAACTCGTCAGCACCGGCACCGGTGCACACTTCTACAGGAGGGGAGCGCGACGGCAGTGACTATCTGTCGACTTCGGCAAGCCCTGTGATGATGCGAGCGGCAGCCCACGGACCACCAGAAAGCGTAGCAGATGCGAAGCCGCACAATGGGATGCCGCCATTGGATTCGAAGGCGGGAGCAGGGATGACTGCGATGCCAAGTCCTTCAGGCAAAGGTCAAGAAGGGACGGGGCGAAGTCCCGAGCAGAGACATTTTGGTACAGGTGCAAAGCGTTGTACACGTGTTGAATACGGCTAACTCATGATTCAGCAGGTTTACACAGTCGGCTGCGACGGGATGGTGGTGACAAGGGAAAAGATGATGGCGGTAGCTCATCGAGTAAGCCCAAGAAGGAGAAGAGATCTACGCTGCGAGGAATTCGAGGATTTGTTTAGCAGTCCGGCTTCTTCGACCAATACATGTTTGGCTGTAAATGATAAGGGAGAAGAAGCAGTGGTGTGTTTTAACTGGGATCATGGTGCATTCTATTACGGTGCATGGCCCGGGTGTATTAAGGGTCCAGACAGCAGACAGGAGGAAGCACGGCTAAAAGAGCGCGTCGTCAAGCTGTACTTATTTGCATGGTTGCATGTGCATGGTTGCATGTTGGCTGGTGGAAATGAAGAAGAAAAAGGCAATTTTACAATAACCATGGGTTTTGAATGTTGTGAAGTCGGCATGATGCCGAATAAGATTAAGTCTGGGCCACACAGTGGACATGTTGTGGAAAGACGCATTCCAACGAATGGTGTGGTAGTTGCTGCACAGTTGACAGCGGAGCAGAAAACAAGGGTGACAATGAATGTCACATGGTATTAATATTGCAGATGATGAAATATGCTCTCAGAAAGACACTCGGGCGCAGGGGCTGTATATATTCGTAAGAAAGGGAGCAAAGTAGCCAAGAATTGGAAACAGGATAATAACACAGGGTGATATTATACGACGGCGAGTCGTGAGCTTAAAGGGCCCAGCCAGGGACGCGTCAGTGGACCGGTGGATAGCAACGAGTCGTACCTTTCATTTATTTAGGTACTTGTAAATTGTAATAAATAAAAAGCCAGTATTTAGTCTTTGGTGGTGAGATGCACCGCAAAAATGGAATGAGAGCAGTTGACAGCGCAGCAAGTATCTGCGAAGCCAGCGGCCAAGCAGCCAAGCAGCCAAGCAGCCAAGCTGAACAGTTTGCAACCTAGGTGACAAGCAACTAGGTAAATTGTTAAACAAGCCCAAGGTGTGGTGGGGATGGGACGGCATGGACGGACTAGAGTAAATCTGTGGAACAAGTAAATATGTGGGCAAGAAGAGTCTCGACTTTGAGTGTGCATGTGTGTGTATTCGTAGATTTCGTACTGTAAGCTCTCGCGGCCCGTAATTATCCTTTGTAGCCGGGTGGCTTTATGGACAGACCAATACGGAAACGGCAATTGTGACGTTTCGACTTTCCAATTTATTTTTTCCAATCCCAGTAGATAAATAAAACGTTGCACAGCGTGGCCTCGACGGATGTGGTATGATGGAATCAGGAGCATTGTGGATTCCAGGTGCCCGTACAGTGCATGTGATGATGATACACAGTGCAGATGAACCACGGCGCGTATTGTGATGAGCCGAAAAGGGCATTTTTTGGTTGGTTGGACTACTCAGTGCCCAATTTTTGCCTTACGAATTTGGGGGATGCTTGAATGCATCTCCGATCAGTATTATTATCGAGCAAGCCTGGCGGGCAAACATTTCAGAGTTGGCATTTGACACCTAGTTACGCATAGTTCCTGATTAGTGGCGCCATGACGTGTTGGGCCTTCGTATTTTTGCCCCCCCGGGCTGGGCATCCCGCAGCCCAAGGTATGCAGAGCCGTTTGGTAACCAGAAACATGAGGTTTGTTTTTGTTATTTACTTTCTGCTCCTGGGTGACTACAATGTTGATTTATTGACCGAGAAAAACATGGAAAAGACCAGTTGTTTACCTTTGGGACCCAAGACAGACACATCAGAGACATGACCGATGAGCAGCTTGAATGTTTTGTCCCCCTCGTCAAAATCTTACAGCGCTAGCGGCTAAACATTTAGTGCGTCCAAGGCGAAGCCGACCAAAAAACCCAAAAAAAGAAACAGTTGATTGAAAAAGTTGTCACTGTGGATGCGCTGCAAGGTACGGAAAGCTCCAGGGGCACTGAGGAGGTAACGGCCCCTGGTTGAAGAAGCCCCAGAGGTGGCGGACCTGGCGGACGGCAAAGGTGGCGGACTGGTGGAATACGAGCGGTTCGAATGCTGAGGCAAGAGGTTCTTTTAGTGGACGCTTCTCCTGTAGATGCGCTGTGACTGGCGGCCGTAGGGTGGAACGTGCAGAACACGAGTGGATCTTTGGGGTGAGTTTGTAGTGGTACTATCACTGCTCGTACCTTGTCGACTGGTACTGCGGCCGCACAGTGGGGCCACTACACCCGCTTAGCATTGCAGTCTCCTACAAGCCGGCGTTACAGCGGCTCCTTGGCCTCGTCAAACTTTACTCGCTGCAGGGGCTGGTCTCCACGACTACCCCAGTATTGTGTACCTGTACTTTGTTCGCTGGCCACCCGTTCCACTTGCCGCTGTCGGCCCCCCGAGAAACAAGGAACTCGGCCTCTCGATTCAGATGCTTCTGCCAGATTCCTTTTTCTACCCGACCTGCCCCCAGTTCTTTCTGCCTCTGCTCCCCTCTGATTCTCTTTCTTTCTTCATCTCTTGTTTGTATTTTGTATAATCGTCCCATCTTTGTTCTTTTCATCTCTCAACATTGCAGTTCTTTTCTGCACACAGTCGTTAATATCATCGTCTCTTATACCACCACCAACCTCATATACGCCACAAACAGTCGCTCTCACCACAACTTAATAATACAAAGATGCCTTCTTCCGCGAGCATCCTCACCCTGGCCGCCGCCGTCACCGGTGCCAGTGCCGCTTTCCAGGGTTTCAATGTCGAGAGCAAGGGCCAAACCCAGCAGAGCTTCGAGGCCCAGTTTAAGACTGCCCAGAACCTCGAGGGTACCGATGGCGGCTTCAACTCGGCCCGCCTCTACACCATGATCCAGGACGGCACTGCCAACGACCCCATTTCCGCCATTCCCGCCGCCATTAGCACCAAGACCAACCTTCTCTTTGGCCTTTGGGCCTCTGCCGGCCAGGCCCAGTTCAACAATGAAATCTCGGCTCTCAGGAAGACGGCCCAGCAGTACTGCGATAAGCTCGACGGCCTCGTCGCTGGCATCTCCGTCGGCTCTGAAGATCTTTACCGCGACTCTGAGCTCGGCCAGGCCGCTGGCGAGTATGTCGGCGTCGGCCCCGACGTCCTCATTGACTACGTCCAGCAGACCCGTGATGCCATCAAGGGCACCTGCCTCGAAAAGGCTCCCATTGGCCACGTCGACACCTGGACCGCCTATTCCAATGAGACTAACCGCCAGCTGAGCGACAAGCTCGACTGGGTCGGCATGGACGCTTACCCCTACTACGAAAACAAGAAGGACAACGGCATCGAGAACGCCGCGGCGCTCTTCCAGAAGGCCATTGACAACACTAACGCCGGCACCGGCAACAAGCCTATCTGGCTCACCGAGACCGGCTGGCCCGTCAGCGGCAAGACGGAGAACAAGGCCGTAGCTAGCATTGAGAACGCCCAGACGTTTTGGCGCGAGGTCGGCTGCCCCCGTTTCGGCAAGGTCAACACGTTCTGGTTCATCATGCAGGACGGCGGCCCTACCCAGTCGGACAAGCCCAGCTTCGGCATCGTCGGCGGCAACACCTTGAGCACCAAGCCCCTCTTTGACCTCTCGTGCGACGGCTACACGGACGGCGGCTCCAGCTCCGGCTCGTCTAGCAGCGCTAGCCAGCAGTCCAGCTCGACCTCGGCCGCCACCGGCAGCCAGACCGAGACCTCTGCCGCTGCCGGTAGCCAGACTCAGGCCGGAACCACGTCCGCTGAGGCCGCCACCACTTCAGGCCCGGCTTCGTCTGCCTCAGGCGTTCCCTCTACCCTGAGCACCTCGGCCGCCACCAACCCCGGCTCCGGCTCCGGCTCTGGCCCTGGCCCCGTCGTTCCCGTTCCCTCACAAAGTCAGCCTGCTGGCACTGGCGTCATCCCCAGCGGTACCGGCGTCCCTACTAGCCGCATTCCCACGGGCCCCTCTGGCTCTAACGTTCCCACCCAAGTCAGTTCCGCCGCTGGCCTCAACTCCATCGCCGCCGCCGTTGCCGCCATCATGGTCGCCGTTGCTGCCTTTTAAAGCAGACTGGCTAGCGACATCCGCTCCCCTGCGGAAGCCTTATGGGCTGCTTGGCAGGTCTTGATGTGTACATTGTAGCCTCACGGCATCAAATTTGTCCGAGGCGCTCTTTACTTTTCTGCGCTCGTACGTTCTGATGATTTTCATTAGACTTGAAAAAACGGATAATGGGTTCAGGAAATGGGAATTGTTGGATTAATGCATTGCTTGGCTATACGGAATTATTACCTTCATTTGACACGACCTAAAATTGAATTAAACACAATTCCAATCTGAAAAGAATTTGATCACTGTGACTATACAATTTAAATTGCTGTCAAGATTGACTACCTACGTGTGACGAACTGCAATATAAATGATCGCCAAGCTGGTGATTTAACACAATTGCAATATAAAAGATGGTCGAGACTGCAACTTCACTGACTAAGCTGGCTTCCCTGCCTGGTGAACCACAATAGCTATCAATCTCATGATCCATGTGTCTGCTGTGCCACTCTGCCTGATTTGTGGCGCGTTTGGCTTGCGGCCGAGCCGAGCCATGATCCGAGAAGGGAACCAAAAGCTGGAACGCGGCTGCGCGTTCGCCCCATCACTACCGACACTGGTCGTAGCTTTTTTTTACCTGGCAATCTGGCCCCTTGATCGCACGACAACACATACTTGGCCTTTTGTCCATCACGTTTAAAATAATTTTCACCTATTCCTGAACAATTGACTCGATAGAGATATACCCAGGAGCGGCAATACGCCTAAAACTGGTTCAGCAAATCAGAAACAATGGCGTTTAGCCCTCGCGTGCGAACCTGGGCTATGTGCCTGGCCGTGCTCGCTGCCTGTGTATATGCAGCTCCACAGAGCGTCACGGCCGCCGATGCTGCTGAAAGCTTGAGCTTGGAGCAGCTCGGCGAGGAACTGCAGGTATGAACCCAGAGACGGGGGCGTGAGAGAGAACAGGGGACAAGATGGCCGATTGAACAAGACGCTTTACTGCCCGATGAGCCATGGCCGCTCGGCGCGCTGCTCACAGAGGGTCGCGTGAGAGAGATACAGAGAGAGGGCAGACGTACGAGAAAGAAGCAGTGCATCAAGGGACTCTCATCGCTGACTGAACCGAAAAAAATCCGACAGGCTTGCCCCGTTGTGCAGCACCTCAACGCCGCCAAGGCGGCGCACCACGATGCGCAGCCCTCGTCGCTGACGACGCGCCTCTTTGCCGTGCTCTTCCCCGGCTCGCCCGCCGTCAACGCGCTGCTCGCGACGCTCTACATCTCGGGCCCGCCCAACTTTTTGCTGGCCCTGTGCCCGACCGACATTGACCCGGGCTCGCTGTCCATCATGGTGGCCTTTGCCGTAGGCGGCCTGCTCGGCGACACGCTCTTCCACCTGCTGCCCGAGATTTTTGTCGGCGAGGACGACCCGACGCGCGCCACGTTTGTGCTCGTCGAGCCCAACCGTAATCTGGTGCTGGGTCTGGCCATCATGGTGGGCTTTTTGGTGTTTGTGGCGCTGGACAAGGGACTGCGCATCGCGACGGGCGGCGCGGGGGAGCATGGGCATTCGCATAGCCATGCACACGCGCACGAGGAGAGCGTGACGGCGGCAGCGACTGGTATTGATGCGGATGCGGCTGCTGGAAGCGTCAAGTCGCGCAAGGGAAAAAAGGCCGGCAAGGAAGTGGTGGCTGTTGTCGAAGACAAAAAGGAGATTAATCCGAGCGTCAAGCTCGGCGGCTACCTCAACCTCATGTGAGTTCTCCTTGTCCTCGACGCAAGTAGAAAAAGGTTGAAAGGTTGTTTGCTAACATAGACACAAGCGCCGACTTTACCCACAACATCACGGATGGCCTGGCCATGTCGGCCAGCTTCTACGCCTCCCCGACCATTGGCGCCACCACCACTGTCGCCGTCTTCTTCCACGAGATTCCCCATGAGGTTGGCGACTTTGCCCTGCTCGTCCAGTCTGGCTTCTCCAAGCGCGCCGCCATGGGATCGCAGTTTATCACCGCCATCGGCGCCTTTCTCGGCACCCTCATCGGCATCGCGGTGCAAGAGTTTGGCGGGCCCGGCGCCGAAGAGGCGGTGGGCATGCCTCGAAATGCCGGTCTCTGGGGTACCAGTCTGGTGAGTCTGTCCAATGCCAATGGCTAGCCTGCTTTTACCACTTTGTGTGTGCGATTGGCTAACAAGAACATAGACCTGGGGCGATATGCTGCTTCCCTTCACGGCAGGCACTTTTCTCTACGTTGGCACAGTGGCAGTCATTCCGGAGCTGCTTGAGACGGGGCCCAACAAGATGCAGGAGCTGCGTAAGACGCTCACGCAATTTGCGGCTGTAGCCCTGGGCGCTGGCATCATGCTTTACATCTCATGGCATGATTAAGCTACTGCTAGTTTAGCTGCATGGATCGAGAAGAAGATGAGGTAACACGAGGCGCGGTTGGACTTTATTAGCGACCGGAGGCTTTTTCGAATGATGTATCGAGTCGATTTGCTCTAGGCGGCCGCATTATTTGAGTGAATCGCCAATTTGCTACGAGCCACACGTGAAACAAAGATCAAATGCATAATTACTTGACTAACGCTTGTCTAAAAACAAAACCTCACCCATTTACCAACAAGACCCCAAGTCAATGACCCCAACACGCCTACACTCTACCAACTACAACCTTATTCTTTGTGCCTCCATCCATAACGGTTGTTTGGCTTTCCCATTATTCCAAAGAGATGATAGTCCAGATAGTTGAAAGCCAGCCTCAAGCACTCTACCTGCAGGCCTTGGCGGGAGGACGGATACGCTAGCTGGTAGAATTCAACCGACCAGGTCAGCCGGTTGAGCCTGTCAATGTAGAGCCTCAGCGCGTCCTTTTCAGTAAGATTGTGTTCTCGAATCCCCACTCGGACGAGGTTCAAGTACGCAGAGCCATCATTTTGCTGCTCGACGGCCTTGAGATCCTTGTACAGCCCGATGATGTCGTTGATGAGAATCATCAGCACGGATGCCTGCAGCATCTCTGGGTTGTTGTCGAGCGCGCATTTCTCTGCTTGCTCGGACGACAGTGTCAAGGCCATGGGAATCAAGCCACCAACCGTAATGGCGCGTGTTTGGAGCACCTCCTGCGACGATGCCTCGGTGCAAAACTTTTTCCCTTCGTCGTACTCGGAGTCAAAGAATTGATTGAGGAGATCGCTGCACAGCCCAACGTGCTGTCTCGAGAGCAGCTTTCTCTTCAAGGGCATCAAGTCCTCTGCAAGGATCCTTTGCGCGAGGTGGGCTGCGTCAATGACTGCTGCCGGGCATTGGTTCTCGAACCGGGCCATGTCCTGCGTCTCACCGCCCACGACGATGCTTTTGAGGTTCTCCAGATACAGCTTCCCCGCAGTGTCGTGCAGCCCATACAGCGGCATCGTCTCTGTCACGTCGTCCATGAGAAAGATCCACGCAACGTGGCGGTGCAGCAGGACTCGTCGCTCATAGCTCAAGGTGGACTTGTACGAGCAGAGATGCGAGAGGTGCACGGCAAGCTGCTGCAGCTTGGGCGGCAAGAGATGAAAGAATGGCCACTGTTGCATGTCTTTGGCGAGCCGACGCTCCAGCTCATCGTCGTACTGGAGGCTCATGCTTTCTGGAAAGTAGAGGGCAAAGGTATCGGAGCCCGCGCGAGAATGCCTTTCCACTTGAGCCCATTCGGACAAGACCACCAAGGTTGATTCACTCTGCTCATGCTTGAATTGCACCGTGCCATCAACATAGTGAGGGTACTCTGTCTTGTGTTCCATCATCTTGTTGGCGAGCTGCTTTGTAGCAAAAGAAAAATAAAAGTGTGAAACAAGGTAAAAAGATGTTATGGACTGATTTAATACTAGAGATGATGGGGCTATTGGGACTCTCATCATACATCAGATCAAGCACCTTCTTATATTCATTACAATTCATAGACGGCATCGGCAAATGAAGGACCCTTTTGCGCCAATATTCGCTGACCCAGCTCCAGGCTGCAGGCAGAGACTTTTGCCGGGCTTTCGCTGTAGATGCCGGTGGGCGCGCGTGATGGCATCTGTGCGTTTGAGCTGCTATGCGAACAAAAGAACTTGCATAATAAAAATTGCGCAATGTGTCTGTACACAGGTGACATGGCCTGCTACCCATTTTGCGTGGCCAAGCTCAGCCAGCCACCCGGGACTCGGGTATTACAGTAATGAGTTCCCACGGGCATACCGTCGTCGTCATCGTCATCCCAAGTTATCGCGGCTACTCCGAATAAGGGCTTTTTCAGCCGTCGTCTAAAAAAGCTCTTTGCATGGCTTTACTGCGGCGCGTTCTTCCAGACACGGCAATAGTCGTCGGGCTTTCCGCTGTTGCCAGCTGAACCACGGCATGTCTGCTTACTTCCTTTAGCCGGGTAAGACATGGGCGTACGCATGGGATTTCAACAAGATACGATGGAACGAGCTATGGAATTGTTGCATCTCGGTGTCTGCACCACCACCTACTGGGCAAGCGGGTGCTGTTTTATACTATGTTGCCACTCGACGTGCTTTGCTCGCATGGAGCTCTAGAACTCTTGAAAAAAATACTAGAACCATAGAATACCTATGACCGAGCTTTATTGCTCATTTAAAATCATGACGGGATAGTTTAGTCAGAAAATTCATTCGCTCTTGTAGGTGAACATCGCGAAAAGAAAGGCAGTAAGCATCTATGCATGTAGGTAATCCGTACCTATTTAGCGGGCAGGTTTCTTGATACCCCCTCGGCGAAACAAAGCAAACAACTCAATAATTGAATAATTGACTACCATACCCACCAGAACCGGTCAGTCTTTACATTTCGTGAAAAGACATTCTTTTGGCATGTTTCCGATTGGTCATGTCCGCGGCCAACTGCGGTCATGGCTTCCAGCTAGAGATACCTCTGGTGGCACCTATGTGCGCAGGGGTGTGCAAGTACCTCTGTACCACCAAATAAGCCCTCTCTGTATGGAGTACCTAATCCGGGCCTTGGCACATGCTTTCTCGTTCCTCCGTATTTGACCTTTTCCAAGACACTCCTTGATTTCAAAGCCTCCCAGCGTCTTTGGCGAACATCACTCTGCTGCTCCATTTGTGATCCATCTCAACTGACTGCTTACTGCCCACACCATCGTCAGCGGCCCTCGCTCCCACCTCTGATCAAGGCCCGAGTTCCGAAACTGCTGCTCGTCAAGTCATGCACAGCCCGACATTGTAGCCCCCAAGGTCCGTCCGAATCTCGACTCACCGGGCCCGCCTCCCGCCATACGCCTGGCGCAGGAGCATGTGCTAGGCTCTCCACGCCATGGCGGATGTCCACGCCGATGAAGCTCCCGAGCATCGCTACCCTCCAATAACGCCCGACTCGCGCCATCGTCAAAGTCACGATGCTACTGGCGAGCCTAATAGCACCGGCAGTCGTCACGACGGGGCCAGCGGCAGCAGCCACTTGGCTCCCTCTGACCTTACGCGCGAGCGTCTACTGCTGTACCAGTCGAGGCTCGCCGCGGAGCAGGCAGACGGGCGAGCGCGACACGACACAACGAGGAAGAAGCGCAGAGACCGGCCAAACGGCTCGTTTCTGCTCCATGACAGAGGCGTCAAGCGCAGCCAAAGCTCCCGTCTACCAAAGCCTACCATCGCCGCTACCCATACTCGTGCTACGACCGATTCGCTCTCCAACACTCCCGAATCCGCGCGATCGATTGCCCTGCGAGATAAGGCTTTGCGAGTAGTCTCTGATCCCTTTGCCAGGACACTTCTCACGCCGTCCCCCGAGGTAGCCAACAACCCGAGCACCGGTTCGCTCAACGAATCTTCCCCTGCGTCCTCTCAGAACAGCCATGCTCTGGCTACTGTGGACGCCGACTCTACACAGATTGTGAACATGGCCTTGAGCCTTAGCGAATCACGCCGTCTTGTCTCTCGTCGAAACGTGTCCCGTGGCACGCCCCCCAAACTCATGCCTTTGCCGGATTCGGCTACATCCAACGACCTTCGCCAACAGCTCAAACAGCAACGTCAATTCTCTCGAAACATCTCTCCTCGCCCTGAACAAGTTACGATACCGAGGCAAAGCACAGGCTTGTCAGTGTCAAGTCCACTGCACCACAACTTTCACGCTGGACAAGGCGACATGCACGGCTACCACTTCTCCGCCTCAACCTTGGCCCGCGCTCAAAAGGCAAAAGATCACCTAGAGCTCATGGCCCACTACAGAAGGCTTCTCGATGTGCTGCCGCCGTTGAAGCCGGCGCATTTACGAACTGTCACGACGAGCCCACCTGCCTCTCCAGTAGGCGGTGCAAAAGTCTTTACATGGAGTTCGACCACGAGTCCTGTGCAGCTGGGGCGCAAGTACAACCCGCTGCAGTATATTCGAAATAGAAAAGTGAGAGCGCGAGAGAGAAAGGTTATTGATGCCGAACGACAAGGATTCGGGGATGTCGACAGTGTCAAGTGTTGGGTTGAGAAATGTGAGAAAAACGTTGCTTTGCAACTACCAGAGGATGATTCAGAGTGCATGGTGCCTTTTCCCGGTGTCGAGGAATCAGTTGCACAGTCTGCGCTTGATCCTGCGACCAAGGCGGCTCGAGCCCGTCGACCTCGCGTGGACTGGTTCGTTGAACCGTGCGACATGCTTGCCGATGCCTATTGGATTGAACAGGGTCAGAATAAGAAACTCATCGAGGATCGCCACTGGCGCAGAATATTTCCTTCAGACTCTGACCTTTCACGCCCCATGTCACGAGAAAATGAAGAACCGAGGCATGGCGTTATGCCCTTTTCCCCGGATACCGGTAACCGTTTCCCGAGCCTTCCAGATATCAATCACACCCACAGGACTCACGAGTGGGAACATGGCCGTCAGCGTACCATTGAGCGCGCAAGAGAGAAGCTTCACAACATAAAGGACTCAAATCACTGGCGTGTCACTGATCATCTTCACGGTGGACCTCGCTCCAAAAAGGACTCTGCCTCTGAGTACTCGGAAAGCGACAACGAGGCACGCAATCGAACAATACGCGGTACACGGAAGCGGGTAGAGAGCAATGATGTGCAGCCAGGTGATATACTGCACAAGCAAATGTTGGATATGATTGCCACGGAAAACAGAGACAAGGACGTTCTGGAATTTGCAGGGGTTGAGCATTTTGTGCCACCCAGCATGACGAGCCCGGATCGAAACGTACTCTCGAAACCAGGCAGCCGTTTGCACAGTCGTAGGGGATCTTTAATGGACATTAGCGACCATGAACCAAGGGGCGCATTGCAAAACATACACGAGAATCCTGCCTCTCGCTCCCGCGTTGAAGATCAGGGAGTCGACGCGCCTCATCTCCGAGTGTCCAGGTCGATAGACAATGACTCCTCGCTGCCTACATCGCCAGAGCTGCGACCGTCAAGGAAGCCGACTCTTGAGTCTGTGTCACTAGAGCCGCCGACTCCTTGGAGCCGCTCAGGATCTCCCTCAAAGAAACAGATAGCAAAGATTCACACGTCTCCTGAAGTAAATTCTGGTACAGACGGGGATGTAGCTGCAGGCAGCAGAGCTGACACGATACAACGAGAGATGGCTGGCTCGGCGCCTCTTAACGTGGAGCCATCTCTAACGAGGAATGCATCAGCTCCATTGGCTGGGGCCACCATTAAAAGCCATCGCCGGATGGGAAGTCTCCTGCAGCGCGCTGATGATCCCAACCCTGGTCTCCGTGGCATTTTCAAAGGTCCACGCATTGATACAGTTCTGCGAGACGGCGTGTCTCGCATTGGTGATATTCTACGCAAGAAGGATGGCACTGGAGAAGCGCAAGAAATAGACTCCACGGATGAATCTGACAGTGAGCGCAACAGAGGAAGGAGACGCGCCTCAATTTCTCCGTCTCGCCATCTCTTCAAGAATGAAAAGCACAAAAGACAGGACTCGAGGCACTTTCTCGATGTCATGCCACAGTTCCAACACGCTCCGGGTGCTTCCAGCGAGACTGACAATCATAAATCTGTGTCATCGGCTGGCCATAGGACCCAAAGCAACTTTTCCTCGCGTGTTGAGTTGCTAAAACCACCTCAGACTGGAACTCGAAGTCCATCCATGTCAACCTCTCCACCACCCGAAGCAGCCGGTCGTCTGGGCGAACCTGACGCTTCTGAGCCCGATTTGAGTAACGGCCGTGTTTCCACTGGTGTCCGCGAGACTGACCGCCGACTCAATGCCATCCTGAGTGATTCGTCTGCACGCCGTGTCGACCGCAACGAACGAACCAAGAGCCGCCAGTGGTCCATTGCGGACCAGGGCGGCAGGTCAGTCGAACAAAGCCAGCTATCGAGACGCGAGATGGCGCGCGTAAAGACGCTCATCCTCAGCTCTGGCATCAAGGCCATGGAAATCAGCAGACGCGCCAAGGTGACGCACAAGCCGTTTAGTAACGACGGCGCAAGAGACTGCGCGAAGCTGGCGAATATTGACTGGAACGCCATCGCCAAGCTGTGCCCGGAAAGCAAGCAGCTACAGGATCTCGACGTGTCGTTTGCCGAAGCGTATTCACTCGCCGCGCACACGCTGACGAGCAACATGCAGCTCTCTGGCCAGCGTTGGAAGCAAGCCGCCGACAAGCTGTCATCGCACACGGGGCCGGAGCTGCACCGGCGCGTCGGAGCCGTTCGGTCGCGCGTGGCCGACGATCTGGCGCCAATGACGCGCGCGGCCGTCGAGGAGGCGGACGAGGCGAGCCGCAACTTGGCGCTGGATCAGCCGCTGCGCATCAAGCACGTCGTCGACACGATGGAGAAGATGCTCCGCAAGAGGCGGCGCCGGCTTCGCTGGCTGCGTCGCGGCCTATGGCTCAGTGTTGAGTGGCTTCTCGTCGGCTTCATGTGGTACGTCTGGTTCGTGGTCATGATTTTCCGCGTGTTTCTCGGCATTGGCCGGGCAATCTGGAACGCTGTCAAATGGGTGCTGTGGCTTGCCTAGAGGCTCATTTTTACGATTTTCTTTTGTCCTCATCTTTTGTCCTCGTCTTTTTTTTTTCCCACCCAACGCTACAACTTTATTCTATCCTTTTCTTTTGCCCCTTTCTTTACTTTTCAGTTTTAACACATTTTGCTATGCTCCATACAGCTCTTTTTGTTTGGATTCTTTTGAAGCGACAATTGATACCCTGCTTTGGCATCTTGTTCTTATTCTGGATCTTGCACCTTGTTTCACGTCTTCATTTTTTTTTTTTTCATTTTTTCTTCTTTTTTTTTTCAAGCTATGTGACGCTCGGCATAGGCATGGCGATATAGTAGTAGCAAGTAGACACATTTTTATTTTCACCTTACTTCCGAGGAGGTGGAGGGGAAGGCAGCATAAGTGTCATTTTAGAATAACGCTCGAATACTGTCTTCTTTATATAATACAACCACTTCTCTTCACTTGGCCGGCCTCATCGATCAATGAAACGTCTGAATGCATATTCATTCTTACATGTACAGATTCAGTTCTGCTCTACAACAACAGACAGCCTATACAAGAGTAACCGGGATGATGAGTGAGAGATCATGGTATAATAGCAATATAGCTAGACAAACGGCTCAATGACACAGCAGTGGATACTCTATTTCTTCTGCATCGAGGGTTTCCTCCAAGCAGGTTCATGTAATTAAAACACATAGAAAAACAAGAGGACCGCAAAAGAATCTAGACACAGGAACCTCGATATATATTTTCGCCAAGGCTTCTTCCTTCCTTTACTCAATTCTCTTTTTGCCTTCCTCGGCACTAAGGAAGCGTGCCGTGCTGAGACCGCGCTCATGGCGGGCTACAAAGCTGCCCAGTAGTGCGTCCTTGCGTGCTTTGGAGTAGTGCTCGTTGTAGCCTTCCGAGGCAAAAGGACGAGGGTTGAGTATGGGCCAATTGACCTGGGTTGAAACGTGTTAGTACCAAAGATACAGTGGGAATAATGGCCGTTGAGAAACTTACGTAAAGCATGCCGTGTCCGAGGATAAAGTGCATACACCAAGCTGCCACGGCGGTCCAAAAGAGAATAAAGAGGCGCATGGGCAGGACCCTAGCGTCTGGCTCGCGCTTGGTGAAGATGCCAATCATGACGATAAAGGTGCTAAAAGCGAGCAGGTATGGGATGGACTGGATCAGGATGGGACGCCTGTCGACAAAGATGCGACCCAGGCCGACGCCAGACTTGCCTGGTTGGTAGGCACCTAGAAAGAGATCAAAGCTATCCTGGCGAGGACCGTCGAGAAAATTGTTGAGGAAATAGCGAGTGATACCAATGCGTCCGTCCTGAAGAGCACCGAGCTTGGTGCGCTTACCCGTACGGGTGACATCCGTCTTCATGGCTCCAGTGCCGGAGTAGGAGCCAGAGACGATATCGGCATTGTCAGCCCAGAGGTTGCGGAAGAGGAATTCAAAGTCGGGGTCCTCGTCACGGAAGGACGCACCGCGGGGCATGAGGCCGAGTTCGCTGAAAATTCGGTCGAGGACAGCACGAGCAAACATGCTCTGGACAACATTGGTGCGGTCGAGGCAATCCATGCAGTTGGTGCGCATGACGCTCGTCTGCAGACTGCGGGCCTCGAGCTTGTCGTCAAGACCACCGGGCATATCCACGCCCCGGAAGTATGATTGTTTCTCAAGCTCTTCGTGCATGCGTGTGACCAGATTGTAGGCCTTGTCCATTCTCATACCTTTGGTTTCAGTGTGAAAGTCAAAGTAGACGTAATGAATCCTGTCAAAGTGATTGCGGCTGTTGCTGCTGGGGGTCACGGTGAACTTTTCGTTGGTGACATCGGCAACACTTCCGGCTCTAGATAATGATTCGCACATCTTCTCATATGACTCCTTGACATTGCGTTCACGGCCCTTGGAATTGACCAGATTGATGAGGTAGTTGTCGCCGTAAATGCGAATCTGCTCGTCGAAATGACGGGCGGCGGGGCCGGTAGCAGCTTCGGTGGAGCGGACTTGCAGTTTGGGTGTATAACGCAAGCTGTTGATCTCGGCCCAGTACGTGGGAACACTACCTCGAGTCTGAACGTAGGACATGATTTGCATGTCGTTGCCGTCGGTACCACCGAGCTTGCCGCTCTGCATGTCGGTACTGCCAACGAAGCCGCCCATCCCAGTGCTAGCCTCGTTGAGAATAACAATTTGCTCTGTCTCGTTATAATTGGCGACATGACCGTCCTCATCAACGCCACGGGTGAAGAATCGGGTACCACCACGGTATCTCGATCGACGAGAGATGAGGGTCAGGCTGAGGGGTGTGCCCTTGAATTTCGTCTGCTTTGTCTCAAACATGCCAAACATACAAGGCAGAATGTAGGGGTCGATGGCGGGTTGGGCGCCAGGCTGGGCGCGGGAGCCGAGGTTGCGGAAGTCGACGAGGTCTGACTGGAGAAATCTGTTGTAGAAGAAGCGGTCGTCGGCACGCATCCAGAGTGGTTTGGTGGTGTCGGCCTGGGACTGCCTTTGAAACGAATTTGTCAGGTCGAGGGAGTAGGAGAAGTAGAGGGGTGCCTTTTGGAGGAAAGTGTCGAGGAGGCGGACAAAGGTATCCTCATCGGGATCGTGAATCTGGCGCTCGCGCATGGGTAGGATCTCGGCGGCGAGGACCTTGTAAACCATCTGGCCTTTAAGACGGCCGACGGGCTTGGTCTTGTTGATGATGACGACATATTTGTCTATTTGGAGTGCATGTTAGCAAAGCGACAAGCAAATGAGGCAGTCTAAGGAGGGTAGGCAACGGACCGAGCTTGAGCTGAATGACGCCGAGAATACCGGCAATGCTGGATACGCGAGTAGCGCGTTTGCTGGTTTGTAGAGAGGGCTCAGTCAGGCTGACATCACCGGTAGGGCGGTCGAGAACCAATGCCGGGGCATTGGGTGAGGATGGGGAGGTAAAGGTGTAGGCATCGTTGCTAACACGCAAGTTGATGTCGCGGTAAGGAAACAGGGGACCGGTGATGGGGGCCATGGTGTGGATGGTTGTGTTATGGGGGTACAGGAAGCGATGCGAATATTGAGTGGCAGCAGTTTATGCGCCTGGATGGGAGGTGAGCGATGCAGGAGCGCAAGGCAGGCTGAGAAAGTGAAGCCGAGGAGCTAAAAGAGCGGGATGGCGGCGAGTGGGTAGAGTTGAGGCCAACGAGGCAAGGCGAAGCTGGAGGTCGTGGAGTCGTGGAGTGGCTTGGGCGCTGCAAGGCACAGGACAGAGGAACCGAGCCGCTGAGCCACTCACTGTAGCTGCCAGCTGCTAAAACGTAAATAATTTTTGTTAGCTTCCGAATCCAAACCGCGGCTCCTTTCAACGTCACTTGTTCCTTGTTGAAGTCATGACGCTAACCGAAAGGGGCTTAGCCGAGGGACAGGTTGATTGTTTGGGAGGCACGGAGGGAAGTGGCAGCGCTGAAGATAGCCGCTGAACATCGGGCAGGGCGTCAGCCATGCTGCAACGTAGAGAAATCAGAATGTGATGAGCGAATCAAGATGTGTATATAGAAATCAATAAGAGGTAAAGAAAAGATGGCATAAAATTTGTGATGAGCAAGTCAAGATATGTACATAGAAATCAATAAAAGGCAAAGAGAAGACGACTAGAGAAGCCAAAAAAGAGAGGAGAAAATCCAACACATAGCATGGTACAGCTTCTGCCAGTTCAATGCACCGTTTGTGCGGATATAAGCCAGAGAGAAACAGGCAAACTGGTGTAGGAAGCAAGGTAAGGTAGGTACATGCTGTACTAATAAGGTAGGGTAGGGTAGGTATGTACCAGTACGTCAGATTACCCCGCCACAGCTGCCGGTAAATAGTCGTCGAGATTGCGCGAAAAAAAAAATGTCGCCTGCGTATCATTCTATGCAGACTTCTAAAAACATAGAAATGATTCCATATTGTTCGCCTAATCACATCCACCAACATGCAAGCGGATGCGTGTCAAAGTGGCTTCAGTTTCCAAGTCCGCCTCTAGATCCGCATAGATCTATTCGCACAGATCCACGGCGATTACAGATCTAGGAACCAAATATAGTTTCCATACCGTTTCATTAGTAACAGCGAAAAAATTGATAAGCAAAAAATTAGATGAATGGTGCATCTTGTCTCAGTTCATCTTGCGCCATCCCGAGAGTTCTGCGCCAGCGAGCATTTGTCAGCCCACTCACTAGTCAACGTTGCAACGCAAACTCCGTCGGATCGTGCCTCGGCTTGCCTGCATTGACTACCTTACTACGTATGCGTTGTTTCACAAGCATGCATAGACAGAAACTACCTGCAATTCGCCAACTCGCTGAAAATTACAATTTACAATTTGTCTCGACGATTGCAAAAATAATCAAAGATTCCGTTTGATCCAAGTATATGAGCATCTACCACCAAGCAAGCACCGGGGCAACTGGAGGGGTTTCCAGCTTCAGAGCGCATACTTGCTCCCGCTGTTGGTCGTGTTGGTTATGGGATCATCCACATCAGAGTTCATATCATACATACAGACGAGGGCTCAAGAGAAGGCTGAAATACTAGCTTGGACAATGGTCGGATTAAAGCTACAACGTACGGCAATTCCGCATCCCATCCAATGACACCATCTTTTCATCGTTCGTAATCCCAACACGGTTGGTGACATTTTCCCCATAATATCTCCCCATTAGTCTTTCGAAGCCATGCGGGTAGCTCAAAGTCCGCAGCTTGATTAGTTGATTAGTTATATCCAAGAACGGAGTCCACCATGGATAAACCCACACACCATACTAAGTACGTTCCGAGCACGCAAAACAGTGGCACAATATTCGATGCTAATTAATAATTCTCTTCATGTTAGGACCTCGAGCGCCTGAACACAAGCTAAATCCATGATCCACTCCAATCTTTTGATTCTTCTTCTATCAATATAAAAGCCTCGTTAGGCCCCCGTGGTTATGGTCTTTTCTCATCCAAAGTCACTCAACTCACAAGCTAGCGTCTTCCTTGCTCCATTATAGTCCACCACAACTCTTTTACACAATGACTGCTTCCTCCTCCTCCAAGCTCTGGCAGCCTCTCCAGGTTGGCCGCACCCAGATCTCGCAGCGCATCGCCCTGGCGCCGCTGACTCGCTTTCGCAACGACGATGAACACGTCGCAACCGACATCATGACGCAGTATTATGCCGAGCGCGCCTCGGTGCCCGGCACGCTGCTCGTGACCGAGGCCACAGGCATCTCACCCGCCGCCGAGGGCGCGGCCAACCTGCCCGGCGTGCACAGCGCCGCGCAGATCCAGGCCTGGCGCAAGGTCTACGACGCCGTCCACGCAAAGGGCAGCGTCGTCTTCCAGCAGATCTGGCACCAGGGCCGTGCCGTCGACCCCGAGTACGTCGGCTCCCGCGGCTTCAAGTACGTCTCAAGCTCCGCCAAGGTCATGCCGGGCCGCGACGTCGCCCCCGAGCCGCTGACCGAGGACGAGATCCTGACCATCATCGACGACTTCCGTCAGGCGGCCCGCAACGTTGTCGATGCCGGCGGCGATGGCGTCGAGATCCACGGCGCCCATGGCTACCTGATTGACCAGTTTACACGCGACAGCGTCAACGAGCGCACCGACAAGTGGGGTGGCTCCGTCGAGAACCGCGCGCGCTTCCTGCTCGAGATTGTCAAGGCTGTCAGCGACGAGATTGGCGCCGACCGCACGGCTCTACGTCTCAGCCCCTTTGCCTCGTTCCAGGACTCCGTCTCATCCGACACTTGGACTCAGACAAGCTACATTTTGAACCAGATCAAGGCTCGGGGTCACAAGCTCGCCTACCTGTCGCTCGTCGAGCCCCGCGGCGACCCCGTCCTCCTCTTCCTTGGACCTCAACAGGTCGACCCGTTTGCTGGCGGCGAAAAGTCGCTCAAATACTTTTTGCGCCAGTGGGACAACTTTAGCCCCGTGATTGTCACCGGCGCCTATGATCTCGACGGTGCCGTGCCCGCCGTCGACGAGGAATATGCCGAGTGGGATGTCATTGTTGGCTATGGCCGTCCCTTCATCTCCAACCCGGATTTGGTGTTCCGCATCAAGAACAAGATTCCGTTTACGGCCTACAACAGAAAGACCTTTTACCTTCCCAAGGTAGCCACAGGCTATATCGATTACCCCTTCAGCGAGCAGGCTCTGAAGGCCGGTCTTGGTCCTCTGAGGGCTGAGATCAAGCTCTAGAAAATCGTGCAGGAAAAGCAGGCATTAGTATGATAAAGCATGTTATGGAGAAAGGAGTTTTGCATTTAGGCATATAGATTTGGAGCAATAGATCTCATTCATGATAAAACGCCTGGTCTGACATGTGAGTCGCCCGTTATACTGGTAAAGAAGTTGCGTAGTGCAGTGTAAGTGGAAGTCAGCAAACCGTCCAAACAAGATTATTAGTGGACAATGTCGACAGCGGCGCAGCTAACAGCGAGAAAAGTGGGTCCGGCAAACGCAACTCCTCGTCATCATTCATGGCAGTCTTCTGATGATGAGAGAGGGCAAGACTAGGTAAGGTGTATCGATGTTTTTTCTATGGTTGTTTGTCCAAGAAAAATAGCCGCTGTAAAAACAGTTTGGCACATGATGGGGCCCTTGCCGTGCAATATGCACATGCGGTCCATCACATGACGCAAATGTATATAATAGTCAGAGATAGGGAGGTAGGTACCAGTACTAAGGTACACTGTACATCTATCATACCTTACACTAACAGGTGTGCTTTAGCGGCCTGTTTATAGGGAGGTAGCACAGGGAATTTAGGCACTCACAGCCTTTGGCACAGCCACTGTTGCTGCTCACACTCGCCACAATTGGCATCACGTCTCCTGTAATCAATCACTGCAGATAATTTACAGCGGTCTGTCAGTCGCCAGGCTGCCACTCTGATGACAGAGTACTGCCAACTCCACCCGCCCAAAGCCCATCCACTTTACCCTGCCTCGCCCGCCATCCCGCCACCAGTCAGGTCAACCTGCCGTGTGCCTCTCGACAACCGAAACGACCGGCCTCATCCACTGACGCCGACCACTCGCAACGTCACACCGTCAACTCCTCCACCACCACCTGCTTCATCACTGATTACATCCACAGCTGCGCGGATCCGTTTTCATCTTCATTTCGTTGCATCTCAAATTCCCTTTCGTCCGACGCTTCCCACGACTTCATCCCTTTCTTGCTGGGGTAATTCCGACGAGGCCTTCCACGTTCCTCTTCACTCTCTCGCTTGCTCGCACACCACCTCATACAACAACCATAATGGCCTCCCGAGGACCCCCTGGCGCTCGCGGTGCCTCCAACAACCGCTTTGCTCAGTTCAAGCTGGTGCTTCTCGGTATGTTTCGATGCAACAAACCTGTCCTGTCGGCTCGGGGATTGCTAACCGCTTGGCTGTGTAGGAGAATCCGCTGTCGGAAAGGTGCGACCGCCTGCAATCAAGAAACATGAGCTTTCTACCTCCAAGTACCCAGACTAACGCTGCAGACGTCTAGAGCTCCATCGTTCTGAGATTTGTCAAGGTAAGCTACTGGCCCCAGGCTGTGCATTCTCCATCATGGCAGCCGCTGACCTTTCTGCAGGACCAATTCGACTCGTTCCGCGAATCTACCATCGGCGCTGCTTTCCTCACCCAAACCATCTCCCTCGATGAGACAACTACTGTCAAGTTCGAAATATGGGATACCGCCGGCCAGGAGCGCTACAAGTCCCTAGCCCCCATGTATTACCGCAACGCCAACTGCGCCGTCGTCGTTTACGACATAACACAGTCTGTACGTGCTTACTTCTCATCCCTCGGTCATGTCGGAATTACGCTAATCGTATCGAACACACAGGCTTCCCTCGACAAGGCCAAGGCCTGGGTCAAGGAACTCCAGCGCCAAGCAAACGAAAACATCATCATCGCCCTGGCCGGTAACAAGCTCGATCTCGTCACTGAACAGCCCGACAAGCGCGCCATTCCCACTGCCGAAGCCGAAGCCTACGCAAAGGAAGCAGGGCTTCTCTTCTTTGAGACCTCGGCCAAGACGGCTGAGAATGTTCCCGATCTCTTTACCGCCATCGCCAAGAAGCTTCCCCTCGACCAGGCCGGCCCCAGACACGCACGCCCTGGCCAACGCCCTGGCGTCAGCTTGGCTCCAGAAAACTCAAACACCAATGCTGCTGGCCCTTGCAGCTGTTAAAGTGCTCTAGTTTTTCGGATTGCGAAATCTCATGGCGGAATATGTACCGGGCCTGCAAAGACGACTGCGCCACTAAGCTGCGCATCGCGGCCCTCACGCTTCAAGTAGACTAATGTCGTGAAGATCTGGCAAAGGCCTCTTTCTTACTCTTTTTTTCGTCCCCTTGACCGAGGGCTTGCGCAGTATATTTCTTGGAGTCTTGGGTTTTGTCTGGAATTCGGTTGATGACTTTTTTTCTTGGTTTATCTCGATATCGACGTTGATTTCCGGTAGCTAGCCTGGCTTGCGATCTTTGTTCTCCCAACAGGCTAATCATTGCCTCGGAGGTCGCTGTGAGGCTTCCAGCAGAGTGATATACTGGACTGGTGGGCAAGCGGTCTCCAAGTACGTACGCCAGTTTGTACCATCAGATCTTAATGCATAGAATATGATATTGGACGCATATCCTGCAGTGTGAAATGTCCGAATGCTATGATGCCAAGTGATGTGTATGTGTGGTTTCGATATGCGCCTGTGTTCTTGGTCAACGAGGTAATACGGCAAGCTGAGCAGTTCGGACGTCTCACAAGCCTGAATGGTCCACCCGCAACTAGAAGCCGCAATGACGACAAGCCACACGCGTAAGAGCACTTGAGCCGCGGAACAATCATGATGAAATCGTAAAACATTGTTTTTTTTTTTTCAAGTTTATTCTTTTCAAATTGTCATCGACATGGCCATTACTCTTTCTATTCAATATTGACCACCTGGTACCATGGATTTGCATCTGTTGCGTCACTCCCGGTTCCTGCCGCGGCGCCCCAGCCCAGTCCGCTTTAGCGCGATCCAAGCTCTTAGCCGAACTTTTGCCCTGAGCGTTTTTGTCCACGGCATAGCGACCCGACAACTGAGCAGCATCTCGCTCCTCAACCACACCTCTTCCTGCCGGCCCTTGCATCTCCAATGTTGCGATCATCGCTCCGGTCAACCAGGCTGCTCAGCGGCCAGCCCATTGCGGCTGCTGCGGGGCGCCAATGGGCCGCCGCTGCGTCGCGACGCTCGGTTCTGCTTCAAAACGTGAGCTCGCCTGCCCTCGTTCCCTTGCCGCACCCGGTATCCCGACGACCGCCGCTGTTTCTCTAACAATGACGCGCTGACTGTCGGCTCTGCAATTCGATCAATTGGATTTTGGCGCCCTCAGTGCTAACAACCTAGCAGAGATACTACGCCGATCAGAAGTACCCCGATGTCCCCAAACCCCCCGTTCTGCCGACCTCCGAGATCAAGAGCTCCGAACGCTCCCCCGCGCCCGCCGAGGAGACAATTGAGAAGAAGGTCGGCCTTGATGAGGTCCCTCTGACTCCTCCTCCCGTGCCCGAGGATATCATCGCAAAGGCTGCCACCACTGCGGCTAATACCCCTCAAGTCGCAGGCAGTGGTAGCAAGTCGACTCCTTCGCCTCCTCCGTCTCCTCCGTCTATCAAGAAGAAGGGCTTCATGGCCCGTCTCCGACGCTTTTTCGCTTCTCTGATCCTCCTTGGCGTCATCGGGTTTGCCGGTGGTGTTTGGTACTCGCGCATCAACGACACCTTCCACGATATCTTCACCGAGTTTGTGCCCTTCGGTGAGCAGGCCGTTCTGTACCTTGAGGAGCTCGAGTTTCAGAAGAAGTTCCCTAATGCTCACCGCGCCGGCTCCACTCGTCCTGTTTCTAGCACCGGTGAGCAGGTGCGCATCCCAGCTCAGAGCGGCGCGTCATGGCGAGTTGCGGACAGCGGCGAGCCTGTCGGCCGTCAATCAACCTCCGCTTCTTCCTCGCGCAGCAAGCCAGCCCCCAAGTCCGATGAGGTCGTGAAGAAGGAGCCCGTACCTGCAGAGGCCAAGCCTGTCGAGACCCGACCTGCCACCGTTGCCAGCAAAGAATCCAAGGACTTCAAGGCCCCCGAGGTCAACGAACCCTCTCGCTTCCCTCCCCTGGAGCCCATCGACTTGATGAGTCTTCCCGACGCCAAGGAGCCAATCGTCCAAGACCTTGTCCGCATGCTCAATGACCTCATTCTCGTCATCAACGCCGACAATGCCCACGGAAAATACTCGACCACCGTTGCCAAGGCTAAGCGTGAAGTCGGCGAGGTTGGCGACAAGCTCAAGGCTCTCAAGACTGACGTTGAGAAGAAGGCTGCCAGCGAGGTCAAGTCCACGATTGCCGAGTTTGACAAGGCGGCCACCGAGCTCGTAAAGCGGGTCGAGAACACCATGGTCCAGCAAGAGGCATCATGGCGTCAGGAATTTGAGAAGGAAATGAACAAGGTTCGCGACACATACGATCAGCGTGTCAAGCTCCTGCTTGAGCGTGAGCAAAAGCTCAACGAGGAGAAGCTTCAGACCAAGCTCCTGGAGCAGGCTCTCGCCCTGAAGAAGGAATATGTCAAGGAGGTCGAGAACCGCGTCGAGACTGAGCGCGAAGGTCGTTTGAGCAAGTTGAACGAGCTCACATCCGCTGTGGCCGAGCTCGAGAAGCTGACTGTTGGCTGGAACAACGTTCTTGACACTAATCTAAAGACGCAGCAGCTTCATGTTGCTGTCGAGGCCGTTCGTGCTAGCCTTGAGGGTGCAACTCACCCCAAACCCTTTATCAAGGAGCTCGTGGCGCTCAAAGAGATTGCCGCCAACGACGATGTCGTCGACGCTGCTATCTCCTCCATCAACCCTTCTGCCTATCAGAAGGGCATCTCTTCCCCCTCATATCTTATCGACCGCTTCCGTCGTGTAGCTGGTGAAGTCCGCAAGGCTTCCCTGCTGCCCGATGACGCCGGCGTTGCGAGCCACGCTTCCAGCTGGGTTCTGAGCCATCTCATGTTCAAGAAGCAGGGTCTTGCCGAGGGCGACGATGTTGAGAGCATCCTGACCCGCACGCAGACGTTCCTCGAGGAGGGCGATCTGGACGCTGCTGCCCGTGAGATGAACGGCCTCGAGGGTTGGGCCAAGACGCTCAGCCGCGACTGGCTCGGAGAGGTTCGCAAGGTGCTGGAGGTGCAACAAGCACTCGATGTAAGTTGACTTGCTGTGGCGCAACCTGCCAATGAATTCGACTAATGCCTTTTTTTCTTTTAGGTCATTGCCACAGAGGCTCGCCTACAGAGCTTGCGTGTAGACTAAAAATAGGGGAGCTTCTAAAACAATACGTCTGTTTTCTTTGTGGTGTACATTGGTTTTCCAGGAGATGCGTCTAGGAGGCACATTGCCTGTGTATTAGATATAACAATAGACCGTCCTGAAAGTTTATCTCAAATTTTATAATGTGACACAATGTCAGTTAATGGAGCAATCTAGACAGGTGAAGGAAGCACTTGGAAAACTGTCGTAAATGTATTCATGGTTACCTGCCTCGACGCCCCAGGCTGATTAGCCTTGTTGAATCGGGGCAAGACCCGCAGATTTCAACATTCGCGAACCTCGATGCTTCTTCATCTTTACCATTTACAACATTTGCAGCCCCATGCATCTAGCTCGTCATTGAAACGGCCTCTTATGATATTTCAAAAATCTATAGACTTGCGAGTGGTGGAAATCGAGAAGCGCTGCCCCAAGTGGGCATCCCGACGATGAACTCGAGGCGCATCCGCCCCGTGCAAAACGGCATCATTCACCCGCGCGCCACATCCTCACTCAAACCTCGAATACCGCGCAGGATGCGCTCATCGGTCGCCGCCGCCGCCGCCGCCGCCGCCGCAACCGCGCGCGACTACGATGCAGCCCTAGCCAAGCTCAACCTTTTGGCCTCGAATCGCGCCATCACCGCGCTCTTCGAGACGCCGGCGGCGCGGCACGCAGACCCGGCATCGCCGCCGTCGCCATCGTCTCGGGACCTCAACGCGCAGGCCATTCCCGAGATGCAGACGTGGCTCCGCCGCGCGGGCTACACGCCGGACGACCTCGCCACCATGCGGCACATTCACGTCGCGGGCACCAAGGGCAAGGGCTCCGTGTGCGCCTTTGCCACGGCCCTGTTGCGCGCGGCGACGACGACGACGGCGGCGGCGGCGGCGGACCGACGACGACGGCCGGTGGGCACGTACACGAGCCCGCACCTCGTGAGCCCGCGGGAGCGCATCGCCATTGACGGCGAACCCATCAGCCAGGCCGTCTTCGCGGCCGCCTTTTGGCAGCTGTGGGAGCGGTTCACGGCGGCGGCGCGCGCCGAGGGCCGGCCACGAGACGAGGCCGAGGGCCCGGCGTCGAAGCCGTTTTACTTTCGCTTTCTGACCATCATGGCCTGGCACGTGTTTCTGCAGGCGGGCGTCCGGGACGTGGTCATGGAGTGCGGCATTGGCGGCGAGTACGACGCGACAAACGTGCTGCCGCCGCAGGCCGTCTCGGCGGCGGTGGTGTCGCAGCTGGGTGTCGACCATGTGGCGATGCTGGGCAGCACGGTGGGCGAGATTGCGTGGCACAAGGCGGGCATCTTTAAGGCGGGCGCCACGGCGTTTGCGCTTGGTCTGCGCGGGGGCGGCGGCGGGGCGAAGGCGGAGGCGGAGGCGGCGGCGGTCATGGATGTGCTGCGGCGACGAGCGGCGGAGCGCGGTGCGGAGCTCGTCGAGGTAGACGAGGCGGCGGTGGACGCCTGGGCCGGCGTCGAGGGCGCGGCGCTGCGCGGCGCATTCCAGAAGCGCAACCAGGCGCTCGCGGTGCTTGCCGTCCAGCAGCACCTGGGCGTCCGGGACGCGGCGGCGAGCACGGCCGAGTCGCTCGCGAGACTCCCAGAGGAGACGCTGCAGGCGCTGCGCGGAGCGACGCTACGCGGACGGTGCGAGGTGGTTGACGACGAGGCGCACAATGTGCAGTGGATGCTCGACGGCGCGCACACGCGCGAGAGTATCGAGCAGGTGGCCGCGTGGCTGGCGGAGAGCGTGGCGGCCGACGACGACGACAAGGAGGCGGCAGATGTGACGCTCGTGTTTAACCAACAGGAGCGCGATGCTCCCGCGCTGCTGACGTGCCTCCTGGACGCCGTCGCGGAAGCGACCAACGGCAGGCGCGTCGTCGTCTTTTCGCGGGCGCTGTTCACGAGGAACGAGCAGGCGGTGGAGGATCACGACGGCGACGTGAGCGTGCAGAGGGCGCTCGCAGAGACAATGAGGATGCTTGCGCCGCGGTGTAACGTGAGTGTCTTTGATAATGTGCAGAGCGCCGTGGCCGAGGTGAGACGTACGGCGGCGGCGGCGGCGGCTGGTCGCGGCAGGAAGCAAAAGGTGCTGGTCACTGGGAGTTTACATCTCGTTGGGGGTATCATGCGGGCAATTGAGCCCGACAGTCTATTATAGCCGTTCCTCGTAAATACGCTACAATTTTTTTTTTTTTTATTTCCATCTCCCTTTCTTCCCAAATGTACCTACATCCAACAACATCTTCCATCATCAACAGCCTCCTACAGCGCATCCGCCTGCTCCAAAATCCCCAGCGCGCCGCCGACCAGATGTAGACTGCCCGTAACGTACGCCTGCACCGCGCTCCCCTCGGGCAGGCCCTCGCCGAATCCGCGCGCGCAGTCGAGCGCCTCCTCAATCGTGGGGAGCACGCGCACGTCCGCCCCCGGGTCGAGCCGCGCCCACGCCTCGGCGAAGCGCCGCTGCGCCGTCATGCCCGCAACGTCCGCTGGGTCGACTTGGCGGTTGACAAAGTCGCGCTTGTAGCCCGTCGCGGCGTACGTCACGTTGGTGCAAAAGATGACGTGGTCAAAGGACTGCGCTTCCGTCGAGGCCGGTGACGGCTTCTTGTTCTTGTTGACGGCGGCGTGGATGGAGGCGAGAAAGTCGACGGCTTCGGCGCGGCCTTGCTGGTTGAAGATGAGGACGCGTGGGCCGATGCTAGAAACGTTGGAGCGTTTGTCAGTGTTTGGGAGGCGACTTGGGGGAGTTGTTGCCATGGGGATTTTTTCTTGGGGAGGGGGGATAATCAGACGCACCTCTTTTCCGTTTCGCTGGCAAACCACTTGGCAGATACCTTGAGACTGTCTGCCGTGTGCGCGCCGTCGACATGCCACTTGATCTTGTTCTCGGCCTTGACCTCGCACCGGCCGCGGAAGCTCGTCTTTTCCAAGCCACTGACGAATTCCCGCGGAAGACTCTTTACATCTCTGCCCCTGTCCATCCCGACTCCAAGCTTCTCCAAGGCTGTCTCCGTGAGCGCCACCGCCAGCGAGGCGTTGCGTTTCTGAAACGTCGCCGCCGGCCTGATCCTCACGCCGTCGAGGCGCGGGTCAATAGGCAGCTCCGTCAGCTCAACCCGCTTCTCCTCGGCGCGCGCGCGCAGCACCGCAGCCGCGTCCGGAAACTGCTCGACGGTAAACGCCGGGCTGCCGTTCTTCATGATGCCGGCCTTGTGCCACGCAATCTTGTCGAGGGTATCGCCGAGCACGTAAACGTGGTCGATGCCGAGCGTGCTGATGCCCGTGGCCAGCGGGCGCGGCACGAGGTTGGTCGCGTCAAACTCGCCGCCAACGCCCGTCTCGTAGACGGCCACGTCGACGCCCTCTTGTAGAAAGGCGTGCCAGCTGACGAGCGTGAGATAGCGCCCGTAGATGGGCTTACTGCCGAGCGGCGGCGGCGGCGGGCTATCCTCGTCGTTGTAATCTTCAGGCTGCTGCGGCGTAGACGGCGATTCGAGGCGGTCCCAGACTTCGAAAAAGTACTTGGCGAATAGCGCCTCGGAGATGGGCGCCGAGTTGATGCGGATGCGCTCGCGTACGGCAATGAGGTGCGGCGAGATGAAGAGGCCCGTTTTGGCGGGGACGTTGCCGGCTTGCCGGTACTGGGCGAGGATGGAGTCGACAAAGGCGCATGTGCTGCCCTTGCCTTTGGTGCCTGCCACGTGGATGATGTTGAGGCGGTTTAAATCAGATGTCTGCGAGGGATGTCAGCGAGTCTCGTCAGTTTCCAGAAAAACGACGAGGCGGCGCACCGAGTAGCCTATACGGTTGAGATAGGTGCGCATCTCCCGGATGGAGGAGGCATCGGGCTTGACGCCAGCCTTGCGTCGGGCCTCTATCACTTCAAACGGCGTCTGCAGCGTATTCAGCGCGTCAATCGCATCCTATTGTTGGCGCGCCAAAATTGTCAGTGCATGTACGAGAATTGCCGCGTGTGGACGTGGCCAAAAGTTTCACTCACATTGTAGGATCTGGTGGTGGGGGTGGTAGAGGTCGTCATTGTGCGCAAAGATTGTGGGCGCGAGGCAGATAGGAGCCTTTCTATGAGAGACAGTGGGCGCCTCGATACATTCTGCATCGAAGATGGGCCGATGCTTTGCGCAGGTCTCGGCTGCAGCAGTTGGAATGCGGGTTCGGCAAAAGAGAAGTAGGTTGAAGCTGCCAGCCTGAAATAAGCGCGGCCAGGAACTTTGGTAGCGGGATCGGCACTATCTATAATTGACACTGGAGATTTGAGTCGGATCGGTTAATGGGTCACGACGATGATCATGTCAAAAAAGTAATGAGGCGTTTGAATATGAAGATGTATTATTATGTAAAAATTACAAAGATGAGAATGTTGCAATTTTTGGATCGTTTATTATTAGCGAGTGTTTGAGTATTTGTCCTCTTTTCATCAACCGACAGCGTATTAGCTCAGTGGGCTATTCGATACCTACCCAAGTACCTAACTTTTGAACGGGCCGCATCTATCTTCCTCATTCTCATCCTCATCGTCTTCATCGTCCCCATCTTCATCCATCTCATCGCCTTCTAGCCTTTTTTATCATCAATATCATCAGAGTCGTCATCGTCATCTTCAAGGCTGATTTCTGACACCTGGCCGGCCTCTCAGACTGTCGGGCTTTGGCACTATTCCATCCTCGTTTAATTTGCTCCTTCTTCCCTTACGCCGCCAACTTTGCCATTTATGCGCTGGCACCCACCGTCTGACAATTCTCATTGATGTGGGTTTCGAAATAAGCGTCTGTTATGTCACTTGCCCCGACACCAATCTGTCGTCCGAGCTGGGCTTTGGCTTGAGCCAGCTGCCGCCCGTTTCCGTTTCGTGGGCAGACAGATTGCGGATTGGTGGCCATGAGCTCCAAGTACCTTTGATTCGATTGCAAAAGTTGCAGGCTGAATTGTCCAGCGAACATGGCCGCTCCGCTGCCGTGAGCTGGCAAGACCGTTTGGATGTTATTCTCCCCCAGTATGCTTTGACTGATCTGCAGTTGATTGCTCTGTCGCTGGGTGTTGCTGCTAACAAGAAAGTTGACAGTGCTTTCAAGTTCGTCGCCCATAAGTGCGACTCCGTTTATCATGGCGACTGTCCCCAGCTTCGTGTGGGCTTGGACATTCGTCACATTCATCACGCCGTCCTGCATCTGGAAGGTGAAGGATTGATCGCTCGACAGGGGGACATTTTCGCCTCCCCTGGCCCCCAATTTTTGTACGAGCGAGGATTGTGCCATGACCGGGACTTGCTTCAAACTGTTTGCATTGCGCCCGGCGACATGGTCCCCGTGCTCATGGCTGAGGATGATCATGTCAATGCCCAGTCCTGTTTGCTGCTGCAACTCTTGGTTGCAGCTCTCAGCAAGAACCTTTGCCGTCGACGTGTCAAACATAAAGACCGAGTTCTGGGATGCTTTTATGTAGTAGACCATGACGCCCAGATTGAGGTTTGGATCGAACGCCTCGCCGTTCAAGTTGACGGATCTGGGCTGAATTCCTTGAGGTATCTTGTCGGCATCATCAGAACCACCTGCGTAGCAGCCATATATCTCAGCTCCGACATTTTGAATGCGGCCGAAGAAGATGTTGACTTGATTCTGTTGGTTCTGCCTCCTGAACATGGCACTTGATTGCGAATTAGTTACCTCGCCATAGGTGAATCTGAAATAGTTGGCTACTTACGGCACATATTGAGTTGACCAGTCAAGACTTGGTCCAAGCCGACGAGCATGGAGAGTATCACCGTGTATGCAGGCAGTCGTGCTGCCGATCAAGGCCAATATAGCCTTGGGAATTTCTGATCGCATAATGAACTGGCCGGTGCACCTTTACCTGAGGCGCTGTAAGAAGAGTAAATGAAGTGAGCTGACGGATGAGATGGACGACGAATTATTTAAAGCTTGGATAGAAGCATATGTCGGTGGTCGCAGGCTGACTCTCTCTGGCAAGGTGGTTAGGCCACGACTGTAACAGTCTTGAAACGATATGCGCTACAAGGTCCAGCCGGTTCGCCTTAAGCCGGCGCGCCTCAAGTCAAGCAGGAAAGACTAGTTAAAACGTTCTTTTCACTTTGTTTAAGATCTACAATGGTCTAGACGTGGATTTACAATCCCTAGAGCGGGGAAACTTTGAAACGGTTCGTTTATGCATTCGGCAACTCACGCTCGCGCACTCCTCCCTCCTCTTGGCTTCAAATCTCGTCTGCCAAGATTTCTCCACCATTTCTTTCCATTGTCCATTTTCTCATGCCCTCTACTACGCCTTCAGTCATGTCCTTGTCAAAAGCAAGACCATCGCTCTCAAAGGACAATCGCGTCCGCCAAGTGATCCAGCACTCCGTCATGGCTCCGTCCGGCGCTCTCAGTAATCCTGTCGATATGTCAACCACCGGTACGTGACCATACCGGCGGCTGTGCTGCAGAAAGAAAACTGTCGCGCTGCAGACGGAGCAAAAAGCGCGCGTCACCCCTTCTGAGGAAGCGTACGTTTTGATGGTGCCGAGCATGAGATGCTCGCCCATGGCAGGCTCGATGGCATTGATGGGCACAAAAATCCACGATGCCACAGGCGTTCCGTTGATAAGCCTACAGTCGTCGCAGATGTCGAGTGTGCCGTACCATTTGGTCGGGTCGAGCGGCGACACAAAGCGCTTCGCATAGTTGTGCTCTGCAATCTCCTTGGATGGCCGAGGGATGGTAAAGGACACACCGCCACAATGGCACTGAGCCCGAAGTCTCTCTTGTCCGTCGGAGCCGACTTCAAGCTTGGGTTTGGGGGCCGCTGCGTTGGCTTGGTCATCTTCGGGGTTCCAGGTTCCCAAAGCTTTGCCTTGGATGTGTGTAAGGATACCTGCCAGTCCACAGTCTCCGGCAGACTTGTTGAAGACATGCGAGACAATTTTGACAATATCGTGACCATGTTCTTTGAGGATTGCCGTCGCCAGCGTCCATGTCCCATCATCATTTCCAACAGCGCCGACATGGCAGCCGCACGTCGAGCACGACTTTGGGGTGTAGCCGACACCGGGTATCAGGTACGACGTCAGACCTTTACTGCTTGACGGCGCAATCCAATTTGGCTCGATACCTTGAGCGAGATTGGCGTGCATGTTTGCCAGAGTTCCCGTATTATAGCGGCATATGCTACAATGGCACAGATAGGCCTTGAGGGGAAGGTCTGCGACTGGGATGTCGAGGGCAAAGTGTATGCCACCGCAGAAGCATTTCGCCTCTAGTGTGCGGATTCTTGTTGATTCAGCCATTTTGCAATGAAACTCGCTCCGGTAATTGTGCAGAAGAAGGGGCGAGGAGATAGTAGAAGATTGGCGATTCGATCGACTTATAAGCACCAGCCTTCACCTTAGCCTAGCGACTGGCGGGGAGGCGAGGCGCTTCAGGCGTGGGGGAGCTGAAAATCTTAGCCGTGAACTTTTTGGCTAAAAATGTTAGTCAAATAGAACAGCTTGTCATTAGTTCATCAAAAGGGCGTTTGTGAATTTTGTCGATCCCTGTAGTTAAAAGGGAAGATTTTACATTCTCACCTCGTTTGCTGTGCAAGAGTATTGGGTACTTCGTACCTACAGCGCTGCTTTGCCTGGCTGACAGTGGTGGCAGCGTCTTGTTAGCGGTCCGCTTTTTGCAACTGAAAATCGCCCCCACCAGATTCGGCCAACCAATGAATAATTTTCTTTCTTCTTTTTGAAGCAACGTTCGTCATCTACTTGAGCAATCATTTGTCCCTTTTTCATACCATGGCGGCGGCCTCGCATGCGCCTCCTATCCATGAGACGCTAGCCGATATGGATGACCATCTCGCGCGGCTCAAGGTCAAGGTCCAGGAGCAACGGACCAGCCTGCAGCACTGGCAGACGTGGGACGCCGAGTATGAGGCTCTGAAGGAACAAGTACAAGCCCTTTCCGAGGCTCCGACAGCCGAGGATCTGCAGCGGCTTCGTAAAGACTTTGACGGCGAGCTTCTCGTGGGAAAGGAACTTGATGAAATTTTCGGCCAACAGCAGCGCTCTCGTGACCAAATTATCAACGTCCTGGATCGCCGCATAGATTATGTCAGCCAAAACGTTCGCAGTCTACAGAAGCAATTAGAAAAGACCGAACTCTTGATTCTGGACGCGGAAGCATCCAATGAACAGGGCGCCGTCGACGACAATGGTCCTCCCATCACGGAAATTGTCGAAGAGTTGGATGAAAACGATAATGTACTTTCATATCGCCTGAACCGACCCGGCGAGGTCTTACCCCGAGTCAATGCAGCGCTTGAGAAGGTCGGCATTGATACCGCTTCGCCTGAAGCTTCGTCGTCAAAGCCGCCCCAAGATCATCATGGTGCTAGTGCTGCCAAAAGTCTACCTGTCAGGAAAGTCAAGGAGTCAATACCGCTTCCCTCAGAGTCAGAGCCAGCTCAAGAGGTGACTCCTCCGCTCTCACGAATGGCAAAGCGTGTGGATGGTATCATGAAGACCGCCAAAGAACAAGAGAAAATAAGCAGTCAACCTGCAACTATTCCTGACGACGAGGATTCCGACGATGCAGACCTTCGTCAACAAATGCTGAAATATAGCATGGGTGAGATGGGCGCGATAGTCGCTGAACTCAACCTCGAAGACGACGATGACGACTCTGATGACCTTGACGATGACGAATGGCTAGAAGGCGACGAGATGGATGATGATGAGGACGATGACGATGAGGAAGATAAATACGGCCGTTTCACAGGCCGCATGGTTACTGACAAGTACCAAAGACGAATGCTGGAGCTGGAGACCAGACTAGGCGTCAAGTCTCGCTTCACACAAAAATTGGAGCAAAAGGCCGAAGAAAGGGACTCGGACGATGATGACGGTGAAGGAATCGGCCGCATACGCATTCAATCAAAGTCCACGCCATCACCAGCCTCTTCCTCAGCCGCACCTTCACAATCCATTGTCAAAGAGAGACAATCCACCAAGAATAAGCCCCCCAAAAAGGGTGTCCGCTTCGCCGATGAGCTCGATATCGCCAACGAAGCCGAGCCAAGCCCCGCGCCCACAGCATCCAAGCCGGACACTGAAAAGCCAGTCGAGCCCATGAGCGAGCTCATCGTGGAGCGAAAACCTGCCACCAAGCCCACGACAGCGCCTTCTTCAACACAACGGCCGTCGCGCTTCAAAAAGGCCGCGGCCAGCGCGCAGACGGCACCCAGCAGCATCATTCCCAAGGGTCCCTTTGACGTCCCCGCGTCCCTTCTCTCGCAGCAGCACGAGCAGGAGGAGGAGGAGAGGCTGGTCCCCACCGGTCCAGAGGGCAAGACCATTGCCGACACTCTGGTCGAAAAGGGCAGCGTGTCGCGGCCCGCGGACCCCAGCGAGCTCGACGACACCATGGTGCACATGGGCGTCGCCGAGGAGCACCAGCGGCTGCGCAGCCGCTTTATACGCCGTGATGGCGAGGGCTTCGTCAAGGAAACGGAGAGCCCTGTCCAGCCGCTCGACGGCGGCAGCGGTGAGCGCGTCAGCCGCTTCAAGGCCGCCCGTCTATCTCGGCAATAAAAAACCATTACATATGCATGCATCATGGCGCAGGATATCGTTGTTTTCTTTTATGAGATATAGAAATTTGGGGATAGGCGCAACATGATCATTTTCTCTCTCCTCTATGGAGCATCTCTTTCCGTCCCGACATCTTTTCTGTTGTTCCCTTCTCTGTGAACAAGTTATGCTACATCTTTCAACGGAACGCCCGATACATGCACATGTATCCAAGGGTCTGCAGCATATCTTCTGCTCATCCTCAGGGCCAGTTCCTAGATTAAACTACTACGGGCTCTCTGAGGCCAAGTACCGGATTTCTTTTTCAACTCTCTAAAGGTCTTGGCTATTCGTTTCGTCCGTAACACTCTTCTTCTCTTCTAACACTTTTTTTTTTTTCTAAGAAAAAACTCGGCAGGTGATCCCCAGCGGGCATTCATGTGCAGGGTAAGTGGAACGCGTAGATGTCATCGCTCTTCATGCGGCCATTTTTTTCTCGATGCATGAGTAGACATGACGAGTCTTGTTACAGTACTTTGGTTTTTTTTGCAAGAGAAAAACAATAAAAGTGTTTATCATGTTTGGTATTACAGTCTTCATTTCACGAGCAAAGCCTTCTCGAGTGGCGTTTTTTGCTCCTGCCATTTACGCAATACAGATCCAAATGTTTACGCACCGGTGCGCAATTGCCATGCTTTTATAGGGGTCCTCCCCCTGGATGGAAAAACTAGAAACCGAAACCCCTGAGATTCGTGAATAGAGGAAATCTGCGAAGAGGAATAAATTTTTTTCTTAAAAAAAAAAAAACAAAAACATAAAAGATTTATGCAGAGATTATTAGTCCTGACGGCAAAAAAGTGTGATCCCGCCCGGGCTTGAACCGGGGACCTTCTCGGTGTTAACGAGATGCCATAACCAACTAGACCACGGGATCAGTGGTACTTGTTGAACAACGGTCCCTTAACAGGTACTATAAAGTTCGAGAAAAACAGTCCGCAAAACCCAAAAACTCGTCGGCCATGGGCAAACACACAAGTGCATGTGGTTTCCTTTATGTCAAGCCAATTCATTACGCTGATTGTCATGAGATGTGAATATTGTACATATATGCTGCACCCTCCGCTGAAAACAGGCCATTTTTTGCTTGCAAAGCGTCTTGTCTGCAGCCCACTTCCTCTACTTGCTGCTCTTCCCGCCAGACCAGATCGCCGACAGCGTGTCAGTCAGGGTCCCCTCCCCTGCGGCCTGGCGCCCCTCTCTCTCCCTTTTCTTCGCGTCCATGATCCCCTTGATATGTCTGGCCACATCCTCCTTTGTCTGGTAGTCGGCGCGCAGCGCTGCCTCCTCCGCCTCGCGCTCGTCCTCGGGTAGCTTGGCCAGGGTGTCGCGCCACGTCTTCTCGACCTCCTCGGCGGGCGCGGGCGTCTGCCGCGACGGCCGGGGCACGACGGACTCGAATACTGGTACCGGCCGGCCCTCCTTCTTGGCCTCGGCGACAGCCCGTTCGTGGTCCAACATGCGGTTGAATAGCTTATCGGCGTGCATCTGGATGTCCTCCTCGACCTGCGGGGGGCGGTCAATTACCGAGCCGTATCCGAGCGCGCGCAGAAATCTCTAACAAAAAGACAGAACAAGGAGATTTGGTTAGCTGGATGTTTGCTGAGGCACGGTGCGGGTTTAGCAGCGGGAGCTGTCCATACCGACTGCATGGTGTAGCAGCGCTCAAAGCGTTGCACTTGGTGGCGGCACATTTGTAGTTGGTCGGACCAGCTGCCGTTCTTCATGCAGTTGATCCACTCCTCTTGCTGAACGGCGCAGTTTTCCAGGGCCGCGATGCCAATCGCCTGCTTGCGCTCCTTGTATCCATCCAGAATCTTCACGAGCTTCTCCTGCTCCGTCGTCGTCTCGTCCTCGATTTGCGCCAGCGGCCGGTAATTTTTCCACAGATGCGCGTAGCGGCCATCTTGGTACAAGCTTTCCGAGGGCACGGCTTGCTTTGCGCTGTCAGTCGCCGGCGCGGCGCTGGCTTGCGCCTCTGGAGCTGTCGTGGAGGATGGCACTGAGGGCTGGGCTTTCGGCTTGCTGTACTTGACTGGGGATTCCTTGTCAAGAAACTCGCGGAGCTTGGGATCCAGGTTGCTAATGGGGTCGCTGGAGGCCCCCCCTCCAAATATTGACGGTAGCCAACCCATTGCGAGTGTCGGGGCGGGTTGAAGACTAGGTTGACTACTTAGGTGCTGGAGAAAGTGTCAGCATATATGGGAATCGATAAGGTGCGGATTTTGTCTACACTGTACTTCGCACTGTACTTGCTCATGCGCATCATGCACCGGACATGTCACTTGTTGGATGCTGCGTAAAAAGCCTACAAAAAATACACGTCAAATGCCATTGATTTACAGGATTTTTCTGGAAATCGTCTTAACCTTGCTCAGCGAGCATACTACAGATTGAGTTCTGCTTCCTCTCACCGGCCACTTGGTGCGTCGTTCCAGTAAAGTGCCAAAACCGCATTCACGAACGTCTCAGTATCGCCCAGCAATTGATACAGTTCCAGTCGTTGCAGTTTGTTGCGCGTCACTTGGCCAGGTTCGGGAGATCGGTCCAACCTTCGTGTCGATTCATCGCCCAGTGTCACAGAACATGATCCAATTGCAGTCGTTATTCTTTTGAATTTTTGATTGCATTTGCCGTACAATCGTGTAAAGCAGCTTCCGGTGCCCAACCCTTCAGTAGGAATTTCCCATCCCGCTGTTGTTTATCACGCCAAAAAATGCCACAACATGACCCCAAAACATTTTTAGAACTTGGAGAACTTCTTAACCGACTTGCCGTTACGGGGAAGAACACGCAGAACGTTGAAACGGATCTAACGTAAACATATTAGTACTCGGCATTGCCGCTGCAGGGTCGCTCGAAGATCGTATTGGCAACGTACAGTCTTGCTCAGAGGACGGCACTGGCCGACGGTGACCTGGTCACCCTCCTCAACACGGAAAGCAGGGGAAACGTGAGCGGCGAGGTTCTTGTGACGCTTCTCGTAACGGGAGTACTTGGGGATGAAGTGGAGGTACTCGCGGCGGATGACGACGGTGCGGTGCATCTTGGTGGAAACGACGGTGCCGGTGAGGATACGGCCGCGGATGGAGACGAGACCGGTGAAAGGACACTTCTTGTCTATTGCGCAAGTTAGTACAGCCGCCGGAACAAAACCGATGTTGCATGTCCGTCTCAGCTCCATAATCCCTTGCTGCGCTTCGATTCGTCGCTTTCGTCTTGTTTTGCCGACCGGCGCTCGTCGCGGAAAATGGAGCCGACGTTTCTGTTGTCCCACGTACCGATGTAGCTACCCTCAATGGCAGTCTTGGGGGTACGGAAGCCCAGACCAACATCCTTGTACCATCGGCGTCCGTTCTTGCCAGGTCTGGCGCTCTTGGCCTTGGTCTTGGAGTTGAGGAAGATATGAGGCTGCTTCTGGAAAGCACGCTCCGACTGGACGGTCAACTCGGTCGCCCTGGTGTGGGAAAAAAAGTCAGCAAAACAATGTTGCTGAGATATATGCCGTGCGCTCGTTCGGTAATTCTCACATCTTGAATGATCCTGCTCCTGGGGATTGTCGTTACAAGAGGACGTGTCGTTTGGGGATGGGTGAGGTCAAGGTCGGTAGAATTGCGCTGGATGGAGGAGTAGGGCACTGGCGCACCAATTTTTTGCAACTTTCTTCACAGCTTAGGGCTTGCAAAAATTAGATTGGCCGCCTAGGCGAGCACTATGATTGGTGAATTGCGTGCCGCACGTGACGAAGCGAGGTAGAGGGTCCCCCACGTGACGCTCAATCAGCCATCGAAATCTGGGACCACTCACTTTGCTCACCCCCACCTTCAATCGGTACGTACCTTTGCACCTTTCCAAAGCGGGCCGAAAGTAAACAAACGCGGGTTGGCGCGAAACGTCACTTAGATGCTGGCCGTTCACGCTCATCGTTCAGCGCGTTCGCAACCTAACATCTTGTGTTTACGCCATTAACATGTCTTCACCAGGTGACGCAACGATACCTGCCACAAGACGCGCGAGGAAATCGATTGGTTCACATCATGATATACGCAAAGCTAGGGATAAAGAAAATGCGACTGTTGATATTGCCAGCGAGCTGGCTGCCAGTCGCAAAGCGAGAAGCAAAAGCATAGGGCCGGGTGGCCTGGATAGTTTTAAAGTTGGAACAGCAAATAGGAGAGCAGTATGTGCACATGTTCAGCCGAGACATACCAATACTGACACCTCTCAGTCTATTGCCGCGCCGCGATCAATTCTAAAGCCGCGCATGTCGGCCCTCGTTGAGATACCTTCACTTCAGTCGAAAAAACGAGCATCTAGTGGCGACGATGATACTTCTCGTCGAAGATCTCCACGTAATTCGAGGAGTGGCGACTCTGCTGCATCCAAAATTGCCTTGCGCACCGAAGAAGAGCAGCAAGCAGCGGCCCGTGAACGCCAGGAGCAAGAACGCCGAGATGCTCGCCGCAAGTCACTTGCAAATCGAAGAGTGTCTTTCGCTGCGGAAGCCACACTTCACACCTTTCATGATATAGATATGCCTGACTCGACGGCCTCGACCGACTACACGTCTCGCAGACAATCGAATGCGACAGGTGCTCAATCTCAGGTCAACTCGACTGGGTACGAAGATGATGATAGTGTCGCTTCTGGTCTCTATAGCGACGATTCAGAACCCGCGGATGGCGTGGAAGAAGTGGAGGATGCAGAGGAGGAAGACGAAATGTCAAATAGCGACTCGGACGACGGAACGATGATGACAATTGACACTGAAGAAGTCACTGGAACGACGGTTGCCTCAGATCGCTCGGCGCCATTTGATGATGAGTCCTCAACCCTCGAGGAAGCGCTCAGACTTGCTGCTGAACGGGCAGGTACGCAGCGGCTCGACTCCTCCTCCTACGAGGAGGCAGACGAGGAAGCTGAAGAGGACGAGGAGGAAGAGGTCATCCCATCGTTTGGATGGATCAGAAAAGACACACAGAAACAGAACGGCTCGGCAGCCAGCTCAAGTTCTGCGCCCTCTCGACCCAGCTACTCACTCAACGAAGTTACTCAAGCTGAGATGGAGATGGACATGACCCAAAATATGGGACGAATTATCAAGCCTGACATGTTGAACGAAACCGGTGACGAGGCTGAAATGTCGATGGATGTGACAACAGCCCTTGGAGGCATTCTACATGCACAATCTCCAGAAAGTAGTCCTATTCGAGATGTACCAAATGATACACCACAGCGAGATGAGGCGACAATGGAACTTACGACAGCGCTGGGGGGCATTCGGTTTGCGAGCCACGATGACACGTCGGACGCTTGCGCCGGTGACGAAGAAATGTCCATGGAGTTCACAATGGCAATGGGCGGTATTCTCGGCAACGAGAAGCGCAAAAGTATCGGCATTGCGCGCCGACGGACTCTCGATCAGCTGGAAGCAGCTGACGCAACAATGGACATGACTACCAGCGTTGGTCGGATTCTATCGATTGAAGCTCAACGCGATACCGCAAACAGTTCTCAAAGCGGTGATGATGACGCCACTGCTGATATGGCGCTGACGGGGGCCATGGATATGACTGCGGCTATTGGGGGCACTTTGAATAGTGAAGGACGACGCAGCCTTGGTAGACAAATCATGATGGAAGAAGCGAACAAGCCGAATAGTCCAGAAACTGCAATCTTCAATGCCATTGCGAAACAGCCACCAAGACGAAGATCGTCTCGCAATGCTGGTTCCGAGAGCCCCAGCACCAACAATGGTTTCCCTCCCTTGCGAGGTAAATCACCGAGCCTGGAAGAGCACGCTACACCGCAACATAACAGGAAATCATCTTCCCCGAAAAAGACGCTCGCGTTGCAGCCGGCACGAGAGGCCCTTCAGTCACAAAGTCATAGCTCACCAGTTTCGTCACCTGTGCGAAGGCGATCAAGCAGACTCTCGCCCTCAAAATCCCCGGCCAAGATTCAAGCACCATCGCCAGCCAAGACTTCGAGCAATGCAACCCCCGTGCCCAATCGCAAGCCTGGCTCTCCTAAGAAAAGCCCCGCAAACTTTGCCACCCCCGAAAGTCGCCGTGTATCTGGCGTTGGAGCTGATCGCAATGGCTTAGGGTCACCACGAATTGCTGAGGTCTTTGACCGTCGAAGCTCGATCGGCGACTCTGCAAGCAAGTTTGTACCTGGTAATCGTCTAGTATCATTTGAGGACCCTCAAGCCCTCTCCAAAGAGGTCGATGATGAGCGAATTCGCGAAGAAGAGCGTGAGCGTGCAGTTGCGCGTTCGAGCCGCCGCGGAGAGGACAAGGATGCTACTTTCAACTTGAAGGAGATGATTGACAGCCTAAGTCCTACGCGAAGGCCACTCAAGGGACGCAAAAGTCTACACGTTGGCAGTGCCAAAGGTCTCCTTGGTAAGCGTCCCGCGGAGCTCGACGAGGATGCGGAAGACAACGATGGTGTTAAGCGCCTGCGTGGTCACCAGGGCAGTCCTGTCAAAAACGTTAGACTGCAGAAACCGACCAAGACGGGCGGCATTTCTGGCGATATTTCCGGGTTCCGTGGTAAGATCACTGCACCAGACATGCACCATAGCCTTTCATCACCGCTCAAGGCCACTCAAACGACCACCCCCCGTAAAGAGGCACTACATGAAATGAAAGCAAATCATACTGTGCATGGAACAAATATTCATTCCCCCCAGAAAAGCCGTCCAGAGGAGAATGCTGGCGACCGGATCGATTTACAGGACTTTTTGAACATGATTTCTATTCGCTTCATGGAATTGCAGACGACGAAGCGACGACACACTACTGCCCCTGGAACTCTACAAGACGGTTCCACCGCTAATGGCGAGGATGATATGTCATTGGAACGCTGCGTGGTGGCGAGTGCTTGCACCGTACCAATGCTGGAGCTCTATCAACATTCTTGCCGTGAACTGAAAAAGTACATAGCGGAAGGGCGGCGAATGGTCAAGGAGATTGAGGCTGATACTCTAGAAGACAATCCGCCACTGTTTCAAGAGTATATCACTGCGACGCCAGATGTCAAGGCGTTGATGGATAACCAGTTCAGGAATGTCAAGACGCATGCTCGTCTTTTGAGTAAAGCCATGTGGTATGAATGGAGGAAGAAACTCCAAGAAGGACTCAGAGAGGGACTTGTCAAGATTTCTAGTGACATGGATGGGGACTACCGAGTCCTGCAAGAACAAATGGACATGCTGGAATCGGTGCTACCCGAGCTCACACAAACCTACGAGGGCCTGGTGGAGGAGCGTGAGAATCTGGAGGAGGCTGCAAAAGAACTTGCCGACTGCGATCCTGCGGAGCTCGATTCTGCTCGCGAACAACTCTCTACCTTGGATGCCGATATTGACGCGAAGAAGGAGCTCATTGCCGAATTACGGCTCCAGCTCCGAACTGCTGAAGAGAACAGCGACTCACTGTCAGCAAAGAAGGTCAGCTGCTTAGCCGACATAGCCCTTTCAGAAAAGATCAGGGAAGAATGCCGTGGCTGGAGTAGCGCAGAAGTCAATAGTCTCAAAGGTGAGGGGTAACCCAAGGCTGGCCGCATAGATGTTTGCTAACACGACAGATGTAGGGCGTGTGGACGCACTCGAAAAGCAACTTGGTTGGGCGGTGACGGGGGTCAACGGAACTTCCCTATCTATGGCGTACAAGCGCGAGATTGAGATTGTCTTTGACGTGACATCGTTTCAACCAGGCGGAGCCAATTCGCAGATCGACCTGTGGTACATTGCCGATTGTCGAGAGAAAGACCCTCTTCCTCGGACTGTTGAGAAAGACTTTTTCCTGCAGTGCATTCGGGACTACACCCGAGCACTTCAGCAAAGCGCTACCAAGGTCTCAGAGCTGCTCGGCGTCGTTCAGCAGTCGTGGGACAGAGCGACTAAGGTCTCTTCTCAGATCCGTCGCGTCAATACTACGTTTCCGACGCAAGTTAGGAAGACGTCGGATTCGAGCATCGAGATTGTCACGTCGCTACTAGTAGTACCTTTGCGCACGAGGGTACAAGTGACTCTGGAGCTCCAGAACCGGAACATTACAAAAGGGCTGGATATGGACATGGCCTTGTCAGTGTCAGTCGTTTACGGAGAGCATTTCAACGTGAGCAAGATTGGCGAGTTCTTGACTTCCAAGATTGGCCGGACGATGGGAGCGATGGAGGAAAACTGGAGCGATGTTTTTGTCGAGTTGCATAAGCGGTTGATGGCCCGAGGCCGAAAATAGTAGACTGCAGTCGGGTCAGCGCACTGCTGTGCAAGTATGACGGTGACGAATTCTGGAGTTTTGGGGGCAAAGGACAGGATATTATCTGAGCATGGCGTGGCGCTTTGGTGTTTTTTTGGACATTTTGAGCAGGAGCAAATGGAACTTTTTTTGATCTCTCAGCATATGTAGACCTCCCCTGCAGCCTAATTGTTGCTCGCAACCGAATATACGTTTGAGATGGCGCGGGCAAAGGAAGCGTTGCTCCGCAGGAGCACAAATATGCAAACAATATGTGATACCATCTTTTTCGATACCGCCAATCATCCAAGGCCCAAGCTCCCATTGCAGCACCTATTCACTTGCTCCTACGTCGTACGGACAATGGGGCTGAAAATGCCTGATCATGTCGACAGACCGTTCAACGAAACCCAGGCAGATTATGCATCGAATATGTTCTAGGGCAGCGACAGGTATTAGTCTACTCTACCATGTCAAGTACTATTTCCGTGGCGACACTTCTTATCACGCCGTCGTTCAAGAGTTATCTTGCTCACTGCGCCTTGTTGGCTCGGTCGTACCATGCAGGTGGCCGGCGCAACACAGCAGCGGCCGTGCTGCTTCTCGTACGCGGCGATATTGAAACTATTCGTTTTCCGGTGACACGAAAGATTGGAGAAGTGGGGAGGTGAGAGGAGTCACGAGCCAAGATCGGGCGAGGATCGAGAATTTGTTGGCCTCTACGACAACTATATAAAGGACGGGAGGCCCTTTCAAAGGTTGCCTCGCTTTCCCCGTCTTGATTTTCACAACCCCAAAAAAAAAAAAAAAAAAAAAACAAGTCTCCTGTTTGAAAAATCTCAAGTTCACACAAGAAAATCTTCTTCTTCAAGCAGGCGACTTATCAAACAATATTGATCTGAGCACTCGCATTCAGGCCGACACCCTTCCGATCCCGATGTAGGTAGATGCCACTTACACTGACCGCCACATACACCAAACACACCTTGCCATGTCCCTTTTGCTTCGTCTCTCCTCCCATGAACACACTCGCCGCTTTCTCGCACCGCGGCTTCACTATTCCTGAGCATCGCTTCCTGCCCCAAAACACCATGCCCCGCCGTTGCATCTCGTCGCCCATGGGCGAATGGCTATCCCTCCTTCCTTCAACTTTCTTGATGAGCCTTGTAGTTGACCGCTTCACTAGATTTAGATACAAGGGATCTGCTCTCCCTCTCAAGGACCATCCAGGTTTCTTGAGAGCTTCAAACAAAACTTTCCCTCCTCCGAGCAACGCCAAGTCCGCTTCATCGCGGTTCCCAGCTCCGACCACTTTCGTCAGCGGGCTTCTCAAAGTTTCCCACGGCCAATTACCGTTGGGATTCGACCGTTGAGCGAACGCAGTTGGGCCATCTGGGAAAAGGAGGACAAGCAGCACAGAAAAATGAACCAGACAAGCGGGTTCTACTCTCTGCACGGAGCTGCTGGATGGGCTGAAGCGCCAACGGCATCATCAGGAGGGTTCACAGATGGGAACCCTCGGGCCGTATGGAACAGCCACCACGACGAGGTGGATGCGTACGATGACATCTTCGCATCCACCACAAATCTCATGGAGCAGATGGACCTAAACTCGAGAGGTCCAGAGGCACCCATGACTTCCCAACCGCTGGGGTCTGCCAGCATGCGCTCGCAGCCGCAACAAGACTGGCCGGCGACAACTCAGCGGGGGAGACCAGGATGGGTGACGGACCGAAAAGGGGTCCGTCATCAACGACGACAGCAGCAGCGGCCTGCGGCGGCGGCTCAGAGACACGGCGTCCGCAAGTCGCCGTCGCAGAGTCAGCGCACGTCGTATGGGCACAGCCAGCTGGGGCTGTACTTGGGACGGATCGAAGAGTGGCTCGATCCGGTGCGGGGGCTCGCGGGGAACATCCCCGCGAGCGGAGGCTGCGGCCTGCAGGTGGCTACCTGTTGGGAGGCCGGCAGCATCACTAACATGAAGCAGGGGGCCGTCGTCGCTGCTGGCGACGACTTGATGGCCTGGGAGGAGGTGCAGGAGGAGCACATGGACGACTCCGCTGACGCCGCCGCCGCCGCCGCCGCCATGCTCTGCTCGGACAACACAGACCCACCGTTCGGCTCAGAGCCGCTGGTCAAAAAAGCCCGGACCTGGACCGAGCTTGCCTGGGCGCCGCTCAAGGACGGCACGCTGGCCTGGCAAGACCCATGGGCCTGGTTCTTCGACGAGCTGGATCCGAGCAGCCGAGGCAACCTGACCGAGCCTCCGCTCGAGTGGTTGCCGATGCACGACGGCAGCCACGCTTGGCAGGACCCGTTGCAGTGGCGTCGAGAACTGTTCCCGGAGAGCATCCCAGCCCAGTACGATGATGATGATGATGACTTCTACTGAGGCGATCCGGGGCCAGGCTGGGACGACGGTGTCTGGGCGAGCCCCAGAGCCACCCCGCGGCAATAAAAGAAAGAACTACCAGCGGCTGACTGGTAAACGGTTTCTGGCGCGGGCTGGCCGCTGGCGCTGCGGAGGTCCATTGTGACAGGGAAAGTGAAAGAGTAGAAAATGTGTTTTTTCTTGTGTGTTTGGATTTTTCTGCTTGGATATGTTTGGAGTTAACGGAAGATACCCAGGGTGAATGAATTGAATGGACTTTGTCGTCATGCTTATTTGTATTTGTTCCTGCGTCCCGTTTCTCAGGGTCATTAGATTATTCTTCAGTTAGTAGCGGTAGCAGTCATATATACCTATCTACTTTTGACTTTCATCCATCCTTTGGACTCTGTTTTTGGTGTTTCGGGCTCGACAGCAGAGGCCTCTTTGGCATGGTCGAATCCCGCAGCATCGTCTATTTTCCAAGCGTCGTCATCCAAGAGCTCCCAGTCAGGCGCTGATGTCTCACCCAAAATTTTCTTCTTCAGCTTATCCGCAAGCTTCATTGGACCGGGCAATCTGAAAGTCCTGACCAATTCGGTGCCATCAGCCCCGCCAAGGGCGTAAAATGTTGTTCCATGGGAGTAGCGACCTATCCAACTCGGAGCGGCCTCTTCTTTATTTGTGACGGGCTTATTATCGTCCTTTGCTGTATTTGCGAGCTGCGGACCTCGAAAACATGAACTGGCAAAGAGACTGTGGAGATTTTTGCCCATGTTACAAACATCGTCAAATGAGGCCTTGTCGCCTATTGATACGCCTTGGGAACAACAAAGCCAAGCAATATCGTAAGCTAATAAAGTGACACCTTCGAGAAAGAAGGAAAAGGCGGCAGAGTTCTCCTTTGCGAGTTGACGCAATGGCTTGTCAATGTACAGTGGTCGTGGTGTTGGAAAATGTCCAGAGTCTGTTGATTGTGGCTCCTGAAGAATTGTGGTAGTACCCGGCGTCCCTGGAAATTGGACACGCCCATGATTATATGAACCTGTAAGATTGAATATGGTCGGCCGCGGGTAGTCGCGATGAGGCAGCGTAATTTCGGCTGGTAGGCGCACAGCGAGATAATGAGCGATGAGCATTAAAATGTGAGATGTATGGGCAAGTGAAGAAGACATGGCTTCTGGTGCTTGAGCTACGCTTCAATCAGTACGACGTATGGGATAGCATGATTATCGCAGATGACTTACATTCCATGTCTCTGAGGTCTATAACTGGAAGTTTGCCGAGCAAGTATTCGTAACGGCCAGAGCTACCTTTTCGTGTTCTCTTCAGACCGTAGAGCTTGATAGCCTCCCTACATAAGAAGGAACGCGTGCTAGCCATGTCCTCTGCAGTCTGAGACCAGCGGAAATTGAACATTTGCGTCGACTTCTCCACGTCGCGCTGGTCCTTGAGGCGGCGATCGGCGACACCCTGAGAAGCGGCGGCAAGCTGCGACCGGCGGGCAGAAATGACAGCTTTCCTGTGCCGTATTTCCTCTTTTGCCTCTCGAATCTCTCGTCGAAGTCTGTCCGATGAGTCCAGGATTTGCCTGGTTCCGTCATCGGCCAAAATTTGAGCAGCTGTAGCCGTATCGACGGCCTTCGCGCCATCTATTAGGGTGTTTATTTGACTGCAGAGACTTTGATTTTCGACAAGAAGCTGCAAGTTTTTGATGCGACTGCTGTAGATGCGGTTTCTCGCGTCCACTGGACAAAGAAACGGGAGCTTCTGAGCATCATGCCCGCGCAGGCAGACGTCGCAACTCATAACGGCGGTGGCGGTTGTTGCTGGCCAGGCTATTGGTGATGGGATGCGGGGCCGGTGATTTATGCTGCATCACTGGGGCGGCTGTTTGCGATAGCTAAAGTAATTGAGGAAGGTGTTTGAGGGTATATAAGAAGAAGAGGAAGGAGAACTGGTGAGGCGAGATGAAAGCGGCAGATGATGGCTCGTTTGAATGTGCCTAGGTATCATGTCACGCGGACGGTAGACACGGGTTAGACTGCGGCCCTGGCTGGATTCGAACCAACGACCTTACGTAGATGGACTCCACAGAGGCTGCCTGCGACGGTCAACCACTCCGCCCAGGGCCAATTCATTTTTTATGCTTTCATCTTTGTTTTTCCCAGGATTCTGCTTTTTTTCATTTGCATTTTGGTTGGCTGATCTCGTCCCATAGATTCGCAACGATATGCGTAGTCAATCGCATTCTATCCTGGATGTTGATGGTTGCCTTCAGTCTTTCCGCTGCCCTTGAACGGAAGCTTTTTACGCGCGTGCATTCTGTTAGTCACGTTACATCAGACAGGCATAACTGATACGCTGCCATGGCTGACAGAGTGCTCTTTTGCGCTCATTCGAATCCTTCATGCTTATTTAGCAGAACCAAGTTCGTTTTAACGCTTTCATAAGATGCTTCCTATTTTAGCAAGACTCGAAACCTTAAGTCGCTATTCGATCTAAGATAGTCCCCAGCATAAAAAAAAAAATACGGTGTTGCCCATCGTTTATAGTTGAAACAGTGTACTTCATTTTAATGAGCTTAAATATATCATGTCCGACTCGCGATAATCTCTTTAGCGACTTTGGCTGTCGCATTAACAATGAGCGCATGCTCGTGCCCGTGAATCTTTTCCTTGAGCGCCTCTAGATCCTCGCCCTCCCACGGAATTTCCTGTACGAGGATGGGCGCGCCGCGGTCGACCTCAGCAATAACGTAGTGCGCCATGATTCCCGTGCGGGTGAGGGTACCGGCCTGAAAGGCGGCAAAGGCACGCTCGATGGCGTTGGCGCCGTCGAATTCGCCGGGCATGGCGGGGTGTAGGTTGATGATGCGAATGCCGGCCCTGTCAATGGGATCCAGAAAGGCTGGCGAAAAGACGTACATCCAGCCAGCAAGCACAATCAGCTCCGGGCGCTGGTCCTGGGGCGCTGATAGGATTTTGGCCGCAAGAGCGGCGTCGTACTTTTGACGGGCTTTTGTGATCTTGGCCTCGTCCGTCTCCCCCTTTTCCTGAAAGCCGTTACTGATCAGGTTGAAGTACTGCCAAGGGATGCCGGCCTTGTCGGCACGCGCCGTAGCATATGCAGTCTTGCGGTTGGTGATGAGCCCAATGATGCGACTTTGTGGCAGGGAACCGCTGGCTATGCCGTCAATAAGAGCCTGAAAGTTGGAGCCGAAGCCCGATGCCATGACTGTAATGCGGCATGGTGAGACTTGTGACTCTACCATCTTGCAAACTTTTCTCTCTGAAACAAAATCAAAGCTGATGGTTGTAGTTGAATGTAAGGCAGCACAAACGTTGACAAAAAACATCGCCGTCCCACATAAACTTGAGTTGGTTGGCCGCCTGGCGAACCGCCAGTGACTGTGGGTCTGACTCCAGCGTCAGAGAGGGCGAATTACAGCAGACACAGCGCTGGATTTAGCAGTCGAGCCCGCTAAAAACCAGGTACTTGAACTCCACGATGCCGCGCCTACAGGGCGTCGATGCACTGTATCTGTTACAGTGACTTGCGCAAACCACCTGTGTAGGTAGGTCTATTCGTAGTTGACTGGCGAGCTAATACCTGGGGAATTATTAGACAGACAAGGAAGGAAGCTTCGCGTCGCCACTTGGCGCCTCGTCCCTCCCAAGAAGACATCCTTTCAACTTATGTGCAATTCGACCGTCATCTCCAGCTTTTTAACCCAAGCTGTTACCTCCGAATAGTCCACTTTTGGATTTGATTCATCATTCTACATCATGGCAACGCCGCCAAGTGAACCAAATGGCGTCCTAGACCATCTCTCAGACAATGACCATGTCCCAGCCATCAATGGCCACATAGATGAAAAACAAGACCTGCCCTCTCGGAGCCAATCTCCAGAGTCACCACAGCACCAACTTCCGGATCCGCCATCGCCAGGAGCCCTAGAGGAACTACAACCTTTCGACTGGGAAGCATTTGAGTCACGATATGAAGCTGCCCTAGTCAAGGCCAGCGAAGAAGAAACGGCCATCCTGAAAGAAGCAGAGTCCCTATCCAAGGTATGTGAACAATGGAAAGCTAGTACGGACGAGTTTCATGTTAACCCCTCACCAGTACTTCCAAGTCTGGGCTACTGCGGCATCTTCCCATGACGATGCCCGATCCGTGAAACGTTTACAGACTAGGCAGCGCTTTGTCAACTTGGCCGAGGAGAAGCTTTCGCAGAAGCAAAAACATTGTTCGTATTCAAGGCAATTGATGGTATGCTACTGCTGACTTTTTGGTAGATGTTGAAGTCGTTCGAGCATTCGAGAGTGCGTTGGCGCTGCTAAAGTCGAGCTGAAATCGGCCCTGGAAACAACGAGTTGCTTCTTTATTCCTGCTAATTAACTGAAAACATGACTGGCGAATGCTCGAAGATTTGAACAAATCATCCTCGACATTAATTTTACCGATTTTATACTGACACCGCTGCCTGGACGGTCGTCGCGTCGCGTCAAATCTTCAAAGTGGGGCACGTGACAGCTCTTCGGTGCCTGGTTCTTCTCTTCTCCTAGCCCTCCGTCCGTCTTGTTGACCCTTTACAACCACGGCTGTGCGCGGGCGCGAGAATGCCAGATCACAATACGCAGGGAATCCAAACATTCAAAGTACCAACTATTCTACCTGTATGATCACGCCCCTATCTTTTCTTTAGAGATTTGCAAGCTAACTTTCACAAGAATGAGCTGGCCGCATTTCACGATGCCCACTTCTCCAGCGCAGAAGTGAACAAGTTTCAGCAGGGATTTTTTTGGCCGAACCCGGAGGTCATCAGTAACTATGGCAAGACGGAAGAGTATTGGGAAGAAGAGGATGATTTGGGCTACTATGATGATGGCGTGAAACGAACATTGACAGACGAACAAATTGCAATTTTTCGTCATTCGGAAATTCGAGAGCTTGAACGCACCAAGGAAAAAGCATCGAAGCAGCCGCACTCGGAAAATTCTGCTGAAGAGCTGGACACGAGCAGAGGCCAGACTGACGGGAAAACCGCCAACAAGCCACGGGACGGCAAGAAATGCAAGAGGAGAAGGACCAAGCAAGCCAAGCGAGAACCGAAACCTGATCTGCGGAAACGAACATGGGATGTTGTGGAAGCTGGACTTGACTCTCTTGATTATGATTAATGAAACGAATTGGCGTTAACGAATACCCACGGAGCTACAAGGTAAGATGATTCTCTGTTTTTTGACTTGTTGACTTGCTTTGAACGGCGTATGATGAAAACCTTTGTATCGTCATCCTTAGTCAGATTAGTGTCAAAGGCTTAGGAACCATGGCTGTTGTCATTGGCGAGGCTCGAGGATGCTAAGAGGACGAGACATTAATCTTCTCTCTGACGCCAGAGAAATGTTTAATTTTGTTGGAACAGCCGAGGAAAGAAAGCGTGCTAATGTGGTCGTTGAACCTATAGGATGGTCTGGCTGTTTTTTTTATATGGGATTCTCGGCATGGCTGAAGATTGAGATGGGTGAAGGAATGTTGTACTCGAATGCAGAGTGTTTAACTTGAAGCAGGCGTAGGCCTGACAATTGATTATTTCATTATTACTTTTAATTACAATCTGGATTTCTCCTTCCTGCTTGTAGAGGAGAAGGCTGATGACGTGCTCCAATGACAGCTGCTGCGAACCACTGGTGGTGCTGGCTGCCCGCATGTGCCTCTGTCGGGTCCCGCCCGCCTCTTGGCTCCTTGGACCCCTCTAAATACGTAGGTACTCAGCGTCCAATACCCGTTGCAGCCTACCTAAGTAGGTAGGTACCTACCTTATTAATTAGTTACTCCGTACCAAGCCTGCTTCTTCATCCCACCACCACCACCTTGGCTGATCCTGATTTTGCCCGCGCCCAGTCCCCGACCATCCTCCAGCGTCAAACACACCTGGTGCCGTTGGCCAAATCACAGCCTCGCCATCCCACCACTGCTCCTCCTACCCATCGTCGCTTGCTCGTGCCATTGCGATCTTCATCAGTTATTTTTCTTTCATCGCGTCGCGCCGCCTGTGCCGTCTCCCTCGCCCAACATGGCGCGCGTCTACGCAGATGTCAACTCGAACATGCCCCGCAGCTACTGGGACTACGACAGCGTTAATATCAGTACGTTGCACCGTCATCTGCTTCCATCCTGGCGTTACTCAGCTCTTGTGCTAACTCAGATCCCAGGTTGGGGCGTTTTGGAAAACTACGAGGTCGTTCGCAAAATTGGTACGCTGCGATGCACCCCCGCCCACCAGCTCGCCAAATAATGGCAGAAAATAAAACCCGCGTGAACTGGGCCGACATGCAAAATTCTGATGCCATGTCCTTGTTAACATTTTCTTCTTCTGATTCTAGGCCGCGGAAAGTACTCGGAAGTTTTCGAGGGTATCAACACTATCAACTACCAGAAATGCGTCATCAAAGTCTTGAAGCCCGTTAAGAAGAAGAAGATCAAGCGGGAGATCAAAATTCTGCAGAACCTCGCCGGCGGCCCCAACGTCGTCGCGTTGCTTGATGTTGTTCGCGACTCTCAGGTGAGCCTACGTACTACGCGGCATTCTACTCGCCGATTACTATCTTTACGTTACAAGGCTAATCAGGCCACTACTGTTACCAGAGCAAAACGCCCTCCCTCATCTTCGAATATGTCAACAATACCGACTTCCGCAACCTGTACCCCAAATTTAACGATCTCGATGTCCGCTACTACATTCTTGAGCTCCTCGTAGCCCTGGACTTTTGCCACAGCAAAGGCATCATGCACCGTGACGTGAAGCCGCACAATGTCATGATTGATCATGAGAACCGCAAGGTACGCTACCTAGTAACCTCACTCTTGAACCCGCACTCCATCTTTTACTGACTCATTTTTCAAGCTCCGTCTCATCGATTGGGGTCTGGCCGAATTTTACCACCCTGCTACAGAGTACAACGTCCGAGTCGCATCCCGTTACTTTAAGGGTCCCGAACTGCTCGTCGACTTCCAGGAATACGACTACAGTCTTGACATGTGGAGCCTCGGCGCCATGTTTGCGTCCATGATCTTCCGCAAAGAGCCGTTTTTTCACGGGCAGAGCAACACCGACCAGCTTGTCAAGATTGCCAAGGTTCTTGGCACCGATGAGCTCTTTGAGTACCTCGACAAATATGAGATTGAGCTCGATGCACAATACGACGATATACTCGGCCGCTTTCAAAAGAAGCCTTGGCACAGTTTCGTCACGTCGGAGAACCAGCGCTTCGTGTCCAACGAGGCCATTGATTTCCTCGACAAGCTGCTGCGCTACGACCACCAAGAGCGCCTCACCGCAAAGGAGGCACAAGGCCACGCCTACTTTGACCCTGTCCGCGATCCCGAGATTTTCAAGCACAACCTCGCCAACGCCAGCACTGGTGGGCCGTACAAGACCGCTTGAGCAACGCGCGTTGATTACACCTGTTCGACTAGCCGACGGCATTCGCTGGAGCGTTGGCTGCCTACTTGAATGGAGAGGCGTACCCTGCCTTTATACAGCCGTAGGCGAAGACAGACAGATCATTCCGCTATCCACGATACCTCTAAGGACTTTCCTCTAAGGACCTGATGCGGATGGAACCTAGAGGCACACGGCTCGTTCTTCATACTATAAGCACACGAGTACATCACAAAAAGAAAACACTAAACTCGAGAAACATGCACGTCAGCGCGTGTATGACGGACGAAAAGGCAACGAAAAGACAAACGGCTAATCACTGGAGTCACTGGCGCATACTGAATCACAATTCTAGAACGAATAGCTAAGAAAGGGGGGATGATTGACAGCTCAGGTAGAAGCCCGCTCGGACAGTAGTATTATGACGGTACGCTCGCCGCGCTCGTCTACATAAGCAAGAACTTGTCTGGTTTTGAGTTTCTTGGGTTCGATTCTCGGCGTTGCAGGAATCAGGGAATCATGGCCGACACAGCCATCTTACACTTTTTTTGAGCATTGCGGAGGAATACAACAAAGCAGCGGAAACCAGTCTTGGATGATTAAGCCTCATCCTTTTTTTATTTGTGTGTAATGTTATCCTTTCAAATGCATGGAGAGACGGCTTTGGTGTTCATTTGCTTTGCTTTATTTGGTTTCTGTTTTGCTGTCTGGTTTGTGCCTTGTTTTTCCTTGGTTTTCTTTCTACCAGTCCAGTGTCTTGGTTCTTGTTTGCTTATCAGCTCCTTTCTTTTTAGGCCATGATTTCCTCCTAACGACAGCGAAAGTTTCAATAAAAAAATATATCACACCATTTTGCGTAGCATCCCCGGCTTCAGCCGTCTTCTCCTCGTGACACTAATCATCGACGTATTAATACTTTTTTCTTTCATCTTCATTACTAGATGGGCCATCTTGATTACATGAAAAAGCAAAGATATCAAAAATGTATGTGATCCAAACTCCACTGTATCCCGTACTCCCCATTGAAAAGAAATAAAAAAAACCAATAATGGGCCATCAATAGCTGTCCATCCAAAAATGCTGGGCCTCTTCTTACTTATAAACAGGTGAAACAAAAGTCGCGTCCACACGTATACCCATCAACGCCGCACGTGCCCTTTTGTTCCGCCGAAGCGTCTACGCTGGGTGGTGCCGCGCTTGCCGATTTGCGCCTGCGTTCTTTTGCTTCCTGGCGATCTCTGCTAGACTTGGACTTGTCTCGCGAGAACGACGACAGGGCGCCTAGGCTCAAGCGTGTCAGGGAAGAGGAGGAGGAGGAGGAGGGTTGTTTTGATTTTCGGCGAGACGAGCTGCTGCCGTAGGAGGATGAGCGGTGCGTTTTCGATTTCGAGGAATAGTGTGCGGGCGTGACGGCGGAAGCCTGTTTCGGCGCGGGCGTGGTCGGTTTCTTCTTGATGAGAGTCTCAATGTCGTCTTCACCTCCGCCAACAAGGGATAAGAGAGAACGTCTCGAGGACGAAGAGCCATGTCTGGCACTCTTTGTTCCAGACACTGGAGCCGGTGTCCGTGACGAGCTTGATGATGGCAGCCTCGATCGTTCTCCTATACTAGAGGGCGATGACTCCTTCGAGGTCGCATTTGGGGTAGACGTCATCGATGTCAAAGAAGTGAGCGACTTCCTATTGTCGTGCCGCTTCGACTTGCTCTGTTGTGGCAGCGGACGTCGCGGTGCCGGCGATACGGGGACGTGGTTCGACTGATATGAACGAGTGTTCTCCTCTGTGTCAATGTCAAACTTGTTGGGCTCTTCTCTGACAAAGACAGCTTTGGTGAACTCGTATTTCATCATGACTGGCACTTGCTCGGGCTCTTTTTCAACGGGCCTGTCCTTTTGAGCGCTCTGTTCAGGCACCTTCGTTGTAGGCTCCACGGTTTGAGTGTACTCCATCTCCGTCTCTTCGCCCGTAAGTGGTATGTCTGCTGCAACATCTTCAAAAATGTCCATGCTTTCATACATGGGCTCTTCATCGACAAAGATTGGCTGCTCAGGCACGATTGACGGTGAGGGTACTAGCTCACTGTTGGCAGATGCAGCGACCATGTTGTTAATGTGAGTGTCCTCCTTTGCAAAGTCATACTGGCTGATGGGGCTTGAGGGAGCATCTTCGACTTCCGACATTACGTCGAGGCTGTCTAGTATATCTGCGGCTCCAAGTAGATTATCGTCTTGGAAGGGGGGCTCCGCAGGTACAGAAATACTGCCCACTGGTTGTCTTTCTGCTGGCTCGTTGGTCGCTTGTTCACTAGACGCTTGCTCGCTTCGGACATCAATTCCGCTGTCATCACCATCTCCACCGGTGGGCAAAGATGGTCTCCCTGCCTCATCGGGTTCTGTAGTCTTGCAGGGTGGTACAGATACAGCTTCTGTCATACCCGTGGTATCATCTAGTGGCACGTTTGTGTCGGTGCAATTGCTCGGGGTGACTTCTTTACTCCCATGGCAGTCTACCAGTTTAGCAGTAGCCGTCTGTTCAGCAACCTTCGAGGCCGACTGCTTTGACACGGAGACTGCTTTACTGCGTCGGACAACAGCTACTGGAACCTGCGGCGGCTTCTTCTTCCCGCCTATAGATACACGCTTCAAGGCACTGAGCAGCGCCGGCGCTTCATCGTCAGAAAGGGCATAGACTGTATCAATGTAGTTCTCGCCCAGAAAATTATGCACCTGTACTTCCGGCTTCTTATATGAAAACACAGGGTTTTTGATTGAAAAAGCCGCGGGTGCTTGATCGTCTGATATCCCTTCGTCATCTTCTTCAAAATGTACCACGCTGTTGACATGATTCTTCATGGTTTGGCGCATGATCTGGGTTGACTGTGGCTTTTTCGGCGTAGTTCGAATTGGGAGGCTTGTCACACTGTCCTGAGAATCAGGAATTGTGGATGGAATCTCCTCGCTCGATTCTTCCGCAGTAGCTTTCTCAGCGGCCGCTGCTGCGAGTTCTTCTGCTTGTTGCTTCTCTTTCTTCGCCTTTTCGGCCGCTTCCTTCTCCTTTGCTGCCTCTTCAGCCTCCTCCTTTTCCTTCTTTTTCCGTTCCCGTCGCGCTTGCACCGACAATGCTCGCAAATGCATCTTTATCTTGTAGCTGGTGCGTCGCTCTGCGGAGACTTTTTCCCATGACACTTGCTCGCCGAAGTTGGCTGGTTTTCGTTCACGTCCTGATCGTCTACGGCCTTCAGCGCTAACATCAAGTTCATCACCATGTTCTTTGGCCGCTGTAGAGCGACGAACAGCTCTGTCGATGAGCTCCTTTTGTATCTTTCGCAGCATGGTTTCGGCCTTGCTAGCATCTCTGTCCCGCTCGGCTGCCCCGTCCGACTCGGTCCCGGAATTTTCCCCTTTTGATGCCGGTTTGGTGCCATCCCGGTTTCTCTTTTTCGACGTTGCGTTCGACGCCAGCTTCAATGCTTCAGCCAATTCTCCCCAGAGCGTATCGTCATCCTCGTCGCCGAATTCGCCAGCAGGGTTTTCCAGGTCAGGTAGTCCACCGTTGTCCTCGCCCCCACCGTCATAGGCACCAGTATCACCACTAGGAACACCGGCATCACCATCGGGAACGCTAACATCACCGGTAGGAGCGCCTGGGACATCGCTAGGCTTAGGTGGTCGGCCCAATCGTTTGCCGTTCTTGGAAAATCGTGGTTGCGGGGGCCTACGTCGTCGTTTGCGACCCAAAGCATCGTAGGTAATCTCCATCTCTGGTGGACAGTTATCCGTGCTCTCATACCCAAGTGTGAAATGCGACGGCATTAATGCGGGATCCAATTGGAGAGTCGGTATATTCGACGCCGGCTGCATTCCTTGTGGTGGCCAGGTCGCTGGGCCGTATGTCAAATTTTCGGGCGCGATCCAAGGGCCCGGGGGCATCGGAGCACCATTTGGTACTGGAAATTGGCCAGAAAAGCCATCCCACGGTGGTGCATAGGGTCCCGAGCCTGGGAAAGGATTGCCATACCAATTTTGCACGAACCCCGAGTGTATGCTACCAGCAACGGCAGGCATGTACGCAGGAGGGGCAGTGTCAGGAGCATAAGTAACAGGTGTTTCATTCGTCTGGTCAACTTGATAATTGACAGTACCAGCCTCATCTTCCCTAGGGTCGCACTGCTGCGTATCCAAGTGGTATGGCAAGCTGTCGGGGTGCGCCAGGGTACCAAGCTGTGCATTGATCGTCGGGTCGACTAGATTGATGTCTCCTGCCGGTATCGTGCAAAGCGCCGGGTCAATAGCCTCAGCTGTCTCTGCAGACTTTCCGTCATACTTGTTGAATATCTGGGCAAGCGTCGCACGGAAGCGGGGGTCGGCAAAGGCTCGCTCCAGATGCTGCTGGTATGCTTTGTCGTCTGCTCCGCCGGGCAGTTTTTCATCTTGCGGTAGTATTGGAGGATGTAAGCTGCTGTTTGAATCTTGGACAAGCGGCGGAGAGGCTGTACGCCGCCGCTTTGGCACAGGCTCGTTTTCCATGACCATCCATCCGCAGGTCGAGGGCTAGCAGAAGCTATGTGGCGTGCCAGATTCCACTATTGAGAGTGGCTATATGGAACATTTCCGTGTTTTGGCCGTAGAGAATTGTATCTATCGCGAAGGGTGCGTGCCTTGTATCGTAAATTCGCGGGATTGTCGTGAAGATGTTGTCGTTTGGCAATGTAAATAGACTGGTCTGGTAGCCGGGTTTACATTTTGGCCCACCGCGTTGTGGTGGTGGGTACGCGTAGAGTGCAGGTACTCTCGCCCGCTAAAGCGCGTCCCAATCAGCGCTACAGACACTCGTGCAAGGGATGCACCTTTTCTACTTGGACTAAGATCATATCATCGGTAGAGCTAAACTTACAACTGCTTCACGTTGTTCTGAGCGAATCACCATACATTCGCCATATACTGCTGGGCCGAAACTATGTCCACGGGCAAGTCACTGAAGCTGCCCCACAGTAGAGAGTCGGGGTGCTGGGGAAGACTTGCAGGTGCTCTTCAGCCCCCACCAAGTTGCCTACTAACCTACCTACCTTACCTAGGCACCTACCTACAGAGACTAACTAATTACCTGCAACAACGCTCGTGACAACAACGTCATTCTACACCTTGTACGCTCAACTCAACTCCGAATCCAACAACTCGCCCATATACCCCCGGTCAACAGAATGGGCGCTATATCATAGAGAAACATGTTCTGTCAAAAGTGCCGCCAGCCTCTCAAGCTGGATGGCTCCCTCCAGGACCTTAATCCAGCCGCCTATGATCTTTTAGTTTGTATGTCCCTTCCCGCCTACAACCGTGAGCCTCAAGCAGAGAGAATGCTCACCTCATCTCTAGCTTCAGCATCACCACAGCCGCCCAAGCAGACAGTCGTCCAGTTTCCAGCCAAGTCACAAATAAAAGGGCAAGATGCGGCCCGAAAACCACTCTACGAAGCAGCGTCGCAAAGCGCAAGCAGCCAGCCGACGTTCAAACGCCATCACGGTAGCAACCCACGCGACCCCGCCATGTCCTTCATCTACCTCTCCGAATCACAGCTCGGCCATCAACATGATCGCTCACAATCGCCGAGACAACAGCAGCCCTCACCCCGCGCGTCTGCTCCGTCGCCGATCAAGACACAGCAGTCCTCGTCCCCCCAGACCGACACCGCCAGCTCGACGTCACACGAGGACGAAATGGGCCGTGTCAACCGTCTGTTCGAGATTCTCACAGCACGCTCCGATATTGACTACCCTATCTGCATTGAGTGCACCGACATGCTTGTCGATGGCCTGCAGCGCAAGCTCGACGTGGCCACCCGCACACGCGACGCTTACATCACTCACCTCAAGGAGCTCCGCGCCGCGCAGCCCAGCGAGGCCGACAGAAAGGCTGCTGCGGAGCGGCAGCGCAAGGCGGAAAATGAGAGGGCGGCCGCCATGAAGGAGCTCAAGCGCCTCGAGGCCGAAAAGGACGCCCTCGACGAGGAGATTCTCGCGCTCGAGGACGAGTCGCTGCAGCTCGACCAGGAAGAGGCGGCTTTCTGGGCCGAGCGCAACGCTTTTGCTGCCGAAATGGCTGAGTTCCAGGCTGAGAGGGACAGCGTCAACATGAAATACAGTAATGACTCCCAGTTGCTGCAAAAGCTGCAACGAACCAACGTCTACAATGACACGTTTTGCATCAGCCACGACGGCAGCTTCGCCACCATCAACAGCCTGCGCCTTGGCCGCCTCTCTAGCAAGCCCGTCGACTGGCCGGAGATCAACGCCGCCTGGGGCCACGCGCTGCTTCTCCTCGTCACCGTCGCCGACAAGCTCGAGTTCCGCTTCCAGGGCTACGAGCCGCAGCCCATGGGCAGCACGTCCAAGATTATCCGCTTCGATGCCGCCGCCAGCCCTACTACCAGTCGCCACATCGACACCCATGCCCGCGCCGCCCGTCCACCGCCGGCGCCGCCTAAGAAAAACGTCCTTGAGCTGTACAGCTCCGGCGGCGACCTGCCCCTCGGCCTGCGACTGCTCCACCGCGGCTTCGACAACGCCATGGTGGCCTTCCTCGAGCTCGTCCGCCAGCTCGGCGACCATATCCAGCGCAAGACGGCCCGCACTGGTCGGCCGCTCTGCCTCCCCTACCGCATCGACGGCGACAAAATTGACGACGTCAGCATCCGTCTCGGCATCGCCCAGGACGACGGCTGGACAAAGGCGTGCAAGCTGACGCTCACGTGTTGCAAGTTCCTCCTCGCGCATGCTAGCAATGTGAGCACGGTCACGCGGGATATAGACTCGTAGAGGCGCGGATGGCGATGGCTGGTATGTAGTAGAGGTTATCGGGGCGCATTACGGTATTTACAGAATATTGATGAACAATGGCGTTGCAGGTGCTTGGGTACTACGGAGTTCACGGAGCTAAATAATGGAAATAATGCTGATACCTTGCAATGGCTAATACGCTTCTCAAAATGGGATATTTGGATTCAAATGTCTGCTTCGAGTTCATATTATCTGAGCATACATCACGTCCGCCAAGGCGGTAGGCATCAATGTTATTGGACCCAAACCGCAGAATATACTTTTACTTTTTATGTTTTGCTCAACAAAGATTCAAAGAGAAAGAACATGCATAATGTTGCCACATGAGAAGAGCCACTTTTTGTTCGCTTCTCCCGACAAAACATCCCTTGCTAATATCATTCCAGCTGTTTCCCTTTTTGACCACCTCCCGCAAATTCTCAATAAATGAACAGTGCCAAATCAGAACCCAACAATTTAAGACAATAAAAATAACAATATAAACAAAATCAATGCTATAAAATGCATATTTGCGTAATTGTTTCATCGCAATGCGAGGAAACAGCCGCAAAACTATCTACTGCTTGCCGAGAATGGTAGCCTCCAGCTTATCCTTCTCACCACTGTGCTCGCACATGTCGCGGAAGATGCTGCCCTCCGTCTCCCAAAGTTCTTTGGGACTACCGTACTCGGCGACGGCGCCTTCGCTGAGGACAAGAATCTTGTCAAAGTCGGCAATAGTACTCAGACGATGCGCAATGACAAGCAGAGTGCTGTTATCAAACTCCTCGCGGATGCTGCGCTGGATAAGCGCATCCGTAGCCATGTCAACGGCCGACGTGGCCTCGTCGAGGACCATGATTTTTGGGCGGGAGACAATGGCGCGAGCAATGCAGAGCAGCTGGCGCTGACCCTGGGACAAGTTGCCGCCCGACTCGGAGATGCCGCTGTTGAGATCCCGGAAAATGTTGGTGTTTTGCGGCGCGACGGTAGAGTTGGAAGACGACGCAGGCTCGTTGGCGGGAGTGGCGGGCAAGGAATCAACGAGATGAACACGCTGGAGACATTCGCGGAGCTCGTCGTCACTATACGTCTCAAAAGGATCAAGATTGGAGCGAACGGTTCCGGAGAAAAGAACGGGATCTTGAGGAATAATGGCGAGGCGCGAGCGCAGGCTGTGAAGATCAATAGTGGAAATGTCGATCCCGTCAATGATGATGGAGCCGGAGCGCGCTTCCAGGAAACGGAACAGAGCAAGGGTCATGGAGGACTTGCCAGCGCCAGTACGGCCAATGACACCAACACGCTCATTATTCTTGACGACGAAAGAAACGCCCTTGAGAACGGCAGGTAGGTCATCTGCATAACCGACAACGACGTCCTTCATCTCGATAGTGCCAGAAGTGGGCCAGGCAGCAGGGGGCTCTACACCGTCCTGCTGCTCCATCTTCAGCTCCGAGTACTCAACGACACGCTCGGCAGCATTCATGTCAAGCTCCAAACTAGCGTAGGCTCGAATAGCGAAAAGGATCGTGTTGGCAAAATCGAGCGCAAAGGACATTGCAAAGCCAGCCATGGCAGCGTTGGTCTTAGTGAGGATGATGATGACACCGACGCAAGTAGTGAAGATGGTACCAATGGCTGCCATTCTGATACCCATCCAACGGTTGAAAATCCAAAAGTGGACCTTGTTAGTATTCCAGGTATCGAGGTGGTAGTGCATGCGCTTGACATAGTCCGTGTTCTTTTGGAAAGCTCGCAGTGTGGAAACGCCGGCGAGCGTGGTATTGAACAGCTCAAAGACGGGAGATTTGGAGTTGCTCTCGAGACGCTTCATAGGTCGGGCACCATCCATGTACTTCTTTCCAATGACACCAGCGCCCATGATGAGCAGGAGTGCCAGAGGCAGAACAAGTGGAGTGACCAAAGTCGACGCGGCACAGACAGCAATAATAGCAAGACATCGACCAATGAAAAAACTAATGCTAAAGCTCAGACGGGTGTCGATGATATCGAAATCAGCAGTCATGCGGTTGAGAACTCTGCCAACGGGAACAGTATCGAGCCATCTCAGGGGTGTGCGGACAACGGTGAAAAGAATTTGTTCAAATAGCTTGTGGCTAGCTTTGAGACTCATGGTGAAAGCCCACAGCATACGCATGGAACCAACGACGCCGCTCGCCAAAGCAATAGCGGCGTAGATGCCGAGGTAAAAGCCCAAGTGTTGGTCGTTATCAGTAACAGGTGCAGCAGCAGCATGAAAGCTACCGTGCTGCAGCGAGAACATGCTAGCGCTCCCATGAGAGGAATAAGTATTGATGGATATCGTCGAGTTATGGGCGGGTGTCTTGACGGCTTGTCCAGTCCAGATCTGCAGCCACCAGTTGCGACCAACATTGCCAGCTTCGTAGGCAACGTAGAAGAAAGCGCAACCAATCCAGAATGGAAGTCCGCCACTGGCATTGATGTAGGTGGCATAGACGTGGCGTTTGACAGAGCCCTTTTCGATTTTTTCGTCTTCGACAAACTTCTTGGCAGATTTGGAAGGAACCCTTTGCAACTCATTCTCAATGTCGGAAGTCTCTTCGGAATTGACCATGGTCTCGGCGTTGGTAGCCTCGTCGGCCTCGATCTCGGCCTCGGTTTGAGTATGACTGCGAATTTTATAGAGTGTGCCATCTTCAGCGAGGTCACTGGTGAGACCAGAGTGAAGGACTGTACCCTCACCAAGCTCAGCCAGGTATTTGGCCTTGGACTCAACCAGGGCGACATGATGAGTGACAAGGATACGGGTACGCCCCTGGCAAATGGGACCAGCAATGCATTTTTCGAAGATTTGTCGGCCAACGTGGGCATCGACAGCACTGAAGATGTCGTCTAGGAGCAAAAGTTCGGCACGTGAGTAGATGGAACGAGCGAGAGTGACACGCCACTTCTGGCCACCGCTCAGGTTAATACCGTTAGCACCCAGCTCAGTCTTGTCACCGTCCTCGAGAATATCAAGATCTTTGCGCAGAGCGCAGACCTCAATGACAGTGTTGTAACGCTCCTCATCGAATGGCAAACCGAAGGTAATATTGTCACGGAGGGTGGCATTCTCAAGCCACGGGTTCTGGCTGACGTACGCAACAGTGCCCGGAAGGATCCAATTGCCTTTGTGGGCCTTGGTGTCGTTGCGCTCGGCCAGAGGTGGTACACGAGGCATGATGACCTTGCCGGCAAGTAGATCGACTTCACCAATGAGAGACGAAAGCAAAAGACTCTTGCCGGTACCAGTTTTACCAGAAATGACAGAAAGCTCACCCTGGGGGAATGAGAGGTTCAGGTTGCGGAGGACAAATCGCTCATCTTCGGGAACCTCCTCGTCGACGGGCCAAGCAATAGACGCATCGTCGAGAGCCGCATCGGGACCGCGTGTGATGATGTCGGTCATTTCTGGACCCTCGAGGTACTTGCCAAGTCGGCGGATGGAGATGAGGGTGTCGAGACCATAGCCAATGAATTCAGGAAGAACAGAGAGACTCATTTCTAGACTCTTGAAGATGCCAATAGCAACAAATGCGGTAGAGGGTTTGATAGCTCCATTCTGAATAGCATATACAGCGAGCGAGACGACAGCGAGTAGGATGGGGCTGACAATCCAGCAAGTGAAGAGAATAAGATCAATGGCGAAAACGTATCGAATCGTGCCGAGCTCCTTTGCGCGCTTGGCCATGATACGTGCGGACCACTCCTTCTCGAGAGCAGAAAATTTGATCTGCCGAATACCAAGGAGAGCCTCATTTATCATGGCGAGCTTCTCGTCTCGAATCTTCATGAGCTTGTCCTCCTGCTTGAGATAGATCTTTGAGGCATACATGTTGATTGGTAAGACAATGGCCCAGGCGATGACACCAGCCAAGTATGGTTGGTAGCCGATGAGCCGGATGAGGAAGACGGAGTAAAGGATGAGCTTTGAAATGGCGTTGATGATGATGAAATGCATGGCAAGGAAATCGGCAATGCGTCTCGAGTCAACACCGACCAGGTTCACAATGGCTTGTCGCGAGCGAAGAACGGTTTCGTCCGTCTTTTCGTCCTTGTCCTCCTCGTTGTCTTTAGTATCCTGTTTGTTGTCCTGATTATCCTTGTTGTTATCGTCGTTGCTGTTCTTTTTGGCTTCCACGTCAGTGTCACGGTTTTTCTCGGCAGTCTTGACGTTCTTGCGTCGGAGAGACTTTTCGAAGACAAGAGCGGAAAGCTGAGCAGACATAGGGATACCCATGCCTACAATGGCATACCAGTTCAGGTAGCCATCAAGCCACTGCTCACTGATACCACAAAGTCCGAGACCAACAATGTGAAGCCAGAAATCACCAAACTTCATTTCATCCCGGGGAGTGACTTCGAGCTTCTGGATGAGCCTTAGGAGAATCAAGTAGGGAATCATGCCGACGGCGACACGAAAGAGGGTACCAGTCCACTGGATGGCAAAGCGCCAGCCGTAGACGCGGACGAGGTTGCGAAGCAGACCAGCACCAAACTTGAAGCTCTCCCAGGATTCAACGAGAGACTTAGATCTAGCGTAGCTGGGGGGGCGGGGAACATCGGTCTGCTTCAGGTCACCCTTTTTGCCTCCAAGGTCGAGTGTCTTACGGCCCCAGCCCCAGGTGAATCTGCTCAGGGCATTGACGCTGAAGTTGCGGTCGACAGGCTCGTCGTGGTAAAAGACATCGGGGCGGCGAGGGATAAGCGTAGAGGCGATGGCGAGAAGACCGGCTGAAGCAAGAGTGCAGAGGCGCAGGATGAGGGTGACATCGTGCTGGAGGGATCTATATTGACCGACATGATTGGCTTCGGCGGTTGCGACGATGATGTTGACAAGTGAAGCGAGGAAAATGCCGAGGCCGATGTTATAAACTTGAATGAAGTTGTGGTGAGCAGACAAACAAGCGGCTTGCAACAAGACTAGAATCTAGTAATCGAAAGAGTGGACAATTAGCAACAAGGTGCAAAAAACTTTCGAGACTCTCGAGAAGGCTATGAGGCCAAGTTGAGCCGGGGAGAAACTCACCCAAGCACTGGTAGTGAGCCAGGTGGACAGAAATAAGCTACCATGGGAAGAAGCAGTTGAGTTCAAGACGGCGACAGCAATAGACAACGCAGCAGTGGATGCAGCCAGAAAAGTCACGACAAATTTGCTGGCCTTGTTGGAGAAGGCCGCGATAGACTCGGGGGTAGCGACACCATCCTGGTCCTCGTAAAAATTGTCCTTGGGAGCTCGGGAGCGGATTTGGGAGACAATGGCGGAGAGAGCAGGAAGGGTGGTGATAGACGCAACAGCCAGTCCGGCAGCCGCGGCGTAGGAGAGCTGGTCGTGATCCATGACTCGACAGGGCGCGCGACACAGGAAACAAGACGCCTCCGCAAAGGGCTGGTGATGGCTAACGAGGACGACGCAGAAAGGAAACGCGTGCCCTGTCAGCTGCCCGTCCTCTTTTTTTTCTTTCTCGCGATCGTGCTACGTCCAAGACCGAAGTGTAGCGACGGCGGGTCCGAGCTAAGCGTGTGCCGTGCAGGTAGCTGGTGAGCGGCTGGCCTGGAGGACAAACGGGCTCGATGATGTTATTATCGGCTTGGCGGTGGCGGCAATGGGGAGCAGCCAGAAACAAAGCACATCCGGATCTTGATGAAAACGGAAGACAAGGCGCGTAGAGGAAAAAATTTAGAAGAAAGGAACACGGAGAGTAAAAGTGCCTGGGGCCAAGCAGGGGAGCAGGTGGTAGTCTTATGACGTGCACCGCTCAGCCTGTTTGCTGTTGAGTCGAGGCTTCCACCCCCCAGACATTGAACGATTAAGTTTTAGATAGGTACGGCGTGTGCGAGTCACTAATCACTTCCAGATGCGGTAAATTCACCGAGCTAGCCAGAAAAAAACGAAGAATGCAATGATCACACTTAGAACACCGCAATTCGTAAAGAAAGTGGCCAAGATGAGAAGAACAAAGTACCGATTTGCAGTGATGAGCGTGCAGGGAATACCTACCTTCAAAGTCAAGTACGGAAAAACACACACGGCTGGCGGCCGGCAGGGTCTGGCGGGCGAAAGTTAGTCACCAAAGTGGATGAGGCTGAATGGAAGATGGGGGGGCGACATGGGTGTCGGCACTAATAACTTTGACTGAGCAGGTCAACCGTCACTGGTCGTCACCAATGGTTCGTTGGCGGAGGGGCAAATGGCTTACAAGAACAAATTAGGTGCTCGCCGGTTCAACGATTGGAACTTTCGTAGCGCTACGGCCCAAGCAGCCTGCTTACAACTTACAGCCCACCACTGGGAAGAAGGAAGAAGAAAAAGAAACAGAGTTCCCCCACTGCATGAACAGGCAAGGTAGGGAATCTGCTCCCTGCAGTGCCTGCCCGCCCACCTGCCTACCTTACTGAGTAGGTACCTACTGCACTCAAGCGTTCTGCTCGAGCTGGTTGCCCTCCCACCTCTGTATCAATCGGCGGAGGCGGGTTAGTATGGGGCTAACATCGGCGCCGTCCTCCTCAATTGCGAAATCGTCACGCCGACTCTTTTTCTTTTTTTTTTCCTTTTTTTTTTGTTTGCTTTGGTAATCCTGCAACCCTAAGCAGCGATTGAGACGTGACCTACCGTACGGCTCAGGTCCGACATGGCCGAAGGCGTACGCTGACGGGAGGCGGCAGTATCGTTTTCGGCCCTTCATTTAGTTTCAAGTCCACGCCAAATGCTGCCTGATGGCGATACTAACCAGAGTTAGCTCCCGAAGCAAGAAGACACAAGCCATTCTTTGACCGACACGGCTTTGCAGATCTCTCAAGAGTCACTCGCTACCTCGCGGCTGAAAAAAAAAGAAGAAAAAAACCAATCGATTTGGATCCACCGAATGACTCTAGTTAAATGATACACAGTAAACAAACTAGGCTTTTGTTTTACTATCCAAGATCGGAAGAGTCTCACCGGCCGGCATCTCAGCCGTCTGCTGTGACTCGTGCCAGCCTTTCCTCAGTCGACCGGAAGCACAACCGCCATCCTTGCTCTTTCAAGAAAAACGGCATACTTTGTACTACCAGTCGGCCGTTGTCATGGCGCGCCCGCATCCCACATCACAGAAAAACTCTGACCGTTAGCCGGCAAGCTGAATTAGGCAGGCGATGATGCTGGGACCATGGGGCTTCACAAAGGAGCGGTGGGCGTGGCGGCTATGATTTACAAGTCACCCATCCTAGTGGACCGCTGGGCTGTCAGAACCTGGGGGCATGGCTTTGCCTGCAGCCTTTGTCACGAATCATTCGGCGTGCCTCACTACCTATCCGCACAACCGTGCTGGCATCATCAAGCCAATACTGCCTTTTTGCGCCGGCCGAATACTGGCGCTGGCGGTTCCAACACCGCCAGCCGGGCTGCCCGTAACCTGCCCTGCCAAACTTTCCCAGGCTTCGCCAGTCAAACTAAAGATTTCTATCCATATTTTGTTCTGAATCGTTGTCGTCTGTAGTGCAGCGCTGGATGTCGTACCCGACCAAGCACAGATTTCATCTCGCTTCCTTGCAAGCCACCCGTCGAGGCTGGGCTGGGCAGTAAATAAGTCAATGCAGACAAAGGCTGTTGTGTCAGACCATGTATCAATACTTGCATATTATCCAGCAGCACACGAACAAGACACGTAACTGGTTCATGATCTGCAGCCATGTCTCTTCTTCACGTTTTGCGCCGATCCAATCACCCACCTTCGTTTACTCACCACCCATCGCCAACCCCTCCCACCATGTCACTGCCATCCTCTTGTTTATCACCATCCCGTTGCTCGTATCCCATGATGAAGTGAGATGCATCCACGAATATGCATCTAGCGTCCTTTGCCACTACTTCTTGTGCTCAGGTGTGTGATACAAAGCCCAACTGCCAAGTGATGCTTCGCGCGTTCTTGGATTTTTTTTTGTCTTGGAGCGCGACAATCAATACGTTGCACTGCTCATCCCTTTGACTGTCGAGGAAAGCAGAGTCACAGAATCAAACCAGCGAAAGTATCAAGTAATGAAAATCATCAAGCCATCAAGCGGCTAAATGGATACCCTTTGCTTTTGCCTGTTTGCGAGGGCGTCTAGGCATTGGTCACATGACTTCACGTCAAATTATTTCGCAAGTTCTTAAGCCCCCTTTCTGGCTCTGAATTGCCTCGAATATGACCTCAGAGACTCTGCCATGACGACGCGCAATGTACTCTCTGGCCCAATCACTTTGTCTTATGCTCAAGTTCGAAGTGCTGATAATGTCTTGACGATATAACAGCCACGCTTCAAGCCGCTTCGCAACCCTTGACATTTGATGATTATCTACTAATCGAAGCAATCATTTCGCGAAAGAACCTGTCAAAATCCTAGTGCTAGAAACGCAATACTACCCGTCTACATAATTTACGGGAGAGAAAATTGAGGATAATGGTCTCGCTTGCGCATGAAGGGCTGTTGCTCGACATGTCCTTCATACACTTCTACTGCAAGCAAAAATTCAATTCCTAGATGCAGTCGCCGGCGTTATTAAAGTGTGGTAACTGTCAGGCGCTAGAAATCTGCATTTATGAAGAATTTGCTACTTGGTGAGCTCGTGCTTGAAGGTTAGTCTTAAGATGGCAACCCAATCCCAGCTGTGGATATGTTCTGGGTGAATTGCGAAATTCAACCCGCGTGAAGCAGTTAAAATCTGTATGTGAATGGCAAAACGCGCCTAGAAATGGATGCCCAAGAACATCAGGCTGCGAGAAGACGACAAGGCTTGAAAGGAACGCCAGACTGTGTGAGAACAGAGCCAGCTATTTCTGGCTCCTCTGGCTTCCACTGAAATACGCGAGCCGAAAGAGGCTATATTCCAGCAACTAGTATGAAGTAGAGGTCGCATACATTATCCGAATCACAAGCACCGACCAGTCCCAAAAGTTTACGCCCGATGGCTAAATTTATTGGGAAACAGCTCACTAGTAGGTGCTAATACAAGGCTTCTTCGTCCAACGTCCTTTTCTCTCCTTTTAGCTAATTGCTCAGCCCCTGCATGCACAGTCGAATCTCGGACCAATCCCAACTGCATGCGCCAAGCCCCCGCGATGGTTTGGCGGCGGCTGAAAGTAGTTTCTGTGGCTGTCCTAATTGCATCGTACTGACATGTTTGGGCATCATCACACATTACATCAAAGAGTGTCACGCGTGGTTGGCCGGAAGTAGTTCGCTTGGCAACTGGCACTTGTCACGTCGCTTGATATCTCTGCTAGCGAACTCGATGGCAATTCAACTGATAAACATGCCACTGTCGCAGCATATATCTGCAATGGGGCATCTCAGCTCGAACTTGATAGGGTCATGCTGACAGATCGACGGCTGCAGCCAACTCATTTCCACTAAGTGAGCGCCACGGTGTTCCGGGGTGACTCACAACCCAGCGTAAAATATACTTGGTATCAGGCCAACAGGCAGTATCCTTTCGTCGTAGATTTTCACGCCTCTCGTTGAAATCGTGGGTCAACTACGGAGACCGCGAGAAATCGACCCAGCTGCCATTTTCCATATCTAGAAATGTTCGTTGTTGAATTATGATGAGGGACGCGACACATTTCATGTTTCTTGTTGCCTCGCGACGGTCAGCCACTCAACCACAATATCTCAGTAATGAAGCTGCAGCTAGTTTTTGCATGTCGATCAGATGTTGGGGCTCAAATGCAGCCACCCACTTCCCTTGGTTGCTCTATTGCTGCCTGTTTGCTAGCATCGTGACGCGCACGTATATCCACGCTCAGCGCGCGGTTACCCTAGATGCGTGTCGTGGACTTGTGTGACGGCTTGTCCAAGGTGTGCGCTGAAGGTGCTAATTAAGAAGAATGTCTTGGTATTGCGGTTAACTAAGTGGCATGGCTTTTACGCTCTTTGTTGTGTCGTGTGCTGCCGTTGTACATGTTATTGTTTCGGAACTTGTTTGTTCGTGTACTTGCCACGTCTTGTCGGGTTTTAAGTGAGTTTTTGCGAAGCTACAGGGATCGAGAAGAAATTTCATTCATTACCCGAAACCACACAACGGAAGCGAATCTAGTTGAACACTTTTCATCATGTAATAAGAGGGCACGCCGTTTCACGCTCAGCGCGTCCCAACAAAGAGGTTGATAAAAACCACGCATATTGGTTACCGAGCATATTCGACGGGGCGACACAGCAACCAAAGAAAAGTCATGTACTCCGTAAGTCTAATGCCGAATTGCCCACGGGTACGCATAGTCAATTAAAAAAGCATCAGCTATTTACGTGAGGATGCACAAAAGTTGAGACTTCCGGAGCCGCGTCTCATTTTTAGCTGCAAGGTGCGTGGCTCAGCATACACCACTAAAACATCCCCAGTCGCACTGCTACTACAGGGGGTCTTAAGATAATTGATTCAGCTACCTGTAGGCACTCGTGGCACTGTAACAGCTCACCAACAACGGTTAACTTTTGTAATGCACGCTGGGAGGCCGCTGAAACGCGGCCAATTCAGCACTGTGAAAGGCTGACCCGCAAGCCTCGCCACGGCTCGTCCCCACGCGGCCGCGCCCTACCAGGTTGCTAATTGGATTCAATGCTTGTCTGATCTATCTAGTTCAGTTGCTGCTTCTTCGCGCACCCAGACATCTCGCTACAGCCATTTTGTCAAGGAACTTACGCGTTTGAACTGCCAAAATCCCAAATCACGATAGCCGCAGTTTCCAGTCCCCGTGGTCTCCCGGCTCCCGGCTTCTATCCTCCGCCGCTCACCCACCTAGCGCTTCGCTGCCACCTCCCAACAAGTTGGCTTGCTACATATACTATCGCCCTGTTCATCGACCGCGAGGTCCCTTTCATGTCACCCACGACAGAGCTGTCGTAGCATTCCCTCGTCAGGATGAAGGCCACGCCGCTCATCATCAATTGGCACGAGCAAAACGCCCCCGTCTACTCGGCTCACTTTGAGCCCGGCGGCAAGGGTCGTCTCGCTACTGCTGGTGGTGATAACCACGTTCGCATCTGGAAAGTCGACACGCACGGCACTGATCGCAAGGTTGAATACCTCTCTACCCTCTCCAAGCATAATCAGGCCGTCAATGTCGTCCGCTGGGCGCCCAAAGGTACGTGGTCATTCCCAAATAGTCTGCCATCGTGCTGTCCTGCCTGCCAAACGGCGTCGCTGACCACATTCATCCCCCCTCAGGCGAACTCCTTGCCTCGGCTGGCGACGACGGAAACGTCATTCTCTGGGTTCCCAGCGAGCTGACCCATTCGAATTTTGGCTCTGATGGCCTCGACGACAAAGAATCCTGGCGTGCAAAGCACATGTGCCGCTCAAGCGGTGCTGAAATCTACGACCTGGCTTGGTCACCCGATGCTGCGCACTTCATTATCGGCAGCATGGACAACATAGCTCGAATCTATAGTGCCACAACAGGCATGTCGGAACTCTTGAACCCAAATAATTGTCTCCATCCGTCAATGCTAATGTCGCTGCTTAGGAATTCTCGTCCGTCAAATAGCCGAACACAGCCATTACGTCCAAGGCGTCACATGGGACCCGTTGAACGAGTACATTGCCACGCAGTCCTCCGATCGATCAGTTCATATATATTCCCTCAAGACGAAAGATGGCCAATATACTCTCAGCCAAGACGACAAACCCCCACGGCTCGCCAGTCACATCAAGGCTGACCTACCGCCGAGACGCATCTCCTCAAGTAGTCCAGCCCCTCCTGACTTTGGTCACCGAGCCCAGCTTTCCGTCGTCGATTCGAATACGTCAATCGGATCGCCAGTTCCGTCGGCACCAGGGACACCGACCTCGTTCCCGCTGCCCATGAACCCACCCAGCGTCGTGAGCCACAGCCGCCGATCTTCGTTTTCCTCTCGTCGATCCGCCTCACCAGCGCCCTCGCTGCCACTCCCCGCTGTCATGTCCATGGAAGCCTCACCAAAGCCGCACCCCTCATCTTCAATTCTCGGGCTTGGCATGAAGAATGCTAGCCTCTACGCAAACGAGACCTTGACTTCCTTCTTCCGTCGTCTCACTTTCACGCCCGATGGTAGCCTGCTGCTCACACCATCTGGCCAATATCAAAATCAACACCAGGCAGACAAGGATGCGAAGCCCACATATGACATTATAAATACTGTCTACATCTATACGAGAGGAGGCATCAACAAACCACCTGTTGCGCATCTCCCCGGTCACAAGAAGCCGTCCGTGGTCGTTCGATGCTCGCCTTTAATCTATACCCTGCGCACCTCCCCTCCACCGACCAAGCATATCACCATTGACACATCTTCTGCGGAAGAGGACATTCTGTCACTGCCGGAGCCTCTTTCACGACCAACCTCGCCCGCACCGGTCATGGAGCCGCCCCCGCCACCTGCTATTGTTTCCGATACCACTTCGACACCAGCCAAGCCAAGCAGCATAGAAGCAAGCGCTGCTACCCCAGGCCCCAAGCCGGCCTTCTCGCTGCCATATAGAATGGTGTACGCCGTCGCCACCCAGGACTCTGTTTTTTTGTATGATACGCAACAAAAGACGCCAATCTGTGTCGTCAGCAACCTGCATTGCGCGACCTTTACTGATCTCGCATGGTAATTAGGACTTTCGAACAACCGAGACTCTCAAGCTAACCACCTCATAGGTCGAATGACGGACTCACGTTACTCGTCTCATCATCTGATGGATTCTGTTCTACCCTATCTTTTGCATCCGGAGAGTTGGGAGAAATCTACCAGGGCGAAGTCGGTCCGCCTGCCAAGAGCCAGACCAGTGCAGCCGCCTCCAACCAACATACTCTTGCTACACCAACAACGACGTTCGCCCCTCCCTCGCCATTTTCTAGCGGCTCGCAACATCAAAACCGCAACTCCACTAGCTCGTTCACGGCACCATCGCCACCAGCTTCAGTGAGTGCCGCTGCAAAGAGGCCGCCTTCTCCAGCAAGATCAAATTCAGCGTCCTCTGTAGCAACTCAGTCCTCTTCGATGCATACAGGAGTGGTCAGCAACCCAACACTCATAGCGGGCACAGTGCCTGCCGTCGCTGCCACGAATTCGGGCAAAGTCACCGGCGTTCCCATAACAACTCCACCAGAAACGCCCAGCAATATCGTGACTGGCAGCAAGAGAGATGCAACAGACAGCGAGAAAGAGGAGAGGAAAGAGCCCAAGAAGAGAAGAATTGCACCGACACCAGTCGAGTCGAAGGACTCGTGAAAAAGAGACTGATCAGAAGGAATATGAATCGCGCACGCAAGAGCCTGAAGGCTCGTCAGCTTTGAGCACAAGACGACTTTGTTTTATTACTGGCGTTTCAGGAGGCTGTATTCTAGTGGACAAGGTTATCAGGGTCGATCTATGTCGATATTGCTATACTTCTGTTGCTTGTCTGTCGCCATAATTTGACAGCTGCGCTTGTGCAATATGTGGGTTGGCAAAGCAGACAATGTATTTTGCAAAAGTCCTTGGTTATGAGGCCTGGCTGAACCTGCTTGACATTTTCAATTGAGTTGAAGACTTGTTTCTGGCTTGGTGCAATCCGCGAGGAAATTGAGATGGCACATATATTAAATAGTCAATTGTCCAGAATGAAGATGTTCACACTGCTGCACGGAATTTGTAACTGTGCTTGGGTGGAAAAAGAGCATGAAGCATCTTTCGGTTGGCCAAGTCGTAGCACGGCACAAAATCAAGACAGTCAACGGGCCCAATCTATATTTCAATTCCAGACCATCTTTTACAGTAGCGGAAGAGTTTTTCTGACGCAATAGCTACTTGTGGTCGTTTAACACGGCTTAGTGTCCGGCTTAAGACGGAGCCAACCAGCACCCTGCGTCGTCGGCATAGTCAGGCCCGCCTTGGCGCTCGGCAATGGAATTGATAAAGAGGACTATTTTCGAACGAATGGGCTAGTTTAATGCACATGATCACATAACTGCTTATTGCTAGATTGACTGCCGTATGCTAGTTTGCGGCCACACTCGGCAGACACACACCAGCGCCCGTTAGGCTATTAGCTTTTGCCCTTGCACCAAGTCGCCTTCTTAATCAAAATCAGAGGCTTGACAACATGAAGAAAGCCCTTCTGTCTTGTAGAAAAGAAAAAGAGAACAGTATCCGTTTTTCTCATAAGCCGCCTGCTGAATGGATCACCTTTTGCCGACTTTGGTTGAGTCGAACGAATCAAGCGCTGCAATTAGCAACTTTTATTTCCGAGAATAAAGAGTGCTGTGTGCTTGGTCACCGAATGCCCGGATGATAGCAGCCGGGCCAAGGAATTAAGACGCCAGCGGCCGGCTGCGAATGTGGACTACCCACAAATCAAAAGGGCCTTGTTGAAGGCGTAAGACCGATGTCGCTCTTGTGATAAAGCAATGTATCTCTTTTTTTTTTCTTGTTCAACTTCTTTTCCATCTTGTTCTTTTCTTATCGTTGCAAAGAACTTATTGGATTCCAATGCTATTATAATAGTCAGCGCTGCGAATAAAAGCAGCCTTACTCATGCCACAATGGGCCTTCCGAATGAAAGCCCGGTCGACGCCGGCGCCACCTCCGACCGCCGGCCCCTCACACCTCGCGCGCCGCCACCCACTCGTCTGCCGTCCGGAAAATCATTCGACGACAACGACAACAACAACGCGGACGTCGTATGGGCGCTTGCGCCCATGACTGAAGCGGCCGCCGCCAACGCGCAGCAGGCGGCGTGCTCACTGGCGCTCACGCAGACCGTGTCCGCGCCGTACACCGTCTTCTCGCAGCGGGCGCGCGTCGGAATCACCGTCATGGTGTCGTTCGCGAGCATGGTGTCTCCTATGACGTCCAACATTTACTTTCCGGCGCTCGACTCCGTCGCGCGCGACCTGGGCGTCTCGCTAAGCCTCATCAACCTGACGCTGACGACGTACATGATCTTCCAGGGCGTGGCGCCGACGCTGCTGGGCGATTTCGGCGACAAGGCCGGCCGCCGGCCGGCGTACGCGCTCTCCTTCCTCGTCTTCCTCGTCGCCAACGTCGGGCTCGCGCTGCAGCGCGACTACGCCGCGCTCATGGTCCTCCGTTGCCTGCAGGCGGCCGGCAGCAGCGGCACGCTGGCGCTGGGCTACGGCGTCGTCGCGGATTTGGCCCCGCGGTCCACGCGCGGCAAGTACATGGGCTATCTGGGCGCCGCCATCAACGTCGGACCGACGCTGGGGCCGTTTCTCGGCGGCGTGCTCTCGCAGACGCTTGGCTGGCCGTCCATCTTCTGGTTCCTCGCCATCTTTGTCACGGCGTTTCTGGTTCCCTGGGTGCTCTTTGCGCCCGAGACGGGCCGCAACGTCGTCGGCAACGGGTCCTACGCTGCGCAGACATGGAATCGACCGCTGGTGTCCTGCTCCCGGGACCGCCGGCCAAAGGAGGAGATGCCGGCGTCGCAGAGGCCCAAGCTCTCCGTCCCGAACCCGCTCAGCACCCTCACCATGGTGTTTGAAAAGGAAATGGGCTCGATCCTGCTGATTGCGGCCGTGATTTATCTGAGCTTCATCTTGGTTGCCGCCACGATGGGAACGCTCCTCAAAGAGATTTACTCTTATGATGATTTGCAGGTCGGGCTTTGCTACCTCCCATACGGACTGGGCTGCTGTGTCACGTCAGTTGGACAGGGCTACGCACAAAACTGGAACTACCGCAGGATTGCTAAAAAGGTGGGATTCGACCTCAAGTCCAAAGAAAATGGCGACAAGTTCCCCATCGAAAGGGCCAGACTGCAGCTCATCTACCCATCCATGGTGGTTGGTGCGGCAGCGTTGATAGGATACGGATGGGCGCTGCAAATGGAAACATCGGTTGCGGTGCCGCTAGTCATGGTCTTTATCATCGGAATGATGATACCGACATCCCTCAACATGATTACAACGCTCATGGTTGACCTCTTTCCCGAGGCGCCGGCTAGCGCGGCAGCTGCCAACAACTTGGTGCGCTGCCTGTTTGGCGCGGCAGCGACCGCCGTCGTTGACTACATGCTCAAGGGCATGGGACGAGGATGGTGCTTTACATTTCTAGCCCTTCTCATGTTTGCTTGCGTGCCCTGGATTCTGTATATCGAGAAGGTCGGGCCTCGATGGCGTGCAGAGAAGCGTCAGCAGCAAGAGCAGAGAAAGCTGAAGGAGGCGTTGTAGAAGACTTGAGACCATTGCAAGGTGCAGGAAAACCATCATTTCGGCATATTGCATTTTTTCCATATAGAGGCATTAGTAGACATGGACATGGACATGAATCAGGATGAATTCCTTATAGAGCCGGAATAGCGTGCTCCACGGCCTCTCTTTGAGCCTCCCACATCAACCAGTCTGAGCGTGTTGTTCTAAAACCAATTAGCATCTCGTACATGTTCAGTGTTTCCCGTAAAGAGTGACGTACGGCAAAAGACCCATCCCGTTTATTTTCCAGATACCCACCCCCAGCGCGGCAAGCTGCATAACCACATACACAAACTTGGTCTGAAGAATCTTGCTAGAGTTGGTCTCGGTCTGAAAGCGCTCAAAGGCCTGATTGGTATTGGCAAGGCCCATGATGGGGTTCTTGAAGGCCATAAAGACCATCATGATGCTGAATATCTGTAGAGAGTTGCCGGACATGTACATCATGATCAACGTCATGGGCAGAGACTTGACAGGCGCTAGCGCAACCTCCCAAGCCTTCTTCAGCTTGAGGGTGTCCATTTCATCGTGTGTCGGGGGCTTTCGTGGCGTAGTTTTGGAATCCTTTTGCTTCTAACATTATTGTATCGTATTAGCGCACATCTTTAATGCTGTACGGGCCACAAATGGCTGCCAGCCTAGGGTGGGAGCGCGTACCTTGTTGCCACCAGAACCAGCGAAGCCTGGCGGGTCAACGATGCCCGGTGCCTTGGACTTTGCGGCTGGGGGCGACTGCAGCTGCTGGACCCATTGGGGGACGGTAGAGGCTTTTGAGGTCATGTTGATATGATGCGCGAGCTAGACTGGGCGCGGCTTGCAGTGTCGCGAGATGAAGTGAACGTCGTAGGCATGATCGAGGCCGTCCCAGTGGCTGGCACAGTGTGGACCACAGCTTAGCTGAGCAACCGCCGCTACCAGCTTCCAACCGACCCGGTGCGCTACTAAAAACGTTTCGGCCGCGAGCCTTATCGATTACCGGTACTCCTCGGTCGATCCCCTTTTCCAAAGCCAAACGAGCCATGACGAATGGTGTACTACGTAGCCGCTGCAATCAACAGATTTCCCGATACCTTCGAATACGTCCTCGACACACGAATTCTATCGAGCGAGCGATATAGTCAACAAGAGGATCCGAATCGGGCATTCGCCATCTCCGCGCCACCATCACCCCTCAGTTCCGAGACCCCTCATAAATCTGCATTGTAGCGAGGCGCCAGCTAATTGCACTAAAAGCGACACTTCCTTGGTGAGGGGGACCTTGATCATTGCCGCCTGATTGATTCCCCAGCGCCCACCACGGAAGACGTGCTCCCGGCGCCGGCACACCATCAGCCTCTTGTCGCGTGACAGCTGTTCTTCCTCGCATACCGCCCTTTGCACGCGCGGGGTTATAGAGACCAGCCGCCCATCATGTCCTCCAAAAAGGATGGCGCTGGCGACTCCAAGCTGTTTGCTCGAGTAAGCTTATATTCACCCTGCCCTCTCTCGTCGCACATCTATTATTTGCCCGACCTTGTTTCGATTCCTGCTTGCCCTTAAGCATCCCGCCCTTGCACATTCTCCTCTTGCCGCCCTTCCCACACCGTCTTTGGAGCATGTAGGCCGCCGTGCAAGGCTCTGCAATCGACAGCAAAGACCATGGCCTTATTCCTGTACTACAATCCGCCGGTGACCCTCGAGAAGCTAAGAAGTCGACAGGGCAAAGTTGCGGAGCTCCGCCTCGAGCTCAACGGTGGAGGAAAGAAGGACAAGAATTTCTCCATGAAGAAGATTGCCCTGAAGCGAATAGTTGCCAACATGACCATGAGTAACAATGACATGGTTGCGCTGTTTCCCGATGTTATTGCGTGCATGAATCTCCCGAGCCTGGAGATCAAAAAGATGTTGGTTCTCGGGTGCGAATCGATGTATTCTCTTACTAACAGTGGACAGGTGCTTCCTTTATCTGGTCAACTATGCTCGTGTACGGCCCGAAATTGCTGTCAAAGCAATCCCGGTATTGGAGCTTGTGAGTCTACTTGTTGTACACGTGACAATTATCAGGACTGACGTATCTGTACCTAGGATATGGAAGATAGTAATCCGTTGGTGCGCGCTCTCGCCCTGCGAACCATGTCTTACATACACGTGCGAGATTTCGTCGAAGCCGCTGTCCCGATTGTAAAGAACATGCTGCGAGACGCGGACCCCTATGTGCGCAAGACTGCCGCCTTTTCCGTGGCCAAATTATACGACCACGACCAAAGTGTGGTTGAAGGATCTGACCTCATTGAGCGACTCAACTCTCTTCTGCGAGACGATAATCCGACAGTGGTGGCAAGCGCACTGGCTGCACTCATGGATATCTGGGAAAGGAGTGATGCTATCAAACTCACAATCGACTACAGCAACGCTTCTAAAATGGTTGCAATCCTGCCTGATTGCTCCGAGTATGCTTCTTGTTTCTGACGCGGTAATCACTGTATGCTGACCTTTGCCGCAGATGGGGTCAAACCTATATTCTAGAAGCACTCATGTCGTATGTGCCACAAGATTGCGGTGAGGCGTCGCTTCTAGCTGAGCGTATCGCTCCACGCCTATCACATTCAAACTCGTCGGTTGTCTTGACCTGCATTCGAGTTATTCTCTACCTCTTGAACTACATTGCCGACGAAAAGCAGATTTCCGCACTTTGCCGCAAATTGTCACCACCGCTGGTGACATTACTTGCAAAAGGACCCGAGGTGCAATATCTTGCGCTGCGTAATGCGCTCCTTATCCTGCAGAGACGACCTGAAGTCCTCAAGAACGATATTCGAGTTTTTTTCTGCAAATACAACGACCCAATTTACGTCAAAGTTACGAAGTTGGAACTTATCTTTATGCTTGCCAACGAGCACAATATTGACGAAGTCTTGACGGAGCTTCGAGAATATGCCACGGAAATTGATGTACACTTTGTGCGAAAAGCTGTCCGAGCGATCGGAAAGCTGGCCATCAAGATTGAGCCTGCTGCTCCCAGGTGCATCAATTTGCTTCTGGAGCTCGTGGCTACCAAGGTCACGTATATTGTCCAAGAAGCGACAGTCGTCATTCGAAACATTTTCCGCCGATACCCCAATCAGTATGAATCGATTATTAGCACACTGTGCGAGCATCTGGATTCTCTCGACGAGCCGGAAGCAAAGGCAGCCATGGTATGGGTCATTGGAGAATATGCCGATCGCATTGAGAACAGTGACGCTCTACTAGACGACTTTTTATACGCATTCAAAGAGGAGCCCGTCGAGGTGCAGTTGGCGCTACTGACGGCCACTGTGAAACTGTTTATTCAGAGACCTACGCGAGGACAAGAGCTTGTTCCCAAAGTACTGAAATGGGCGACCGAGGAAACAGACAATCCTGATCTACGAGACCGGGCATACATGTACTGGCGCCTGTTGTCGACCGATGTCGGCCTGGCTAAACAAATTGTAATGGGCGAGAAACCTCCCATTACAGCTGAGTCGGAGCAACTGGAGGCGGCGATACTCGAGGAAATGTGTCTCAACGTGGGTACGCTGGCAACGGTCTACCTGAAGCCTGTGCAAACAGTGTTCCGATCAGCGCGAGTGCGAAAGCTGCCAGACTCGCCAGCCCTACAAAAGCAGAATCTGCCGACGGACATTGATACCAACAAGACGATTAGTATGTTTGGCCGTGGTGGGCAGCCCACGGATATCGACCTGAGAAGTCGCGCCGCTGCTGGCGCCAACGGTAACCAGCAGGTCATCAACGACGCGGATGCATACTTTAACAGCGTCGCGCCGCAGCAAATGGCAGCGCTGCGAATGGATGGAGGCGACGATTTGTTTGATGGTGGCAATGTGACGGGCTACGTGGTAAATGCGCATGCACCACAGGCTGTCATGCAGCCGACGCAGGGAGGCGGGAGTAACGGTGACTTGCTGATGCTTTAAAGGGGCAGACTTTTGTAACAAGACTCTGATAAGCAGTATGCAAGTCTACTGTGAAGCAGATAGACATAGAAAATTGATGAGTACATGAGAACCGATGATCACGCGGCCGCTCACTTTGAATAGTGACTGACTGACACGATGGGAGTAAAGCGCATGTTCATGTTTGAGAATAGAGGAGATTGCATCAATATCGCATGCACTTGACTAATGTCTGTTCACACCATCATCGACAAAGGCGCTCTCGGTGGCTGTATAGTGTGATGATTTACAGCCCGGGGCGGTGGGGATCGGCGCGGTGGTGGCTCGCAAGTCAGCTGGCCGCCGCCCCAATTTGGTAATAGTAGAAGCCCGGGACTAGATGAACGTCTGGCAAGCGCCGTTCTAGATAGGCGTTTTCATTTCAGCTTGGCATGTAATGCCATCGTCATGAACGGTGTTCGTTGAGGGTAGCTTGCGGGCGCCAAGTCGCTAGCCAAGTCTGGGCTCTTGAGGGTTCAGCAGTATGGCCAAGCATGCACCAAGGGATTTAACATGTCATGGCTGTCATGGCAAGTAGTCAGGTCGGGCGTCTGGGCTGCTGCGAGAGAGAGATGCCGAGAACGTGTGCTGCCGGCTGTCGTTGCTGCTGCTGCTCAATGCAAGGACATGTAAACGTGATGCGAGGCGGTGCATGCGGGCATGTCTTGTCGCGGCACATAGTGGGCTGTGGTGGTGTTGCTGAGTTGAATGAGGGTTGAGTTGCTCCTCGATCATGGATTGCAACACGACGTCTTCCTCTGCAATCTAGAATTGAAGACTCGGCTAGCATGGAAGGGTGCTCACGCGAGTGAGGCGAATTCGAAGGCCGTCTGTGGCCGGCAAGTTAGCACTAGAACAAGACGGGCGCCAGCCGGGAGGGGACTCCACTATTGACATTGCAGAAGCGTAGCAGGAACCCGACAATGGCCGCTGGCGGTAGTGAGAAGCATAGGTAGCGACACGCATGTGGCAAAATACACGAATATGAGAATTGACAACGACCATCCCGTCTTTGAAGCCACCGGGACATTCCGTTAAGAAAGATGGCTTCAATTGATAAGACTTCAGCGCTGGCAAGCAAGCAAAGCCGTTGCGTTAGAGTTTACCGTCCTCGGGTGGATGCTTGGCGGTGTACCTGCGTGGTACGGTATCGGACGATGTCAAGCACACTTGACGATGCGACCATCTGTCATACAAGGCCGGAATAAATACAGCTCGATTGATCAGATAATTCAGAGAAAAAATCTTGTGGTCTCGGATAAAAGGCCGGTCGACCGGCAACAAAGCGAGAGATGACCGGAAGAAGCGTCGTTGGCCTGTCGAGTGGACAAGCAAGTACCGGTCACGCCGGTGTGCAGGCCGCTGGGCTTTAGTGGACAGCAGTGGAATCTGGGGGCAGGTAAAGACCCGCTAGGCCACTGCAGTGCCAGGGGAGTTGCTTGTTGCTTGAGTGCCTCGAGGTGGTTCTGTACAGTATTGTTATGGGGAATTTGGTGGTGATTTGCTCCAAATAAGCTTGGTCCCACTGTAAACAGCGCCTGGCCTGTGACGCCGCTGCAGCCGATCTCTTGTTGCGGCCTCTTGCCAGGTTGTAAATTGTAATGATGAGATAATGGTAATAACACGATACATTATGACTTGTGAATCGTCGTCTACTGCGGGAGTATGGTATCAACTCTACTGGTATCTGTTATAGGTAGATTATTTGACAGCTTAACAGATTCATTAAGCCCTTGCGACTTCCATATCAACGTGGCTCTGGCCAAGGCCTGCGGCCTGTAGCCTGCACCGCACTGGCTCTGCCTCTCCCAAATCTTCCCGATTACCTTCTTGTTCTCCTCGAAATAAATACCCGCTCCTTCCATTCTGCTCTGCTCTTCATCCCCCGTCCTTTTAGCCCTTGGATGACTTAGCTCGCCCGCCACCAATTTCAATCAACCCGTTTAATTCTTTCCATTGAGCTTATCCGATCATTTACTCCTCTCCGTCGCCGATCCTTGAATTCATCAAGCTTGCTCTCGGGCCTGGCCAGTGCCCACTGTAGCCGCATTCTCATCGTCTCCACCTCGCTTGGTCAAACCGTCCTGCAACTCGCCTCGCAGCTAGGTTGCTTTTCGCATCCTCAACACGCATCGACAAGACAGACGGTTCTCGAATCTGTTTCTTCCATTTTGTGCTCCCAGTCACGAGCCAGATACACCCGCGAATGACGAAAGTCGGCCTCTAATTGCAAATTTATCTCTTGGTTTTCGGCCCCCTATCAGGCACATCTGCCACCTTACCCCATCATCCTGGACCGCTACACCGATCTGTCCTAGCCCACCGTTCATCATGTCTGCCGCCGCCGCTGCAGAGACGGCCTCGACAAAGGCGACCGATGCGCTCGCACCGAATGCCGATGCCATTGCCCGCTCGACCGAGTCGGTGCCTTTGGAGAGCATCCGCCGCTCTACTGAAGCCACGAGTTCCGCGCACAACGTCGCCCCCGCCGATGGCCCAGCACCCGACGCCATTGACACCACGGATACGACCGAGCCAGTCTCGTCCGCTTCTGCGCTTGCTGAGCCCTCTGCCTCTGCGCCCCAAGTGCCCGCTAAGTCGGGGGAAGCCATAGAACAAGGTCCCGAGCCGCCTGCAAAGGAGGCCGACGACGCCATCGGCCCTGCCCAAGAGCACATCAACTCTGGCGCTTCAACAGAGCCTGGTGCTCCTCCTGTGTGCAATATCACTCTGCTCTTGACGTCTGGCAGCCGCCACCCCTACAGAATCGATGCCAAGTACCTGTCCAGAAGAAACGTGGCTATACCTGAAGAGACCGAAAACGGCCTTCCAGATCCGTTCAGCATCAGTATATACACTCTCAAAGAGCTAATACTGCGAGAATGGCGCAGTGATTGGGAGGCTAAGCCTGCTAGTCCCAGCAGCATACGTCTCATTCACTTTGGAAAATTGTTGGATGACAAGGAGCCACTCCGGAGTACGTACCAAATGACGAGCAAGCCTACCACTCCAGACCGACTAATTCAATGACTTGCAGAATATCAATTTAGCTCTGAAGCCCCCAACGTGGTGCACATGAGCATCCGGCCCCAAGATCTGGATGAGGAGGAGACCAAGACCGGGGGGAAGAGTCTTGGTGCCGGCAGTGGCGACGGTCAACGCTCAAGATCCGGAGGCTCGTGCTGCGTTATTCTTTAAACATGTGAAGAGCCTGCGGTTGACGAGGACAGTAACGGGTACACTTACCACAAAACCCCAAAACCCATTATTGCGCCGCCAGTGCTACAGCAGCGCACGATATTCATGTACTGACATACCGTGATGGTATTGTTGGGATCGCAGGAGCACGGTACCACCGCCAAGAAGTACGAAGGCTACAAAAGCCACGGCACACCGAAGACGGCTTCGACGACTTTCATTATCTTTTGGGCATAAACACATACAACTCGCGACATTCCTTTTTATACACATTTTGGACATTCATATACGCCGCTTATATCGAAGCGACTGGGAGCTCTCTTTATCACTCGCAAGACTTGGGAATTTGGGAGACTTGAACTTGGTATTTTTACTGCTATTCCAGTTTTGTTTGATTCATTTCCGGCGTTGCTTTTTTACGAGCCCTATTATGCGTTGAGCTTTTGTACATTTTCCTGTATTTTTCTCGCCTTCTGCCAACCTGGACATGGCAGGGCTGCCTGACTTGGCAAGGTACATACACTCAGGGAAGGATTTCATCAGGTACCACTCTGTCAAGACTACCTGCGCCGAGAATTACGATAGTGTTGGTATCCAGCGTCAAAGTAGAAAAGCGTTGGTCCAAGACCATTTATGAGCCTCTGTCGGGCATGCATCGTGATGTAGTCGGTTATAATCATGGCAACGAGTAGTCAGGTGCTGTAAGCAGTTGTTATCATTGTGCCGACGAGTAATTGTGTGTGTTGTACAGGTAACGTTGGCTTAGGCCAGCTGCCGCGGCCAAAATCTATTGCTATTTGCACCTCGTATCTGTTTCCCATTTCCCCATCGCTCAAACCTTGCACTTCTTCTCCATTTCCTCGTGGAAGCCAGCGACTCCTCTCGACTCGTCGCCGGTAAACACGTCCTCCCACGTAATCATATCCTCCCTGCCGCGCAGGATATCCTCGTGCACGCTGGCGAGGCCGCTTCCCAGCACCATGGGTCGCCACGCGCCGTCGCGCACAATCTTGAGCTCCATGCCGCGGCGGATAGGCTCGCCCATGCCAAACGTGCGCTTGAGCGACTCCATCCGGACGGCCTCCTGCGTGGCCTCCCAGTTCTTGAGCCGGGCCTCGAGGGGGTGCGCAGACGTGGCCTGCGTCGTGTGCGCGTCAAAGGCCGATGGGCCGACGCCGTGACGCAGCGTGTCGTGGAGGCCCGGCGCCGAGGGCGCAGACGTGGAGGAGCGGGCGGCGCCGGCGCCGGCGGCGCCGTGGGTGTGGGAGTAGCTGCTGGCAGCTTGGTTGCTGGGGATGAAGCGCATCGACTGGGGAACAGAGGCGTGGTTAGAGGTAGTGAACGGATGACAGAAGAGGAGCGGTGGGTGCGGTTGGGAAGAGAGTTGATGGGAGATGGAACGGATGGGCAGCTGGGATGGACAACGGTGCGGCGAAACGGGGGGAGATTCGTTGAGGCGAGGAGCTTACCATTGTGAGGGAGCGCTTTGGGGGTATTGTTATTCAAAGTGGGATTTTTTTTTTTGGCTTCGCTGTGATTTGGGATGGAGAAGGATATTCGGTCGTTTCGTGATGGGCGGCGCAGACGTTGGTAGATTGATGATGCTAGCTTACGCTTGCCTGGGTACGAGGAGCTTGAGATTGGACAGGCTGCCAGCGAGCTTCGCGTTCCAAGTGGCGGACTGGCCAATGACGGGGCTGGAAGAAGATCCACTCTTTTCAAGTTGTAGGTAGCGGGTAACTGGATGAACACTTGAAAGCTTTGTGAGAATTAAAATACAAAAGTGGTATGAAAATGAAGAATGTTAAAAAAGTCAAAGTTGTCATGCTTCTGATGGATTGACACTTTATTTTTCGCTGGTAGCGACAGCTCTCGAACTGCTATGCTCGCGGTGTTGGTATCATTGTAAGTTTACAAGCTGAACCAACAGCAGCCGACTGGTTGGGTAGAGTAAATGACTGGAAGCGCCGATTCCAAAATTTTCGCCCATCCTTTGTAGAAGGAAGTATAAATGGTCTACCGCTTGAGAGGATGAGATTGAAATAGTAAGAACAAAAAAACTGAGAAGACATCTGGCTTCGGGTGGGCGCTGTTGTTGGAAGGCGGCTGTCGGCTAGCGCCTTGAACACACGCTGACTTGGGGTTGCACGACAGGTTATTTAGGTACCTACTGATCAACAGACAAATAGGTAGAGAAAAAAAGACACACAATGGAGGAGATCGGGTGCACTTGTCGCCAATTCCGTCTTTTGAAGCAAAAGCTTTAACACGACAGTTGACTAATTTTTAACGCTGCATTAACTAACACCAAAACCTAGGGATGACGCCGATATCGCGCCAGTCAATCAATCCACTCCTCCGCCAGCTACCAACTTTCTTCAACCTCTCTGACTGACAATTACAAGCATCGATTCCCCGCTGATCAATTCGGATGCGTCGAATACATTCGCCATGAAGCCTTCATCCTCGCGGCTGCCCATTGTCCGCATCGCAAAGGGCACTTTCTACCGGCACCACCCCAACGCGCTGTCAGAGCACCCCAACCCGCCGCTCTTTAGCGACCTCAGCTTTGAGCTGCCCTCGAGCGCCTCCCAGCCGCAGCACTGGTGCGTCGTCGGCTCCTCCCTCTCCGGCAAGACGACGCTCCTGCAGGCCCTCCGCGGCCGCTTCATCTGCGACCCGCCGACGGCGCGGTCCTACCCCTACCTGTCCTCGGACGCCGTCGTGTCGACGCGCCTCAGGAACCCCGTCCGGGCCATTCAGTACGTTGGTTTCGACGCCGAAGGGGCCGCCGGCCTCGCCGGATCCTCCTCGGCCGGCGGCGGCGGCGGCGCCACCACCACCACCTCGGCGTTCTTGTCGGCGCGCTACGAGTCGCATCGCGAGATTACCGACTTTTCGCTGCGCGACTTTTTGCTCGGCAACACGGAGCTCAATCCGCTGCAGACGCCGCTCGACGGCCAGGGCGGTGCCATCTCCCCGGCGCTGCTGGACCGCGTCGTCACGGACCTGAAGCTGAGTCACCTGATGGACCTGCCGGTGACGTTTCTCAGCAACGGACAAGGAAGGCGAGCGCGCATCGCGAGGGCGCTACTTACCCAGCCCGAGGTGCTGCTGCTCGACGAGCCGTTCATGGGCCTTGATCCGCCGACGGTGTCGGGACTGAGTCCGCTGCTGCAGTCTCTCTCGGAAACGGCGAGCCCACGCTTGATACTAAGTGCAAGACCTCAGGACCCTCTGCCCGAGTGGATTACGCATTTGATATATCTACGCAGCGACTGCCAGATTGGATCCATGGGCCCCAAAGACGTTGTGCTTGACGGGCTGCGAAAATATGTACAAGGTGTTCAGACTGGTACATTGATCGAAGACAAGAAGATGCCGCTGCGCACCTTGACCGAAGTTGGCAAAGTGCTCTCTTCTACTGGCCCTTCCTCCACGGCGAACAGCAAAGACGCCACGATACAAGAGTCCACCTCTACCGCAGAGCCTGTAGTAGAGATGGACGGGTGCAAAATCAGCTACCAGGACAAAGTCGTGCTGGGAAACTGGTCGCAAAGCATCAACGGCCAGGAGAAGCCGGGCCTCGTCTGGACCGTCCGCCGCGGTGAGCGCTGGGGCGTCTTTGGCCCCAACGGCTCTGGCAAGACCACCATTGTCTCCATGCTCAGCTCCGACCACCCCCAGACATACTCGCAGCCCGTCAGGCTGTTTGGACGATCCCGCATCCCCGAACCCGGCTCCGGCCAGCGGCCGCTGACCTTTTGGGACATTCAGGCACGCGTGGGCCACTCGAGCCCCGAGGTGCATCAGCACATGCCCCGCGGGCACTCCATCCGCGCCATTGTCGAAAACGCGTGGTCGCTGACTTTTGGCACAAAGGCCAGGCTGGACGCGGCGTCAAAGAACAAGGTGGACGCTGCCCTGCGCTGGTTTGCGCCGGAGCTGCGCCCCGTTGCCGGCCGCGGCGCCGCCGGCAGCAGCAGCAGCAGCAGCAGCACCGCGACCGAACAAGTGGACGACGACGACGACGACCTCGCGTGGGCAGACGAGTACATGTTTGGCGAAATGTCGTTTAGCGCGCAGCGCGTGGCGCTCCTTCTCCGCGCCGTCATCAAGGGCGCAGACATTGTCGTGCTGGACGAGGCGTTTAGCGGCATGGACGATGCCGTGCGCGACAAGTGCAGCCTCTTCCTCGTCGAGGGCGAGGGCAAGACGGTCGTCGACGGCGGCGAGGTTGTAGACAGCGAGCTCGCAAAGACGGGCAGCGTGACCGTGGGCGGCTTGACGGACCGGCAGGCGCTCATCTGCATCGCCCACATCAAGGAGGAAGTGCCAGACTGCGTGCGTGAATGGATTTGCTTGCCCGAGGCCAACACTGGTCTCCCTGCGCGGTTTGGTCGACTGGACGGCCCTTTGAGAGACAATGAGAGCCGTTGGCGGTCGATTTGGGGGTTTGCGCCTGAATAGAGAGAGAGGTAAGAGCGGCGTTGATCCATACGTGCCAAATACATGAATAGAATACAATCCAAAGAAACGACCAAGGGCGTCGTCGTACGTCACGCCGAGCTGACCATCAAAATTGGCAATTCAGCTTTCATCCATCTCTTTTATCGCCGTAAATATTTGATACTATATGTAAAGATACTATGCACAAAATAAATTTATTTACACCCATTTTTCACATATTACCTCGACCTCTCTCATTGCGAGTTGAGCATACTCGTCAGCTGCTGAATTCATTGCTGCAAGCTTGCCCTGATGATCTCGTCATTTCTGGTTCCTAGTTTAAAAAAAGACTAATCAAGAAACACTTTGCCAGAGAAAGAGAGAGAGTCACCGAGGGATTGTGATTTGTGCAGGTTGAGACGTACCATCAACGAAGCTTGCAGGCTTGAGTAGAGCCTGTATTATATAGTACGAAGTCGACTGCACGCTTATTTCAGATTATGCTTTTTGGCAACGACTCGACTTGAAGCTAGAGTTTCTCGCTCTCTCTCTCTCTTCTTCTATTTTTTATTCTTTTTATTCTTTTTCCAACTCCTCCGTCTTGAAATCGTCATGGCCACAGACTGAAATTGAGCTGGAATGACGCAACCCCGCCGGCCCATGACCTACATAGACGTACCATGAGCCGCCAGCATTTTTAAACTTCCAAGCCCTCGGATATCCTTGCCAGCCGCGCAACACCACCATTCTTCAACAACCAGAACAGCTCCAAGTATCTACCTCTGCTCAATTCTCATGTCGGCAGCCCAAGTCGACGACGACGAGGCGCAGACGAGGCGCTCCTGCGTGCCCCTCACGTCACTGTACCAGCCCGTCCACGTCGGCCAGATCGGGTGAGTTTGTAACTACAGAGCCATCCCCGCTCGCGCTTCTCGAAAAGAAACACCATCGCAAAACAAGGGCGGCGGCAACGATTCAGAAAGGAAGGAAATGTGGGCATGCTGATAATGTTGTAGAGCCGGATACGCGGGCACATCCACCTTTTTCCGATGGCCCATTCTCGGCGCGCTGCTCTTTGACAATGAGAGCAGCGACGCGCGCGACCATTGTGCCAACGAGCGCAGTACGTCGTCAGCTTTTTGCACTTATCCTCGTTATGGTGGCTGACACTTTTTTTTTTTGCCGCTGTAGCATTCCTCTCTTATTTGCGGCTGTCGGTGCTCATGGCCATCGTGTCCATGGCCATGACTCTGTCGTTTCACCTCAAGCACCAGCCCAGCAAGCTCGAGAGGCAAATCGCCAAACCGCTAGGCGCCATCTTTTGGGTGCTGGCGGTGCTCACCTTGGCCGTGGGCATCGCAAACTATATACGTACGTCGGAAACCCGTCCCATGCAACAACAGGATGCCGTCTACCGACCCGTGAAGCTGAACCGGCGTGGCAACCAAATAGGAACCGTCAACCTGTATAGCAAGCGGGCCGCCATTGTGCAGTCTGGATGGCGAACGCAGACAGTAAGTCACTCATCCCGCCATTGCCCATCTTGGCACAACATCTCATACATTATACACAGGTTCTCGGTTTTCTGTCTGCTTGCATCTTTGGCACCTGCCTGGTGCTACTCGTCACCAACACCATGAGGGCATCGGCCAAGGTACTAGAGTGAACCCGCTGTGCCATGCATATATAACATATAATCTAATGAAACAAGACCAAATTCATGACGTCAAACCGTTCAAAATAAAATATCAACAAGCAATATAAGCACCGCTCTGGCCTTAAATCACCGCGCGCTCTTCTGCTCCTTGACAGCGCAAAACAGATCCGCGGCAAACCTGTCGCGCGCAACGTGAGCTTCTACATCTTTGCACGTTCCAATCTGGCGTCGAAACTCGAGCGTTTGCTTGTACGATTCTGCCACCATGTGGTCAAGGGTGCTGACTTCACCCTCCCACGAGACAACTGGAAGTTTGTGAATACTTGGGAGGGCGCCCCCCTTTGGTAAAGTATTGAGGATATCCACTTGTGATCCTGCGTCGAAGCTACTGCCTCTCTGTGCTCCAACTCGAACGTCTGCGTTGCTCTTCTCGCGCCCATCAGGCACATCGGGTAGATCAGCATAGACGCCAACAAGGGCATCTGCCGTCTCTTTACTCGGATACAGAGTAAAGTAGTTGCGCAGACGACAAAGCTGAAGCATATACTCTAGCCAGGCTGGCTGATTCTCCGCAACGTCCTTGGACTGCGCCATGGTAGGCACAGCAGTCCCTGCCTTTTGCGTCTGTAAACTATGCGATACATAGCCGTGCAGCTCGACCCAATGATCGCCAAATATAAGCGTGGCATCACTGCTAGGTGCCTGCCATAGGAACGAGGATCCTTTGTTTGCAGTCGCTGGCAAATTAAGTGGCTTCGTATTGTGTATGTGAGTCTTGGGCACGGTGAATGAAATGCCAAACATGAGCTCGAGAGAATCGTCGCTGCTCGCAGCTAGGCCATAGCGCCTATGGAGCAAGGCATATTTGACATCTACTTGTAATCAGTGGAAGGTTATCGCTCGGCGTTCATCAAGACGTACAGTGAAAGAATTGTGGAGATACCTCCGTGTGAGGCGATAGAATAAGAACATGGTTTCTCGTAGCATCACTTGGCCAGAATGACTCGAGCAAACCAAGAGCGCTCTCCACTGGGCTAGGCTCTTTGTGCAAAATGCGATGTCGCAGTGTCAGCATACTGGTTTTGGAGCCAGCAAGGCTGGACTGAGGCCAGTTGAACCCGGAAAGAAACCTCTCTAGCGAAATGTCAAGATTTTGGGGAAGCTCGACAGTGATGTGGGGGATGCTGTGGCCTGCCAGGTCAGCTGCCGCAAGTGATCGCAAGAGACGCTTGAGGTTTCCGGTTCCTGTAGGTGGCGCATGGATCAGAATATCAAAGTGCGCTTCATTCCACTCTGTACAACTCGTTAGTTGTTACTTGCTCCACGTTCAGCGTCGGTATTACTCTCCACGTACCAGCCAAAGCAGTGGCATCCAACTTGGATATCCACGAAAGACGAGACTGGGCTCGAGCAGGCAGCTCGATCAAAGTGGTCCGAGGAGCGTCTACCATCTGATCTTTGATACCATCCAAGAATGAACGGTCTTCGGTAGAAGAACCGTCCACAATGACGGCGAGAGGTTTCACAAATGTTGCGAGAAAATCTGCTTCGAGTTAGATGACGCGATTACGACCCTTCCATGAGTGATGAGCTTACGCATTGCACGCGCGGCAGCAAATGCTAGACGAGGGTTGTCCAGCTGACGACTCTGATCAGCACGAGCATCTAGAGAAAATGTTAAAAGTGGTTTCAACAATGAAAAGTTGTCTGCTCACCGATGGCCAGTATTTTGCAAGCCTCGTCAATGCCATTGACTTTGAGCAGCTGTTGCAAGTCAATGTCACTATCGCCAAATAGGGCAAACAAAATGCGGTCTTTCTGCGAGGCTGCTCTCTCACAGGCCATTGGGAGCACATTCGCTGCGCTCTGCAAGCTGGATGCTGCGAAGAGGACGCTGTCGATGCCCGGCCCGGGAGGAGCTGAGCTCAGCTTTAGAAGATCTTGAGCGAGCGCATGGAACTTGATGACACCCTTGTAATATCTTGCGCTGTTGCTTATTTTGTCTCCGGCATGTGCCTCGAGGCTGTGGTCGGTATGCTTCGTGCCGATGGGTACGGTTCCGGGGGTCGCTTTTGGTGCGGTGAGCTGCGTCGGTGGGCTCTCTTTCGCTGGACCATTGTGTCGATACTGCGAGTATGGACGTACAATATCTTCCTCGGGAGAGTAGATTAAACGACGAAATATCGTGACCGAGAAGATGACGAAAAGCACGTAGAAGGCATAGCGAAGCACCGCGCGTCGACGTGGTGTGCGAGCAGCCTGCCAACCATGTCCATTGTGATATGGAAGCTTCACATCGTCGTCTTTTTTGGCGAGATCCTTTTCGTGAATCCAGACATTTCGCGAGAGCCAGCGACTAAGCGATGAAGAGGCCATGTCGCTCGTTGGAAGCGCAGAGGCAAACGGAGTGAATCAAAGTGTTGGTCGACGCAGCTATCTCACATGGCGGCACAACGGGTACGACAGCGGCTCGTTCGAGCGTCGGATGCAGCTTTTGACCTCTGACGCGTAAAATTCGGAAACTGAATAAACGGTGTCATTGGCTTCGGGAGGGGTGTCGTCGGGAAGAAGCTGGTTGAACTGCAGGAGACGTGTCGTGCTTGGCGGGACAGCAAGACAAAGCTCCTTGTGGTCTTCCAGACAGGAATAGTGTCAAGTGGCTTTAGGGGCCTTGGGGCCTTTGGGGGGAAATGAGCCGGCCGCTACAGCACCTCCCCCGCTATAAAACGGCCCTCGTTCCCCACTGTGACGCAAATTATCAGGGACTTGATCCGCTAAAGCCAATAAAAAAGAAAAAGAAAAAAAAAAGAAAAAGATTTTGGAGGTTTGGTGGGGCATCCACCACCAAGACGATAATTTTATATCTTGTCGCATGTCGAGGGAGCTTCACCGCCTGCTCTTTATTCATTTACTATCGTTGCTGTAACGGACAGGCCCGGAAACAGCGAGTCGTCTCTTCTGCACCACCCATGGCCAAGTCTAGACGCAATCGCGCCGCCGCGCGCAAAGACCCTCTCGCAAAGCCTGTCAAGCCGCCGTCAGACCCCGAGCTCGCTGCCCTGCGCGAGGCCAAGATTCTCCCCGTCATCAAGGACCTCAAGAGCACCGACACCAAGAAGCGTACGGCTGCCGCTTCCGCCATTTCCAACATTATACAAGATGCAAAGTGCCGCAAGCTGCTGCTCCGCGAGCAGGTCGTTCACACCGTCCTCAACGAGACCATTACCGATACAGCTCTTGAGAGTCGTGCTGCGGGTTGGGGGATTCTTCAAGTTCTGGCGCAGGAAGAAGAGTCTGACTTCTGCATTCATCTCTTTAGATTAGATGTGCTGACAGCCATTGAATATGCCTCCAAGAATGTGAGTCGCTTTACTGCCAATGCTCATACTTCTCTCTTCTTTTCCCTGCGCATGTAAATACTCATCGCAAATCTTACAGTTCACCGCGAGAGTCACAGCTGCCGAGCCCAAATTCTCAAAACTTCCCAAGGCCGAACAAAGTACCATCATCAGCATCCTTGCCTCTCTTTTGTCCCTCATCACAGCCCTGGCTGAGGCTGGCGACAATGTTCTCAACGCCATCGCATCCAACGCGACGCTAACACAGCTTCTTGCCGTACTCATCACAAAACACGACGACATCTCGGGCGAATCCGAAAGCATATCCACACTCCGGACCGATGCGCTGGCCTGTCTAATGCTTCTGTGCGAAGACAATGACAAGCTGGCGCAAGCCATCAGCGTCGCTGGTAATCATACCTTTGAGACGCTCCTGTCGCTCAAGGACAGACTCGATGGCGACGGCGTTTTAGCCTGCGCAGTCTTGCACAACATCTTTGCCTCTTTGGAGGCGTCAGCAGATGCCCGCTTGCCGGCTGAGATTGACGACTCCGTCTTGATACCCACCCTAACCAAAGTCCTCGCCTCTTATTATGCCGAGGAGCCCGCAGCCGCTGCCGGCGAGAGCTGGTCCGACCCCGCGCAGTACCAGCAGCTCGCCCTCGAGACCCTTGCCTCCATCGGCACCAGCCTGAGCGCTGTCGCGGGCGGCCCTGTGGAAGCTGACAAGGCTGCTGCTGGCAAGCACAAAGCGCCTACTCGCGCCGATGGGGAAGACGCCGGCGAAGACCAAGAAATGGACGAAGCCGACAATGTACAATCACATAGCGGTGATGAGGGTATGGGTGACGAGGAAGACGAAGACGAAATGACACAGGAAGAAATCCAAGCCGACATGGATATGGTCCTTGGTGGCGACGACGACGAAAATATCGAGCATCTTCCCGTTCTGCAAGCTCTTGTGCAAAAAGCGCTTCCCGAGCTCATCCGCATTGCTGCTTCCCAGCCTTCAAACGAAGTGGCCATGGCTATGCAGGGCCATGCCCTCTCCGCCCTCAACAACATTGCCTGGTCTCTCTCCGTCGTAGACTTTGCCGACAGCCACAACGCCGGCATCCTCGCCGCCTGGTCGCCAGCCGCGAAATCCATCTGGGCGCAAGTCATCACCCCTATTCTCGCCTCCGACACGGCCGATCTCGGCCTCGCCACGCAGGTGACTGGTCTCTCCTGGGCCATTGCTCGCGCGCTGCGCAGCAACACGCCTCTGCAGCCCGGCGAGCAGCGCAAGTTCATCACCCTCTACCAGGCCACCAGGGGCAGCAGCAGCAGCAGCAGCAGCAGCAGCAGCGCCGAGCAGCCGCAGACACCGGACGAGGACCCGTTTCAGAGCCTCGGCGTCAAGTGCATCGGCGTCGTTGGCCAGCTCGCCATGGACCCGTGCCCTGCGGACACTAACCGCGAGCTCGGCACGTTTCTCGTCACCGTCGTCTCCGCGCTGCCGCAGACTGCCCCCGCCGAGGCCGTCGAGGCGCTCAACCAGCTCTTTGACATTTACGGCGAGGAAGACTACGCGTACGACGCTAGCGTGTTTTGGGCAAACAATTTTGTCAAGCATCTCGAGGAAGCCGTCCCCAAGGCACGCGCCATGGCCAAGTCGGTGGACAAGAAGACGCAGGCGGAGCTGAGACTGCGCGCCGACGAGGCCGTCATGAACTTGACCAGGTTCATCGCCTACAAGAACAAGAACAAGCCCAAGAATTGAAACGAATTTGAGATGAACCAAAAAAAGAAGAAGAAAAATTTGGGAACCAGGACACGAAAAAAGCATGTAGAATAATATATTGGTTATGATGGCATATATAACTCTTTCTTTTCGTAAATTTTCCCAATGCCCAAACAGCCACACACCTTTCTTCATCATTACATTAAAAACATGGAATGCGCATTCCCAGCAGATTTACAACAGCGCCATGCAAACCCCATCTCTACCCATTTCTAACCCCTCCCTCCAGTACAAATGCACCATTAGCAACGCTCAAAGACACGATACAAGCCCTTTAGGCTCGCCACCTCCAGCACGCCGCCATCCATGAGGGAGCGCGTCGCCACCAGCCGCGCCTTGAACGCCGGGAAAAAGATATGCTCAACAGCCCACCGCACGTGCTGCCTCCTCCTGCGCAGCTCCGGATGCAGCTGCTGCTCCTCTTCCTCCTGCGCCGCCGCCGCCGCCGCCCCCTCCTCCACCACCACGGTTTGCCCAGGGACCGGCCCGGGCGGTAGCTGCTCAGGCACGTAAAACGTGGCGAGTTCGCGCAGAAACGTCTCGAAGCAGGCGCGCTCGCCGCTCCAGTCGACGTGCGGGCCGAGACGCAGCAGGAAGCGCGGCAGCTTGCCGAGCGGCGGGGTGTAGCCCTTGACGAGGAGCGGGAGGCTGACGAGCTCAGCGGCGGGCGAGATTTCGAGCGAAAAGTACTCGAGTAGCATCTGGCGCTTCTCGACGAGCGTGTCGCGGACACGCGCGACAATGGCGGGGGTGTCAAACCTGTTATCGTCATTATCGTCGTCGTCGTCGTCGTCGTCGTCGTCGTCGTCGTCGTCGTTGTTGTTGTTAGCGCCGAGCAGCAGCGCCTTTTCTTCCGTGGCGGCCAGCGTCAGCAGCTCAGTCAGGTCCAGCGGCGGGCTGAAGCGGATAGCCCCCATGTTGCCAAAATCTGTCAGGCCGAGCTGGTAGAAATACTCAAAGCACGTGTGTCCGTAGTCGACGAGGAACAGCTTGACGCCGCCTTGAATGGCCGCGAGGCGTCGCTGCTCGTCCACGATGCCGACAAACGTGTGCGTCGAGAAGATGTCGGTCAGCTCGCGGTGCATGTCGGCTCGCACCTCGGCCCGCAGCTGCTTGATGCTGCCAAGCGAGCACGAGACGTAGTCGCGGTCGACGGTGTCGTACTCGACTGGCTCGGGCACAGCCGCGGGCTCCTCGGCGCGGCGGCCACGGCCACCGCCGCCGCCGCCGCCG